AAGACCAACATCGCCTCAGGGTCCTCCTGGAAGAGTGCAACCCGCCCGATCGACGGGTACACGAGGTTAGAGAGCAGGTTTCAGCACACGGTATCGGAGTACTCAATCCGTTAGTAGATCGTCTGGGCACTAGTGCGGGAAGCTGTAAGCGCAAATATCTTGCAATTTCTACTATACCGCAGATCATTATGATTGATTGGGGGGCATCGGGCAACTATGCTCGACGTGCCATATTCAGCAGCATGATAAAGCACTTAAAGCGCGTGAAAGTGGCATAGTCTCGGTTCTCTTAGCAACGGGTACGCGTGTTGCGTACCCAAAGTACCTATGAACTTAGAGGGCAAAGCCTTAGACTTGAGCATCATGGCTTGCTGTTTGGTCTTAGACCTCGATGCAAGGTATGACTTCTTCCTAGACATGGCATATCTCTAAAGCCATGAGACATGGATTATTGGAGGCTGAAGACCTTTGGAGCAACGCGCATTGCTCCTGGTGGGGCTCTAAAGAGTCATGAACCCAGCAAAAGCGCTTTTGGCGCGGATATTGAGCCGAGTCGGTCAATATGCTAGATTTCGGATTATATGACTGTAAGTTTCGAGGACAATAGTCTCGGGCGAGGCCCAAGGGCTTCCAATAGTGTGGTTGAGAATCCACTATATTACCTCCAGTAAGCTCCAAATGCTGTCCACCAATTGACGGACTTATGCCTCCGTAATAATTTAAACAGTCCGTAGCACTCAACACATCAGTTACAGTTGTCTCAGCAATAGGACGTCCTGTATCCAACATCTCTAGTTTTGCAATCTCTTCCGCTTTTGACACATATGACATGTGTCATGAGAATGATGTTACATCATTTAACACCCTGCGTGGTGTTGGTGGTTGCAAGCCAAGATATCAGGGCAGGAGCCCCAATGACATAGGTGACGAGGTAACAACCCTATAGGGTGGAGAGAAGTCACCAATGGATGTTGTTTTTGAGGACAGCGAGGTGTAAGAACCTGATGACGAGTCATTGACCCAACAGGTGGGGTGCAGTTAGTAAATGGAGTGGTCTTTGTCCTTGAGGTGCTACATCGGTGGACGCTGTTGCGTCGGATGCTGAGAGCATCATAAGTAGCGATAATTGTATTGTGAGCGAGTTAATAGACGGTGATAGTGAACTACTATATAAAATATTCATTAATGGCTTGACAGGGGGGATGTCGAAGAGTTGATGACTCTTTCGACTGTTCCCACAAAAAGTATCTTGCTAGACGAGCTGTCCTTTGCCGAGTTTGGCAGTGCCTTACAGCCAGGCAACATCGCCGAAGTGGTCATTATACGACCTGAGGAGGAGTTGAACTCCTCATCGCTCTTGGATAAAGCAGTTGAGGATACAAGATGGCGCTGAATGCTCGCAGTAGATCACAGATCCTGAAAGACCTATCGGATCCATGCTTGAATTTGTTGAAGGGGTTTGGCGATATTGTATCCGAAAAATGTTTTGCGTGGTTACCTTCGGATAGGGTGTACGTCATGAGATTGACTTGGTCTCGGGAATTATATACTGCGTGACGCGACTGTGGCCGCTGCCACGAGAACCGTGTGGCATCATTAAATAGTGTTTTGTGCGAAGCACGGATGGCATGGTGTGTGAGAGTAAGTCTCCTTACTCTCTTTACAAGGCGTTTGAAGCCATTCATGAAAGTATCTTCAGGCTTCAGTGCTGTCTTTGCCTGATCCTGATCGTCCGTTTAGTATCGTGTGTGACGCTTCCAAATATGCATTGGCAATGTGCTACTACAAGCAGACGCTGAGGGTCAATAGTGCGTCATCGCGTTTGAATCTCGCCAGCTAAAAGCTACGGAGAAGAACGGTCCTGTTCATGATAAGGAGCTACTTGTTATGAAGTATGCCCTTGTTAAGTTCAGGGTACACCTGTTGGGATCAAAGCCGTTTTTAATACCGATCATGCATCGTCACGCGCTGCGTTACAGTCGCCTCATCTCTCGCAGAGAATGTCTCGTTTCCACTCCTTTTTTGCGGAGTATAAGTTCGATGTGAAGTATAATCTGGGAAAACAAAATGCCCTGGTTGAAGCGTTATCGCGTAGACCTGGCTATGGGCTTGTTCATCTCACTGTTGTAAGTGCTTCAGTAGCGGGTCGTATCCTCGTGACGTATGCACGCGATTAGTCATGCGGGCCTATTCTTCAGGCGCTAGATAGCGCATAGTTTGAATACTCTAAGGTTAAGCTGTCTCCACGTAGTCAGTGCGATTACATTGCTATGCATTGACAGATGGTCTGTTGTACTACAGGTACAAGGTCTGATGATAAGCCACTTGAGCTGGTGCCTCATAAGGAGGTCCTCAAGTATCCGATACTTTATAAGGATCACTTGGTGGTCATTAGGTCGTGAAAAGGCTTACAGCACAGCAAGCACATATTATTGGTGGTCCAAGCTGTATAAATCTGGTAGTACTTATGTACGTACGTTTGGAACGTGTGAACGGGTGAAAACCTCGCCTAGCATGGCCGAGACTTTAGGGCGCGTTTGCCTGTATTATCCAAATTGAGCAAGAGGGCTTCTCTAGCGGCACTTCCGGGCTCCATTGATGGAGAAGAAACGGTGAAGCTGTTCTTTGATCGCTTGATTAAACACCGCAGATTATCTGTGGTAATCGTCTATGATCGAGACCTCGTTTTACGGAGAAGGTTTGGACTTCAGTCTTTAAGGCGCTTGGCACTAGACTGAACATGTCTACGGAGGATCACCCGCTGACTGGTGTTCAACAGAACGTGTGAAATGTGTTATTGGTGACATGATTTGCACTATTTGTGCTGAAACGCTGAAGCAGTGGAGCACAATGCTTCACTCATCGAGTTTGCGTTGAATAACGTGGTGCATGCCTCGACAACTCGTTCAATGTGAACGGTTTGGTTAATCTTCTCACTCCGTTAACGCTTCGACCTGCCACATCAGAGCTTATTGGGTGAGAGATAGTCAAAGGCTTGGCTGATATCAGCCCTGTTGCAATTTGCAAGAAGTTGAAAGCGTGTCTTTCAACGGGTTTTGACGTATTACGTTGCGTCGAAAACACTATGGCTGAAAGCCAGGATGTTCAAAAGGAAGAAGCAAAATTCAAAGGCAGAAAGAACGGACACGATTTTAAAGTGGGCGATTTCGTGTTACAAAACGTTAGAATTTACCTACTTGCGCAGTGCCGGCAGTATATTAACTAATCTACGTCCACGCTTTTATTTAAAGGTTCATAAGCAAGAAATACTTAGCTTATACGCTTAATCTTCCCAAGAAGATGCGAGCACATCCTGTGTTTTATGTGGGCTTACTGAATCCATATTTCAATCCAACCTTGGAAGGTTGTCCATACCCCCCTCCAAAGAAGGCGGATAATACGACACTAGAAGTGCATATAGTTGATGCAGGCGTACCAGGAGGTCGAATTGACACCGAAGCTTTGCATGAAAATGCTCCATCGCTGCTAAGCTATCAGAGGTCTGAGCGGTAATGCACAAAAGAGCGACGGTGTCGATCGACACGGTCATCGAGAGACAAAAAGTGCGATGTCACCGACCCAAGAGCATTGCGGTCCAGGAACATCAGGCGACGTTCGATATCAGAGAGGTCATGCAGTGATGAGTCACCGTCCCCTCCGTCGTTGATCGATGATCTAAGTCATCTACATTTTGACGTCAAGAGCCTCTTAGAGCGACGTCTATACCAATACTTGATGAAGGGGGGGGTTGTATAGTCGTATGAATCGTGAAAGAGTTCGAGGTGCTCCTCCGGCATATTTCAGGACGCCGTGACTGCCTTCCCTATCTCAGAAAGCGTTAGTTGTCGCGACCCGAAGGGGACTCGGTATCACTGGATCTAGAGACAACTTCACTGTCATCATCTCCAGAGACGTCACGGCGCATTGCCTCATCCATGATTAGACAGCGCAACTGCTTTGTAACTGGATTTTCAAGCGTGTAACGCTTTGTATGCATAAAGCGCAAAGCGCGGAGACTGTAGGGGCTCAAGGAGAAAGTTCTTGAGCACTTCGAGGCTTATAAGCACGTTCTAGGCACTTCACGCTCAAGGAGCAAGTATTGGAAACCCTAAGAGTCTTTATTGGTGGGGGGGGAAGTCTAACGGGATTACACAAACGTGTGTATTTACATACAAACTTCCCACGATATTTTGGTGTGGCTGCACGTTCGCTACATTGGCGGTTGATGATTCATAGTACTTAGGCTAAGTATTACAAATATATTTGTGTACATAATAAGAAGGCTAACGAGCCAGTTAGTTAAAGACAAGCACTAAATATCGAGTAGGTGCTTGTATAGAGATTATTGCTAGACGATAAACATACAATAAATCAGTTTTAAACCTGCTCTGCATAGATGTGTTGCTAGAGCACGTTCTTTACGAAGAAATTAGTATCTGTCGATACTGTTGTCATTGAGACGTGGTTGTTTGAAACTAGAAGGCACAAGCTTGTAAAGCTAGCCGTACGAGGGTTATTAACCCTAAGACGTACAGCTTGTAGAGCTTGTCTTCCTCTGCATTTAGTGCATAAGTAGCCATGCTACAAAAGCTGAAGGATGGTACGGACTGAGTAGAATAAATGAGCTGCATTGGACGAGTAGCGCGTTCTTACACCTATCACTTTTTACTAAAAAGAAGTGGATCAACAGCATCTAGTCACCGCTGCTATTGCTGTGTTAGTTCCTTCATTCGGTATTAATCTTATATTTCTGTTGAAAGCAGCCAACAGTCAAGTCATTATCGTACTAAGTGCCCAATTCATGCTTTGTACCTAAAACCATTTTTTGTCGAATAAATTTCGGTTATGACGGTACCTCTTCTTAGTAATTGAACATGACTATGCAGAGGTCTAATGTCTCTAGATGGTTTTCATCATCTTATTCGATTTTCAATTGGCTAAAATAATCCATCCAATCCATATATATTCATGCTTGACAAGTATCAAATTCGAAAAAGAACATGAAAAGGTCCAAGAACAGTCACAGTGATCTTCTCTTTCTAAATTTTAATCAAGAAGCTTCGTATGTACTGTTATTCAATAACCTTTATACATACAATATCATTGATGTTGCTTATTCTTTTATTGTAGATGTATTAGTGTAGGAACTTGCAAAGGTTTTGCCATTTACAATTGTGAACCATTTGGTAAATGTTTTCAAGAAGATATTGGTGGAATTGGTATTGCCGAAATGCTGTATTGTACTAGTTTAGTAGCACTTGTTGGTGCTGGAGATCAGGTATGAAAAAGAAATGCATAACGTTCTAATGGCTCTCAAGTCATTGGCAACATGAGATGACCGCTATACATTCATACTGCTTTTTATCTCACGTCTCTTTGGATTATGTCTATTTATTAGCCTGCATTTTCACCACGTCGATTGCGTGTGTGGAACACTAAGACGGGTTCTGCCATTTGTGATTTAAATTTTGTCACCGCCGTTTTGGCTGTACGCATGAATCGACAGAGGTACGTTCATGATGGTGGCTTTTACAAGACTAGAGATAAAGTACTAGCCGCAGAATAACAAGAAACAAATGATTGATCGTTGCAATTGTTTTTGTGCGATTACAGATTAGTCGCAGTGCTCGAACGCAAGATTTACATTTTCGACATTAGCACCATGAAAATCCTAGAAACACTTGACACATCGCCGAACCCAAAGGCACTATGTGTGCTTTCTCCGCACGACAATGGCCATCTAGCTTTTCCATCGGGTGCCTCACCAGGAGAGATCGTGTTGTATGATGCCAACAATCTTGGTGTACTGAACGCATTTCAAGCACATCGTACAGCACCCGTGGCGATGGCATTCAACTCTCAAGGCACACTACTTGCAACAGCTTCCGAATCGGTATGGAAATCTGGTGCCAATCGTGCTTGACCTCAACTCGAACTAACTCTACTGCGACTTTGGTGTAGGGAACACTTATTCGTGTCTTTGCTGTTCCAAGCGGGAAGAAGATTGCAGCGTTCCGACGAGGTTCTTATGGCGCTCACGTTTACTGCCTAGCGTTCAATGAAAGTTCTACAATCTTGTGTGCTTCCAGCGACACGGGCACTATCCATTTCTTCTCATTGACTGGAGCTGAAAGCTCTGCGACAGGAAGTTTTGGGCACTTCACGCCGATCACGTCGACACTGGCTGTTGCTGGAAGCACCTTTGGTACCACGGTCTTTGGTAGTTCTGCCGCTCCACCGAGTCCGATAATCCCTACAACGGTTGCATCTTCACCCGGTGAATCTTCGATGCTGGGGATCCGTGTCGCTGTACCATCGACGCGGATCCCCAGCCCAGCTGTCACCAATTTTGATGAGGTGGCTGCAGTCATGAGTGCGTATCTGCCCAGCTCTTTTTCGGGTATTGCCGAAGGAACTCGCGACTTTGCCTATGTAGGTAGAAAGCTTTTTGAACCATGAGCTTGGCTTTTATCTAACTGGTTGGAAACTTATGACCTGGCAGGCTCGACTTGGCTCTACTGGAGTACCAAACCAGTGTGCAATCCATGGTCCCCGGGACACTAAAAACCCAGTTGTACAGTTATACGTAGCTACTGCTGACGGTTATTTCTATGAGTACTCGCTCAACCTTGCTACTGGGGGCAAGTGCAAGCTTAAGCGGGTACGTGATATGTGTGCTTCATTCACTGTTGCTTTATGTGCTGATGCCCGTTGTCTTCACTGATAGGAAAATGTCCTCCGTGACAGCACTTCCGAAGAGATTGAGGCCATCTATATTGCATAGCAACATTTTGAGTTGCAGTCTAGCTGTGGCGTAACTGTTTGATACTTGAATCGAACTATGGCGCTCTGTCATCCGACGAATTATGGCAATATCCAACATGGTCAGAGAGTAAAGGAAGCGATATGTACAAAGCAATTTGGATATTTATCGAAAAACACGAGCTCAGTTAGTAGTTGCTAGTTTCTCTGCAACCACGGTGTTGACTATGACGCTCAGGTCTTAAGACGTTAGCCGTTGATCAATTCTACGCCCGTTTCTACCTTGAATCGCTGAGCCACTTGACACCGCAGCGACTAGATCAGCTTTTCAAATTCAATGCCTCGGACATTGTACCCACGCAAAGATCGATGCACCACCGCGGCAAATTGCGACGGGTCGTTGCGAAACAACTCTGCAGCTTCTGTTCTCAAGATGAAGGCAAGTTGCGTTGTTAGCTTCCAAAGCATTCCCACGACTCAAAGACAGTGATCCATATCAAACAAACCTTTATTCAGTGGATCGTCCGGGTTTGGCTCATAGAACAGGTAAATCAGGCCATAAATGACCGAGTTGATGTCCAACACGGGTTTCCAATCCTCACGTAAAATATTTAGACACACATTGCCATCAAGGTCAATGTTTGGGTGGTAAATCTGCACGTACAAAACAATTCATAAACAATACCATACCACGACCTTAGCAACCTGCATACTTTTACCATAACCATTCATTGAATTCATTAACCAATCAACCAACCAGACGTACTTTTGTCAGACACTGAACCTTTGGTGGATCATGCGGATACATCTGCAAAGAATACGACAACATTGTCCATATTAAAAATCTCATTTCTTGTTTTTTCAACCTTCTTTTTCAATAGTATTGAGCATACGGGTGGAATCTTAAAGCTGAAGCTATATGATGCACCTTTCCATAGTCCTGTATCCACTGCAATCTGCAGTATTTGTTTCCAATAGCAATATTCATTTAGCCTTGATACTATCAATGAGACAATACTTGCTAACATCATTCATTACTTCGGTATTCACACCATACCTTGACATTAAATACTGTCAAATCATTCACTTCAGGAAATGTAACCGTCGCAGTTTTTCCACCATCCAATTCGGCAATATCTAAAAATAGAGATAGAGTAGATACAAACATCCTTGTAGAATAAGTTGCAATCATTTTCACTCACTCTTTTTTTATCGTAAATAGCATTTTTGTATCACCTTTTTGAATACGTATTTCACCTGGGGTACGTTTTTTCTCTTTGTTGCTCGTACCATTACGTTTACCACGACCGATACCAAGGATCTTTGTCTTTGACTTGATCGGTAGTACTGTATCACCAGACTTGATTGCAGCTTCTAATGCTTCTTTCTCCTCCGCCTTTATCTCTGCTTGCTTAGCTTTAAGACGAATCATCTTTCGTCTTGTTGTTGTTGTTGTTTTTTGTCGACTTCACCCTGTTTTGTTCGTAGCAATGAATAAATAAGGGTTCTTTTTAAGGGTGAGATGGATGTCGAGGTTACGTTGATGGGTTACGTTGTACTCGAATAATGTGTGTTACACACAAATTACGACGGTCTAGTCATTTCGATACACTAACATCTCAGCAACTGCAGCATTTGACTTGACTTCTTACAGCTTTGCATACATGACTTGCTTGAGCTGAGGCGAAATCTCATCCTCATCTGGATCTTTTGCGTTCGTAAAGTCGGTGATCTGAGCAAATTTCGCTTGTACCGCCTCGGGCGTGATCTCCGTTTCCAAGTCTAGAAAGATACCAGGGCTGCGCATGTACTTTACCTGCGCAACAAACCCGCCACCGCTCTCGAAGATCTTGCCCGAGCACGGCACCGACTCGTGGCATAGAAATGCAACTGTTGGTGCCACGTATTCGGGCTTCCACCTAGCCACCAGGTCTGCTGGTATAATGCTCTCTGTCATCTTAGAGCCGGCGCCGGGAGCAACAATATTCACTTTGATGTTTGTTCGAGCACCCTCCTTGGCCAGTGACTTGCCAAAACCAGTCATAGCAGCCTTGACTGAGCTGTAGTTGGTCTGACCAAACTGACCATACAGGCCATTGATTGACGTGATCAAGATAATACGGCCGTACTTCTGCTTGCGCATATAAGGCCACGCCGCATGGGTCACCGCGAACGCTGCAAGCAGTCCAACAAAGAAGAAAGCAGTGAAGTTAAAATACCAGTGCATCCTACGCACAATATGAGCATAGTAGCTTTAACACCTACTTCCTTGAAGGTGCACATTAAGCACTTGATTCCATTGAGCTTTGGTCATCTTGATAAAGCTCACGTCACGCAGGATACCGGCATTATTCACGAGAATGTCCACACGACCAAATTTCGTAATGGCAGTAGCTACTACCTTGTCACCATCCGTCACCGAATCATAATTGGCAACCGCAATACCACCTCGTAAGTTAAGAAGAACCAACAAGGAAGATACTCGGTTAGATCTTGTAGCTGTAGCTGCATCTTCACATGATACTCTTTCACGCTCAATACTTCTACTCACTCACCCTTGGCCGTAATTTCACTGACTACGGAGTCTGCCGAATCTTTGTTGACGTCATTCACGACACTGTAGCAATGACAACAAATGACAAATGATTGTTCGACACTGAGAACTGACTTTGTAATCAAATAATGAGAGCAATATCTATTTAGATCAACTGTACACTTTAGCACTACGATCAGCAAAGAGCAATGCATAGCAGCGACCAATTCCAGCACCAGATCCAGTAATGATAGCAACTTGACCATCGTATCGTAGCATTTTTATGACTTGTTAATGTAAACAAATGGACGACTTAATAAGTACATATGATCTCATTTGAGATGGGGTATATATTAATATAAACAGGTATACAAGCGTAATCTGACGCTTTATTATGCAAACAATAGTAAAAGGAAATAGAAACCCTAGTACTAATTCTAAAATCTGATATATTGACGCTGATTAGATCAATAGCTGACGCATATTAAAATTGTGTTTCTATATTTATTACAATATATATTTACGTAGCTTATGTAGCATTATCATGTTCTGCATTTGATAAAACTTGCAAGGATACATATTTCCTACAGCTTATAATAGCAAAAACTGTTTAGAATAGGCTACAGATCTAGAGCGCTGGCTCTCGTGTATACCCTAAACAATCATACAAAATAGCAAGATTGTTTACGTCAAATAAAGAACAAACATCGCATATATTACACTGTTTGTTACATGAAACTAAAACCTCAACTTCTCTTGTCTTTTATCCTTACAAATTTTAGTATTTTGTTGCATTTTTGTCAAATCATTTCTCTTTCTTCTTCCATTTGTCCCAATACGTATTTCAATTGATCAAAAATATGTCTAGTAAACTATTCTAATTGGTCAATATAACGCAATACAAAAGTAAAATATAAAGTAAAAGTCAAGTAACAAAATACACAAGCTCTATCTTTATATTTAGCTTTTAGCCACCCATACCTCTAGTTCTTATATAAATAATCATTATCGTATACTTTACCCATATTTCCAAGAGTGTTTGTCGATCTCTCTCTCTCCTTCATGGTAGATTTACGGCCTTACGTGGATATACAAGAGAACGCCATCTCATCAGCAGTAGCAGGACCAGGACCAGGAGCCTCGAATGCATTGATAGAAGAAGAAGAAGAAGAGGAGGAGGAATCTGAGTGTCGTGTCTGTCGTGGTGAAGCAGAATCTGACCGTCGTCTCTTTGCACCATGTAAATGTAGTGGAAGTATACGGTATACACATTCTGATTGCCTTGAACAATGGCTTGTACACTCTGGAAAGACTTTTTGTGAACTCTGTGGTCATGAATTTACATTTACACCCGTCTATGATGAAAATGCACCGGATATTTTGCCCTGGACGGAGCTCCTGGGTACAGGATTACGTGTTCTTTTACTCAAGTGGTTACCATTTATGCTACGAGTTATTGTAGTAGTAGTACTATGGCTTGCAGTCGCACCATGGTGTACAAGTTGGCTCTATCGTATGTGGTTATTACGTGCTTCAGCAATGGTGAATGTGAATTTCTTGGAACGTTTTGATGTGCGACATATTGTTGCTGATATTTTCTCGGGTGTGATTTTGATTGTATGTATCGTCTTTTCCTTCTTAGCACTCATGTCATTTGCTGATTTTCTAAGGTTTCATTTAGATCATATTGAAGAAGAAAGAGTTGATGAAGGGATACATCATCATCGTCAACAGCAGCAGCATCATCGTCATGATGTACAACCAAATCTTAGACGTGGACAGATTGGAGAAGCTAATGAGGTACACAATATTGTGGAAAATGAACGAGAAGTGGAACAGGTTCGACATGTCCGCCCTATTTTTGAAGGCCCTCGGAGATTAGGTCACTTGGAAGATAATGCTGAGGCCAATGACGATTCGTCCGAGGAAGAAGAGTGGGTTCACCAGAACCGAGATGAACCATTTGCCGATGCTTTCCAGCATCAAGAGTTTGGATTGCCGCCTAATGTTGAAGACGCAGCAATGCCGGAACCGCAACATGGTATTCGACAACGTCGACCGCTGCGTGACGCACTGGATGTGGAAGAAGATCGAGGACATCATGGTCCTGCAGGAGCAGCACCGAGAGTTGCACGAAACCGTGTAGATCCAAATATAAACCAGCGGGAATGGGAAGACGACTTTGAGCATATGGAAATTAACATCGCGATGGACGAGCTTCTTGGACTACGTGGTGACTTTGTGGTGCTTTTCCGCAATGTATCGTGGCTGCTCGCGTTTAACGGTGCCTACCTCGGCTTGTTTGCATTTATTCCGTACACATTGGGTAGCACTTTGCTGTCTGCAGGGGCTAGAATTGTTACGTCATTACCAGTTGCCTCCTCTACGTTTTTCACCTTCACCACACTCGAATCCGCCACGGACGAGGGGATGTCGATTGGAGCTTATTTTGTGAAGACGCTGCTGCGCTCGATTGAGACGGCTAAGGACAACGGTGACTGCTTGCAGCTTGTGGATTTGTGTACGTGCGCGATGGGCTATTTGTCCATTTGCTTGACGGTTGTGCTGTGGAGGTTCATGGTAAGGACTGCTTCTTCCTACATACATCGTCCCCTCATGGACGGTCTGCTATGGGCTTTGCGTTGCCTGACGGCAATTGTGAAGGTATCGACGCTGTTGTTGCTAAAGATGGTAGTTTTGCCAATTATTCTTGGCTTTTGCATCGACTTTGCAACACTTCACTTATTCATGGTATCTGCACAAGACCGCGTTGCATTTTGCATGGAGAATATGATCTGCTCGCTGATGGTGCACTGGGTGCTTGGCATTACCTTTATGCTTTTTGTAACGGTATCTGTATTGCAAATGCGTGAAGTTGCGCACCCCGACATTCTGGCAAAGGTTATTCGACCACAAGAAGACCATCCGGATCTTTTGCGTACGCTACTGAGTGAGCGGTGCATGAAACATGCCCGCCGTATGATTTTGTCGCTTGCGATCTATGCGGCGCTGTTGCTACTTCTTGTGTATGTTCCTGTTCATATTGCAAGTGGTTTTGCGCCTTCGTTTTTTCCACTGACACTTCGCTTCCAGCACTTGAGCTCCGAGATTCAAGTGCCATTGGAGCTGCTTGTTGTCCATCTTGTTGTGCTTAGTGTGTTGGAGCATGCGAAGAACGACATTGGAAAGTTCCAACATCTCGGAATTCTGTTTGCAAGCGAGTGGTTGGGTTTGACTGATTACTTGCTGCCACAAACGAAGTTGGAGGTTGTTGTGAATGGCCAGCGCAAGTCGAAGACAATTGTATTGCCTCCACCACCTCTTCATTTCCACCCTCGCGCTCAGTTGCCACCTGAGGAACTGCGTGTCGATGGCCACCGTTACTTGCCGTGGCCTGATGATGGTTTGGATGATTCGCAAGCTGTTGAGTACCCGTTGCTTCCACGTGAGAGGCCGTCTTATCTTTTGGTTCGCCTAGCTGGATTAGCAGTTTTTGCGTGGGCAGCCTGCGTCGTGGTGGTCGGGACGTTTGTGTTTGGATCACTTTTCATCGGGCGGGTTTGCATGGGTCCATTTGAACGCGTGACTGGAATCAGCCACGACCCGCTCGTGATGGCTGCCGGAGTGCAAATAATCTGGCACTTTGTGAACAGCATTCATGCTCTAAATATTTTGATGCTTCCGGAAGATCGAGTGGATCGGACTCTAGTTCAACGTGGATACTGTGTCCGTAACATGACACCAGTAAATGCAGTGGTTTGTGCTGTGGGCTGGACGTTTTTGTGCCCATTTTTGCTAGGCCAGCTAATGTCCTTATGCGTTGCGAGTGCAAATGCATCAGCTGTGGAAAGTCTATTGATGGGTTATTTGGTATTAAACATGTTTGCATGGGTGGTTTGTTGCTTCCGAGCGAAGCGTAACAACAGACGACGCAATCAGCGACAAGCAGGCCTTGAAGGGCTGGAGCCTGACGAGGATGGATTCCTAGACGTGGATGGAGTGGACGAGCTGTTTGAAGATGATGTAAATGACGACGAATTGGAAGAAGAGAGAGAAGAAGAACCATTGAATGGGGAGGGTGCTGCTGTTGCTGCTGCCGTTGCACAACCGATAGGCTTTATTGCCTCATTCCGCAAGGCGTATCGTCAACTTATGTTTAGTGTGGCAGTACACGAAAACGATGCCGTTCGACTGCGTCGAGATAACATCCGAGAGAAGTGTTTTGACATGGCTTTTTTCCAGCAAAACGTATTGTTGCCCATTGTAACGTTCCTGATTGGAATGCTAGTGGTGCCGTGGTTATTGTCGTCTGCGATCTCGTTGGTGTATCCGTCCGAGAAAGTCGCATTTGCTGTATGTGCATTTTGGGTTGGTACAATATTTTTGTTGGTTCGGTCACACTCGTACGTGACCCAATGGTTGTCAAACCTAAGCGAGTCGATTCGCAACGAGCGTTATTTGATCGGCCGCCAGCTGCAAGATATGGCTCGTTAAGGAGAAAGTTATTTGAAGCCGCTCAAAAGGTTACAACTTGCGACGAAGGCAGCAAAACGGCTTGGTTGGTGGGTGGGTGAGCGAGTGTGTGGATGATACAAAGTGCGTTGTCGTATATTGTTCGAGGCTTTTTTTACAAGGGTGTTTCTAGCAGTGTATGTCGCCAATGACAACAACTTGACTTTGCATGTATTGATTGATATTAGATTAGGCACTGACATTACATGTGGATAATAGCAACGTTCATGCACCTAAAGACAACGCTTTGTACGATGATTGGGAGCCAACAAGCTCCACTCAACTGTTGATCTGTATTGTCCCAAACGACCATGGTCGGTTATATAACGACGATTGTGTTCGATGATCATTCCGACGAAGGATGAGATCGGTTCGACATCATTCATTTCAAACCATTTCTCAATCCATCAAGTAAAAAACTACCTACCTACCTAACACCCATCTACCTATCTCATCTTCTTTTTCAAATGAACGTACGTCGTGCCTTAGAAAAGCTTCAACTACCGAATGGTTTACATCATGAACGTATTCAATGGTTGTATGAAGGTGCAAAGTTTCAAGCAAAGGATCATTATCTACTCTACTGGATGCAAACGTCCGTGCGTACGAAATACAATTATGCACTGGAATATGCAGTAGCTGCTGCGAATGAATTAAAAGTACCTTTGCATGTGGTCTACGTCTTTCCAGATCGTTCGGTTCTATCACCAGTAGAGTCCGATCCAGTAAAGGATGAGTGGAAAAAAGATGCTATGCAAGATGCTAGTGCTCATGCATTTGTCACAGAACGTCATGCACTCTTTGCGCTGGAAGGTTTAGCTGACGCCTATCAACGTTTAGCAGATCGTGGTCTAAGTCTTGATGTCTTTCACCATCAACACAAGTCAGATGAGTGGCCTACACGCAATGAATTGTTCAAGTTTTGTGCACAAAAAGCCGCGCTCGTGGTGACTGATCGTCCATACTTGCGTCCATGGCGTTCTGCACTGGACAATCTCGTGTCGTCCATTCAAGAGGGAGAAGATGATAATGACCACGATAGTAGAGGCTTTGGCATTGTTCAGATTGAAGGTGACGTTGTGGTACCTGCTGAAGTTGTTACGGATAAGGAAGAATACGCTGCGCGCACAATCCGTCCAAAGATTACAAAGCACCTGGCTCGGTATATCGTGCCTTTGGAAAGCTTGACCATTGAACAGGAATACCAAACCCAAGGAAAATCGTTGCTAGATGTCCTTGGTACTTCCAAACAGCTCAAACCACTGGATGTGACAAGTTTGGATGCTGTTTCTAATACGTTGGAGCTGTTGGATGTTGACCATAATGTGAAGGGTGTGGATTGGCACTTTCGAGGAGGTGAGAATGCAGCTTCAGCCTATGTGAAGAAGTTTCTCACTCCAGACAAACTTGCTCGATTTGCAGCTGAGCGTAACGATCCGAGTCTCGACGGTGGGAGTGACTTGAGTATCTACTTGCACCATGGACACATCAGTGTAGTTCGTGTTGCGCTAGCTGCACATAAGCTAAAAAGTGTGGCACGAGTGAAGGAAGGACTGGCATCGTTCCTAGAGGAACTCATCGTACGTCGTGAACTATCGGTGAATCTGGTCGTGTACAATCAGGATAACTACGATTCCATGCGCTGTCTGCCGAACTACGCACAGACAACCCTAAGAGAGCACGCAGACGACAAGCGTGATCAATTGTACTCACGTGAAAAGCTCGAGTCTTATCAAACAAAGGACAGACTGTGGAATGCAGCACAGCGTGAGCTTGTTGTTTCGGGCAAGATGCATGGCTACATGCGCATGTACTGGGGCAAGAAGTTGCTTGAGTGGACGCGAACTCCCGAAGAAGGTTTTAACGCGGCTTTGGTTCTGAACAACAAATATGCCCTGGATGCACCTGATCCAAACTCATATGCAGGTGTGGCCTGGGTATTTGGAAAGCATGACCAAGGCTGGAGAGAGCGCCCTATCTTTGGCAAAGTCCGCTACATGAATGAGGCCGGCCTCAAACGAAAGTTTCCCATGGATGCATATGTGCACAAGGTGGGTCGTATAGCAGCAAAGGCCAAGAAAGGAACTGACAACGAGGAACCAACAGCACCTGAGGACGAAGCGCGAACTGCTAAGCCTGGACGTAAGAAAGATGGGACGAAGAGATTGACTGAAAGCGACGCTGCTGGTTCTGCGAAGAAGAAGCAGCACAAGTGAAGGAAGAAGATTGACAGGTTGAAGCGTACCAATGCCTGTGCAAATCTTTAGGTGTGTTTGACATGTGCCTCACTTGATTAGCAGGCAAAGCAGCAAGTTGAGTAAGGTAAATGACAGCAAACTAAAAAGTTTGGTTTGCCGCTGCACTTCAGCTCAATGATACTCGGTTCTCGACTTACCGTCGTGCATCACACTTTGTTTCAAATGTGCAGATTGAACTATTCATTGCAACGCCTACAGAAGTCATAGTTGCCCTTTGACTTCGTAGCACCAGCTTCCTCAGCTCTTGTAGCCGCATTATAATGGTAGCACTACTTTTCTCGGTTTCTGCCGCATCTAAGAGCACATGACTAACCCGTCACCACGCCCAGAAAAAATGTCACCTTACAATTGCCTGTGAATGCAAGGCTTTCATTCATACAACACACGATAAGTAATGCAAAAGGAAGAATACAATGTTACTCACTTTCATCCGTAAGCCATTGAAGCCCAGACACACACCCTTGCAAAAGTTTGCTGGGCCTCCAGCAGGACAATGAGTGCATTAAAATTGCTGTAATTTCTTGCTCATCACTCAATTTGCTTTGCAAATTATTCTTCTCTGTACCATGATTTGTTTGCCATGCTGATGTCTTCAGTCTTCCCTGTAAAAATATCTTGTTCCTCCGCTCTCCGGTCATCCCAACGCATCGTTATGAACATCTTGCACGGTCGCTAGGTGGCTGAAGGAATGCAAGTCTCGACATCGCGTGCGTTTCTACTTCTTGAGGCCCTTTAGCATCTTTTGCCGGCGGCCGGTCGAGAGTTTGTTCTGGACAAGAAAGGGGGCCTGAATGCTGCTAAACTTGTCCTCGTTGCCCGCAGCCGCACCAGCACCAAGACTACGGTTACTACCATTTGCCAATAAACTCCTACTAAGATTATTACTATCGTGCCCACGCGTACCATTTCCACCGGGAAATGACGAGCTCGTGTTACATGATTGCTCCATGTGTGGCTGAGCGGGAACAGGGGGGAGGAGGAGCCCGATTCTGTCGCCATGTGTACGATTCTTGCGGCTTTGCCACCTTGTGCTGCTGAGGTTGTTCTGCTGCGGCTGCGGAAGCGATGGTGAAGGCGCCCAATGCTGATATTGAGGAGCTGGCGCCTGATGCTGATATTGTGGAGCTGGCGCCTGGTGCTGATATTGTGGAGCTGGCGCCTGATGCTGATACTGTGGAGCTGGCGCCCGATGCTGATATTGTGGAGCTGGCGCCTGGTGCTGATATTGTGGAGCTGGCGCCTGATGCTGATACTGTGGAGCTGGCGCCTGATGCTGATATTGTGGAGCTGGCGCCTGGTGCTGATATTGTGGAGCTGGCGCCTGGTGCTGATACTGTGGAGTTGGCGCGCGATGCTGAAATTGCTGAACTGGAGCTGGTGCTGGTGCTCGATGCTGATATTGCGAAGCTGGTGCTGGTGCTGGTGCTCGATGCTGATATTGTAAGGCTGGTGCTGGTGCCGACATCGGTGCTGCGGCACGAGGCGGGCTATCACCCACATTTCGCACCTGAAACTTTAATGTAAGAGGTTTTTGCATCACTTTCAGCATCGTCATTACCTCTTCAAACGATTTGTCCCGAATATGCACGCTGCGTCCGTCTATTGCGACCAGGCAATCATTCATCACAGATTGCGGCAAATGCGCCGCGCTTCCTGTACCCGTAACACGGGTTATGTAAGGATACTCGCACTCGCTGTCAGCACTACGCAACGAAAGCCCCAGAGGAGTTCCGTCGTGCCACACAACGTTGTAAAACTGCGCACCGCTACCTTCGCCTGCTGTGGCTACAGCTGCTGCTCGATTGTGGCTTGGAGTGGAAGAATTGTACTGAACAGGCGAGTTTCTGTCAGAGTTTGGTGAGTGCGAGCCATGTCGTTGGGCAGTTTTGCGTCTAAAAAAGAGTGTCACCGGGCGCGGCACATTCTTAAGATGCGCCACGATATCCGGAAATGCCACGCGCGACAGGTCCATGTCGTTGATATGGGTAACGTCGTCGCCGACGCAGTCCTGAGAGAGGTGAGCTGCTGCGCCCTGAGAAGCAATGCGCTTAATAAATGCACCCGTCTCTGGTTTTGCATCGATCGTAAGACCCAACGGGCCTGACCCCCACACCACCTTGTACACATCACTAGGTGCCTCGCGTGACACATGCCTTACGATTTCGGTGGCATGGCTACTTGGAGCAGGTGCTGGGAGCGGCGTTGGCACGGAAGAGCTCACGTGCACAGGAGCGTTGTCGTAGCCCGAATGCATACTTGCTGCGTTACTTCCATCGCTCCTAGCGGAAAGTGCGGTATCGTTGCTACGGTATGAAGATGAACTTCTTGCACCATCATCGCCAAGAGCCGCACGAAACCGCAACAGTACAGGCTTTGGCGCCGTCTTCAAATACGAAACGACGTCTTCAAAATGCATCGTTGCCGTTTCTGTTCCATTCATTGTTTCCAAAAAGTCACCCACCTGCGCTTTGTCGATACCGACTGAATTACCCGTGCCAGTCACCTTTTTGATCACCGGTAAATCGCCTTCGTGTAGACCAGGAATAATCGTAAGACCCAGAGGCCCTTCACCCCAATTGATAGAGTACTTGCTCGGTCGCGACATGCTCAGACTGAGATTCATCACCGACGGTGCACGATCATCGATGGAGATGTTGCCATTTTCTGGCTTTTGAGAGCTGGGTGCGCGTGAAACTGTCACGCTACTACGCGGTGATGCCACAGAGGCAGATTCCGCATTCAACACTGATCCTCGCGAAGGTCCCCCGACACCGCGGAATCGAAGTTTAGCAGGCAGCTGCACCTTTTTGAGAATAGACATGGAGAGAGAGCAGCCGAGCTGGATAGTGTCAATATTGTTGATAGCAACAAGAACGTCACCAATTGCGATATTCTGCTTTACAGCCACTGATCCAGACTTCTTGGTCAAGCGGTTCACAATCGGGATTTTTTGCGTAGCACTGTCATCCTTCAACGTCACACCGAGCGGTCCATTCGACCACGTTACCGTGTAGTCGTGTACCTTGCATTTTGCTGGAGACGGGTCCCCTGCCTCAAATTTCATGATAATTGGCGACGTAAACGCCGCAAAAATGTCGTTCAGGTCATCTTCCGTCTGTACTGCATCATCAATCGCACGTCCATTGATAGAGAGCAGCTTATCACCCACGCTAATGTGCGCAAATGAATCATCGGTATCCAGCTCTCTGATAGTATTCCAACAGCCTGTCGTATCATCGGCACGAAACTGTAGACGAGGCAAGAAACTATGTTTCCACACAACCACACGCAATGCGTCAAAAGCCTCACAAGTGTTATTCCATGACGACTCTTTCGGCACGTTGCGTGTCTGACTAGCATCAGCCTTCTTTATGGGTTCATTCAATGCAGCAGCTCCTGCAGCTGTAGTTGAAAGCGGCACAGCCATCTTATCTTCGGACTGTGGGTTGGCCGCTATAAAAGAGTGTTCCATCGATTTCTGCAGCGTCTGCATCTCCTCTGAGTCCATTTCCAGTCCATTTTTCTTTGCCAATGCAGCCCAAAAAGTTGTCGAAGACATTTCGTTCTGAAAACGCTCCCGCATTTCCATAATAATGCAGTTCATCTCGTCATCACGCCAATTGGCCTTCTCCTCACGCATGCGGTTTTCAATTGCTTGTGCAATACGCGCCTCCTCCTGTTTTTTTAGACGTCGCAAAATCTTTTCCTCAATGCGTTTTTCCACGTCTGCGTCAAGACTAACCTTTCGCTGATACAAAAACACGTGCAAAACAAACAAAGTGATACAGACACCACAGTAAGTTCACACGTTTCGAATCACAGCGAAACAGCAACAACAACAAATCTCCTCTTCTCCTTACTGATAGATTGCTGCCTGAAGACTCGACACTGCGTGCGCTATTGACTCGACGTGATTTGTTCTTGCTCTTTTTCTTGCTCTTCTTTTTTTTCGGTTTAACTTCTTCTTCTTCCTCCTCCTCTTCCTCCTCTGAATCTGTTTCATACTCAGCACTTGAATCCGTCTCATATTCTTCCGAATCATCCGATCCAGACTCCGCTATTCAACAAAACACAGTTCCCACCACGATCTTATCGTCAACATCTTCACTTGCTCCACAAAGTCACAGACACAATGATAAATCAGGATAAAATCCCATCATTCTTCACGTACATTCCGAGTCATTAAACTTGGAACAACGTAAATTACGACAACGTAGACGATGGGCGGACGCATGATGCATATTACATTCCTATAATAGTAGTAATAGGTCACAAATAATAATAATACCACAGAACAAAATCGTTAAGCAAAAATAGTACTACCAATAGTACTATTTTTTATCATGATCTGCTTCATCTTCAATCACGTACGCGAGAACAGTAAAAGACTTCACTACATCCACTCATACATGGAATCTTTGCCCCCTCAGCACCACAATTACCACATGGTTCCATACTCTGTAGTGCCATGAGTAAATCATCATCATCATCATCGTCGTAGTTTTTCTTGGGCATGGCTATTTATATTAATTTCAAAAAATAGTAATCGTAAAATAGTACTATTATTAGTATACCACACAGACACACGACTCTCTCGCTCGCTCGCTCGCTCGCTCTCTCTCAGATTCTTTTCTTCCTTTCCCCTTTTGTGCGTAACAAAAGTTCTTTTTCTTTCTTTTACTTACGTCGATTATTATGCCTATGGCAGAGAGAGAGAGAGTTCTTAGCTCTTCCTTCTTACAGTCTTTGGTTATGGGTTTCACGGGGCTTCGATTTCTTCTTTTACTTGGTATTTGTATACCAATAGGAATTATACTTATACGGAAGCTTTTTAGCACGTCCGATTTACTTAAACGAGTAAAAATGTTGTACAATCGACGAGACGGAAAGAAACAAACTGTACTGACGAAACCTGCGACGTTTTCTTAATAAAAAAAATAACAAACAACACAAACTGGATATTTATCCAAGTGTCTTGATTGAGGACTCCAGCCACAAGTTCTACGAATCTTTCTTGCCATATTCTATCTATCGATATAGAAAAGCGCGTAAACATGAAAAGGGGTTAAAAACCACTTTGAGCTATTTGTGTTTATTGTCTTCAATTGTGTACTTCTCGCATCCATGAACAGCCCAGTTTGTAAACCGGACAGTCTCTTACTGTTACAAAAATCGCCTTTCTAAGAAAACCATCAGAGTAATGGATATCTATCTATCTCACGAACATTTGTGAAGATTTCGCAACGTTTAAACGACACTTGATTTTACAAGGCAAAAAATCCTATTGCGTCACGACAGTGTGCAATTGTAAATACAGGCTTATGAGCAGTAATGTGTATCCGTGTCGTTGTCTGACGTCGTCGAGTAGTCGTAGGACGATGGACATGGAGACGTTCCGCATACTACGCTTGACCTTCTTTGTATCAAAAGTGTATTGTTGGCAGCTACATGTAAATGAGCCGTTTTTTGTGGCGTTTGTGACACATTGCATGTAGTACGATGATGTTACGCTGAAACGAGGACACTGACACGTCGTATGTGAGTAATTACTCTGCTCTGAACGCAAACTTGTTACTCACATACGATGCCCTCAGTGTCATGAAGAACACCCGCCCGTCACGACCGGTTCTAGAATCCGAGCAATGCAAATCAATGATTGTGAATCGACGATCGAGATGGTTTCCTTGCTTCAATGTGTCTTCATAAAATAGGTCGATAAACTGTATGAAACGTCAGTAAGGTATCTTCCGTACATACCAAGAGACGGAAGCTCACATGTCGATTCAAATGTTCCACGATTTCAATAACAGTATATTGACATAGTATATTTATGTCGTCTCTAAATGCTTGTAGCATGTGTCCAAGAGTACTATTTCGAGAAAAAAAAAAGACTCCCCAATTTAGTCCCATTTTCACAATAAACGGTCTTGTTCCTTACTTGATTCCAACAAATCCATACTGATTCCAAACAAAGGAGGGACCAATTTGTTACCCCCCGCCTCTATGAGCTCCTGTCGTAATTACAAATAAAAAAGACCTTTTCCATCAATCCAGTTAAGTGCAGTTTCAAAAATTTAGGCGCCTCAGAATTTTCTTAATATTTCAATCAGCTGATTGTATCACATCCATCCATCCCTCCTCTCCACCTGAGCCACTAAATACTTTGAATCCAGACCATTCACTCACTTACTCACTTCAGACTCGATAAAAAACGCTCGAGATTGTATCATTTTTACTTACAATGACGACAACAAGTCTTGAGCCAATTGTTTCAACACCATACACTCCATCCTCTAAACACTCGTCAATATGTACATCATCTCCATCACCTTTACGTAGTCCTGATGATGTTGATGCAGAGGAATTAACAGCACTTCTTAAAGCAATTAAATTTGCTCATCCGGATTTTGGTGTAAAACGTGTTCATGATCAAGTAGTATCACATGGTGGTAAATTTGCACGTGTTCCATTGAAACGTGTCAAACGATATTTACATAAATTAGGTATTAATTCTCCTTGCAAGGACGAGAATTCGACTCCATGTTTTCAACTGATGACAATTGGGGGGGATTTCTAAATCCATTTGTACGGATCCAGATTCCAACTTAACTTTTGGCACAAGAGAGTCAACAACTGATGAAATGGTATGGTTACCTGTGAAATTAGATGAACCTGCTTCAAAACTTGAGGAATTTCCATATCAAGCAGTTATTCGCATGACTACAAATGAAAATGGAGAAGCACAAGGTTCACTTGGAGAGATTTACAAGATTCAAGTGGCACTGGAAGCTGATGGATCATTTAGTACAATTTATCCAATGTTGGTCTACAATAAAGCACGTTCCCGTAAAACCTTTTTACATCCAGACTCACCTGCTTATCTACCAGTCCAACGATTAGTCACAGCGCAAGGAACTAAAGGAGCTGTTGGTGGATGTAAAGCTTATTTCTGGGGTCGATATTTTAAAATTGAAGATATGTTGTATATCAATACGGAGAAGATTGCACGGGCTCAAGAGTGGTAGGTAGAGAGTGTGTGTGTGTATGTGAGGGTGGGTGGATGGTTAAATTACAAGCACAATCAAGTGTAGAATGAGCACGTGTCGTACTTAAAGGACAAGAAAAGGTGGTAGGGAACTGAAGGTGGTGTATACAATGAAGAAGAAGACAGACAGACAGACAAGGAACAAAAGGAGCTTTTGATGACACTGGAGAGTGTAGACACTTTTGCAACACGTGAGCACGTTCATGGCCGTGACTGGGTGCGGACCTGAGTGGTTTGTCGATACATATATACATACATATACATATTGACTGCTTTTTTGTTTTGCACGTGTGCATGATCCGGGCAGACGATTGAAAGTTGCGTTTTGATGTTGAGGCGCTGTAAATTTGCGTCTGTGTGTCACAGTCGACTGTCTCCTCCGCTTTTACCTGCTTTTCAAAATGGTGTTGGTCTCGTGCTGTCTGCATTTCTAGTGTGTTGCATACTTTATGATGGCGCTTGTTTGCTGCTACTGTTCATGGGCGATTGATTGTCAAATGAAGACCAGCCTAAATCAAGAGTGAGGACGAAGCTGGATCGATCAAGAAATAGCGTAGCAAGCAAATGTCACCTTAACATGAAAGAAAACAATCAAAGAATTCCATTTCAAGTACTTCATTGCCTCGCACGTGTAGCAGGCGCATGTCACTAGGATGGTCGATCCTGCTTGTCGACCAATGAGCTACCTCTCTCTATGTCCCAGTGTTGATGGTGCGTGGCACATTTCAATTGTCGATTTTATCCATTCAATCACACCCTTCAACCAAAAAGACCACCTTCATCGTCACTTTCACTGTCGCTTTCACTGCTGCTGCTAGCAGCCCCACCAAAAAGCGAGCTGTAAGAAGCCGCGGGGATGGCTGTCTGTGGTGTGGCCTGCACGAACCCAGGGGCTGGGACAGCAGGCGCAGGTTCTGGGGCACAGGATACGTCGCCAAAGAGACTGCCGCTATTGGGCGTCAGAGACTGCTGCACCTCTGGACTCGACTGTGGTGGTGTCACAAGGGTCGCAGCTGGAGCTATCACCTCCGCTTTCGTGGAGCCAGTGCTTTGCGCACCAAATAACGGCTGGCCACCATTGTCATCATCGCTCCAGTCACTCTCACTCGAGTTATCATCGTCCGAGGCTGCCGACGTAGCAGCTCCGAACAGATATGTACCCGACGCCGGTGCTGGAGAGGGCGTTGCTGCCGCTGTCACTCGCGTCGGTGTGGTCGGAGACACAAATGCGGATGGTGACGCTGGCGTTGGAGTCGAAAAGGTGGGGGCAGATACAGCTACGGGTGCCGGTGTGGAGGTAGAAGCTTCTGCCAATTGAGTTGGCGTAGGAACATATACAGGAACGGGAGTAGGAGCTGCGGCGGGAGCAGGAGCGAGAGCAGGTGCAGGTGCGGGCGCTAGTGCTGGTTTCAGCGCAGTCAATACCACTGGAGCTGGGGCAGGTGCAAAGATCGGAGAAGGGGTCTCTTCACGAACTACTGCATGAGTAGCAACATCTTGTGCAGGTGTTGTTGGTACAGGAGTCTGCACCTGTGCGGCAAGTGGAGGAGAAGAAGGCTCCGATAACGATATTGATGTGCTGCTTCCAAAGTGTGATGTAGCAGATGTCGATGTGGCTGCCGCTTTTGGCTTCGACTGGTCTTCGAGTACAAGCTCGTCCATGGAAAAATTCGCCAACAACGCGCTAGGAAATCCGGTAGCTCCATAAGTATCTTGCTCCATTGGGGCGTCATATACTGGCGCAAACGGATCGTCATCAAGCTCGTAAGGTTTCATCGGTAGCACAAGCTCAGGCTCCGGCAGCTGCTGCATAGTTGCTGCGGCAATAGGGACTGGTACAGGCGTCGGTGTTGGAGTCGACAAAGTGGCGTGCTTTGACGCTGAACCAAGAACAGGTTCCGGAGACGGTGTTGGAAACAAGTCTGCAACCATAGGCGTCGGTGACGATACTGCAACTGGAGCTGCTGGAGCTTTTGGCTCCAAGTTTTCAGCAGGTGCTACCGCCGCGACAATAATTTCAGGCTCAGTTGCGGGCGCTTGGGAAGACTCAACCGTGTTCTTATTTGGTGCTGCCATTGTCTACATACAAAGCAAACGTTGGTACAACATCTTTCCACAATATACAACCAAATCGCCATAAACTACCGGGATCCGATAAGCTCCTGGTGGCATCCGCGTCGGGCCACGACGCGCGGGTCCCGCAACACGGTTCATTGTCGCCTATAATATCATAATCATCAGTACAGGGGTACACTATAGTGTTCAAGATATTAAGCAACGTAAAACTCACATGAGAATTGTCCAGTGATGCACTTGGTGTCTCAGTCTTCTGCTCTCCTTCCGGAGCCATTCCAGGAAGACGGAATTTTCCCTTTGTCAATCCTGGCATTGGGATGGCCGATCCCATCATACCAGGCATTGAAACACCCATAGCATGTTTCGTGTGTCCATATTGCTCCTCTCCCGTGGTCATGATCGATTCACGTTGATAACCTGTAGGTTTTCGATTTCCACCACTTGATGGTCCACCTGAACGTCCAAATGGATTTACATTAATTCCAAGACTTCCCTGTAGCTGTTGAATTTTACTAGAAGATCGACGAATTCCTGCTGCATCTTGAGCAGCAGCTACTGCCGATGTATCAACGGGTTCTAACGCTGTAGCTGTCACAGTTGCGTCACAACGGCTGCTACTTGCTTGAAGAAGAGGTGACGGCTCGAGAGCTGGTACTGGATCATTAGTACGTGATACAGTAGCCACATCTCCTTCGTTACTCGCTACAGCACTTTGCTGCTTTAGACGAGCAATCCGTTCTGCGATTGAGCTTTTAGCAGGCGATGGGACGACCTCTGACGTTTGGGAAGCGCTCCACTTCACTGCAGGAACAGCAGGTTCACTCTCACCACCAGCCTTGGCCCGGCGTCGCGCTAGAATTGCCGCTAGTTCATTCGTCGCCATGTCCGTCCGTCCGTCCGTTTTCGTTCACTTGTGCTCAACCTGAAAATGTCGCGGCGAATATGGCAGAATAACGAGATAGCGTCTGAAATGAGAAAGGTTTTTGGGTTTTAGCATTTATTTTTCAAAATATAGTAGTAGGACTGTACGCTTTCTAAAAAATAGTACTTCTACTGCTATTACTACTACTGCATTTATAGCTAAGGCGGACGTAGTTCTACTATCTAAAATGATATCACTTCGTACTACATGGACGTATTAACTTGTATTCCAATCTGCCGACGGAAGCGCAATATACTTGTGTCTCCCATATCGGTGTACTTTTGCTCTCTAATGCCGTATATGTCGTAACTAGGCTGGATGGATACTATGTAACATGTACATGAAGCATGCTGCATCAGTCGTCAATAGCGCCGCGTTCGCCGGAGTTTACGCAGCTCGTCACACGGTGGCAACTTCATCTCCAATGCTTTACGCATAGCAGACTCTCTGTCTTCACTACGAGAATTGCGAGCACGATAGATCATCCGTTTCTGGCGAAACTTTATATTCTCGCAATCCTCGGACAACTTTGATACATGCGCCTGCTCCACCATTTGTTCGACTCGTGAGAGATCACGCCAGTGGGTCGTGTACCGCTGCTCAAAATCATGCCCTACGTAGTACGGAATACCTTTCACCACATTCGCCATTTGTGTTGTACGCTGCACGTTGAATTGCTGTGTCGGCTTTAGACTAAATGGCATCTCCGGATTCGATGGAATCGAGAATAACGACATGATGAAAATCAGTAACAGCGGCAAGAACTGGGTCAGATTGGCCATGGCACCACGTGGCATCTGTTGCTGCGGTCGATGGCCTTGTTGTTGCTGTGGTTGGCGTCCGCGTGGACGGTATCCACCACCGAAGAACATGTTGAAAATCTCTTCCGGCGTAATGTCATCGTCCTGGCCATAAGTACGTCCCTGATGTTGTTGCTGCTGCACAGGTGCATCGTCACCGTATCGATCATAATGTGCACGCTTATCTGGGTCACTCAAAATCGAAAACGCTTTCCCAACAGCCTTAAACGCGTCTTCTGCTCCTGGAGCACTGTTCTTGTCTGGATGTAGTTTCAGCGCCAACTACACAAAACGTTGCGACAATATACAAACACCCACGTTATACACCAAAGATGTCCAGCTATAGCCACAATGGTCCATCACATCTCACCTTGCGATAGGCCTTTTTAATCTCATTCTCCGTCGCATTTTGCTGCACCGCCAGCACTTCGTAGTGGGTCTTACACGCCTTAATCTTACGCACCATCTGCATCTGATTTGCTGTGTACGGCCTTGAGGACTCTGTGGACATTGACCTTGACGGAGAAGTAGCCGAAGCTGTTCGCTGTCCACTCGAAGTGCTGCTATGCCGTGGAGACGTTGGCTGTGTCCTGGATGTCGATGCCTTTTCCATCTCTGCCTTGGCACGATCACGCATTGCTTCTACACCCGCAAGTGGATACATTCGATTTGACTTTTCAAAAAACTTGATTGCTTTCTCCCAATTACCCAGACGTAGATGCTTCTTGCCAATCTCAAGGCATTTCTCAGCCTCCCCCTTGTTCATCTCCATACTGAAAGTCAGCGAAATGAATATTCCGACTATAGATGTAAGAGTTGCACTATTAGATAATACAAGAGACACAGAAGACAGATGAAACTAGTTACAAATGGCTAGCAAGTAGTTTACAGCCAAGGAAGATCAACGACGTAGAAGAGATTGGGTCGTCGTCAGCGTAATGAAGACTGTATAAACTTTTCGCAGTTTTGGGTGAGACCATTACCAAACGTATTTGAGAGGGTATGATATACTAAAAAGGGTCTCTTTATTTGGGACTCTTGCTGAAAAAAGAGTCCAGAGACGATTGTTTTGGGCTCGGTGACTTCACTTTGGCTCGAGACTTCTTCGGCTTTACGTTAGATGTTTTTGTTCGAAGTGACACTCGACGACGCTTGTTTGGTGATTGCAATAGCATCGAATCTTGCTTTTCGTCATTTTTACAACGTTTATCGACGAGTGACGAGGCTGGAACAAACTGGGCGGAGAACGGTTTGGCTTGTTTCTTTGGTGATGTGTCCGGATTCCAATCGTGCTCTTCATTCTTACTCATGACGCTAGGAACAGTCGTAGTATCACTAGAAACTACCTTCTCCATTTTGGCGCGTTCAGATGGTGCAATTGGTGGAGATTGAAGGGATTCATGCTTCTCGGTCTTGCCTCCAAAGAATGACGTGATGTCGCCTGGTCATGGTTCGGAGCATGAGATACATGTCATTGAAAGAAGCCAACACATGTAGACGCATCGTGTACCTGCATGCTTAATGTCGATTTTTTTGGCGCAGTCTTTACTTTGAAATTGCATCGATCCAACTGTCAGATAAGCATCAAAAGCGTCAGTTCGTTAAGCCACCACAGTACTACTACAATTATCGTGCCTTTCTTATCCACTGGATGCCACTTCAAGTCGTTGGAACGATATGATGTTAGCAAGTCCTTTAGATCTTCAAACTTTGCGCCAGAAAGCCATCGATCAACGCCATTGTCTGACAAAATAACCTAAACAGTGTCAATGTCACTGTAGATGGTACAGCCAGTTACTTACTACGAACGTCTTACTGGCATACGAGTGTGCAACCACTTTATCTCCGGTGCCACCGTAGTTGTGAGAACAGTATAGGTGTACATCACCTCCCCTGCCTCGTTTTTCCAGTGATCATACAGACCAGCAAACTATCAAGAGGTTACAACTAGTAAGCAATTACAGTGCTTCTAAACCACATCCTTCAATTGTATTTGCTTTCTGCATGACGTACCTTCATCAGACTGCCTTCTCGGTAAAAGTAGTACGGCTGCTTCTCTCTTTTACCCACTTGTTGCCACTCGTAGTATCTGTACAACGTCGTTAGATTGCACGAAGAACCTCATGAATGACACGATACAAAAATGTTCACCCTTCACACAGCACGACACATCTCTTCGTTTCCAATACCCGCTTAAATGCCGGTCTCTCCTGTACATTCTCGGATCTGTGTCATAACACAACTGTCACATTTTCTATACATCCTGTTGCCACAGCTTAGTCTTGTACCTGGCATTGAACATCAGAAAGTGGTCTGGTGTTCCATTTGCCTTGGTAAATGACGGAACTAGTCCCCACTTCGTATACCGGTAGTAACACATCCACAGGTCAATTGAAAACGTCTAGATATCCATTCTAACCGGCACCACGTACACGCATGGCCCGCAAATGCGTCTTCACATGCTTTTTGCTGTCTACCTTTTCTCCACCATACTGCAAAAGTACAGGTCCATATCGTCCTGGCCCCATATTCTCCACTGGATGATCTATTACACAGCAAGTGACCTATTTAGCTTCCCAACGCACTTCCTAGCTAATCCTAATCAATCCGCGCAATTTGCCAAGCATTTTCAAGCATTGTCTCTCTTCGTACACTTGTCGCCATCCACAAACTCTTTCAGAGCGACACCTGCGACTTTCGCCACCTGCTCGCGCGTCAACGTGCAGCGCGATCGACCACACATGGAAAATTTAACTGACAAGTCGCAATCGAATTTGCAAGGTGAAGGTGATGTGATGTCAGAAGCATACGTCCTTTCGCAGCGCCTTGACCACCCGGCTAGAAAATATGTCATCGAAATCAACGCCTGCAAAGACGTCTTGGACGTATACGGGTCGATTCCATTTGATTGTTGCAGGACGTCAAACGTGATTATTCTCGACATAGCGTCTGGTGTCTCAATGGAGCTATTGGTTGTCGACAGTTGCTGCTGCTTTATATGATCCGGAAGACAACAGGAACAAGTCGAGCTTTGCCAGACATGGTCTCACCTTTTTCGACTTGTCTGCGAACCTGTCCAGGATTCGCAAGCTATCTACACTCGCAAACGTTTACATAAGCTTGTGGCTGACAACCATAAGCAAACGACTCAGCTCAAAATGTTCTCAAGCGGCACGAGGATGCAAACGTATCCTTAGACGGTTTGTAGCAATACATTTGGAGTTGCACATCAAGCTGAATTACATATACCTCGTCTTCATTTGCGTTTTCTTGACAAACTGCAACAAAAGTCACACAGTTTCTCGGTACTAGCCTCTTTCATCTGAATATGCCAACGACTATGTCTACATGTACACCACTTACTAGCATGTAATGTCGAAGTAAGAATATTCATTTCTTGGACAGGGGCGACAGACCGTTGTTTACTTTCCAGGCAACGCAAAAATGTCGGCTATTATGTACGTTACGCTCCAATCCTGCGTCTGGGCGTGATTACACGCCGTATACTCACGCACGTATTATTGCCAGCAGAACTAGCACACGCCGTGTGTCGTGAGGCCCGACTTTTGATGCTGAATGTTGGACTGGAGGGAGTGCACAATGTCCTGAAAGTTCTTCTTCTCCGCCTTGGGCGACGACATTGCCGTGTCGACCAAGATATGGTGCTTCTCGAGAGCCTCGATGGCCTTGATAATGTCTTGAACCAGCATGTTCGCCATATGCGACGAAAAGTTCTGCTTCACAACCACACGCATGATCGTCAGCGATTCGGCACCGCTGGAGCATGTATAGGCTGGAACAATCCATCCGCGGCTCTTGAGCTTATCCTGGATGTCAAAGCAACTGTAGCGCGACGAGTCAATCAGCGCAAACGCCACGAGCGGCATGTGCTGCTTGTCCACCACACGAAAGTGACCGGTAGCCACCAGCGCTTCGCGCAGCAGCTGTGCGTTCTTCATACTAGCTTCCATGATATGACGATATCCATCAAACCCGAATCTGAGCAAGTTGTAATATTGTGCCACCACATTACCCGCACCCTTGGAAAAGTTGAGCGTAAAAGACGACTGATCTCCACCCAGGTAGTTCACATGAAACACGAGATCTTCAGGAAGATCATCTGCCTCACGCCATAAAGCCCACCCCATACCAGCGTATACAAGTCCGAACTTGTGGCCACTGACGTTTATACTCTTGACATTAGGCAAACGAAAGTCCCATTCAAGCTCTGGGTTGATGAATGGGGCTATGAAGCCACCACTGGCCGCGTCCACGTGTAGCGGGATGTTCCATCCATTGGCCTCATTCTCAGCCACCAGCATGTCGTGGATCGACTTGACGTCTTCGTACTCTCCATTGAAGGTACTGCCCAAAATTGCACTGACTCCGATCGTGTTCTCGTCGAGGAGAGGACGCGCGCGCTGCGCCGTGAGTACAAGACATTCCGGAGACACGTCTGCTTCGCGAATCTCAATCTCAAAGTACTTGCACATCTTGTGCCAACAAACTTGCACATTCGAGCCAAAGACCATGTTAGGCTTGTCGTAGGACAAGCCGGCAGCGATACGGCGGTCTTTCCACTTGCGCTTCATAGCCAGACCAGCGAGCATAATGGCCTCCGAGGAGCCAATGCACCCCGTGCCTGTGGCTTTCTGGTTGGGTTCTAGCGGCGCATGGTACAAATTGGCTAGCATCGTTACACAGCGGTTATGAATCTCTGCTGTCTGCGGGTATTGGTCCAGGTCAATGTAGTTCTTGCGAAGGCCTTCAACCATCAAGTCCTCTGCCTCAGGTTCCATGTACGTGGTGACAAAGGACGCCAAGTTCATCTTAGGATTGCCGTCGAGCGCTAGCTCGTCCTTAATAAGCTGGTGCGCCACACGCGCAGGCACCGAATGCTGCGGCATTACGTTGGATGGCAGGCTGGCGGACATGAGCGGATGGCCGTAGACACCCTCTGTCTCCAGCTGCATCTCGGTGGCATCAATCGAGTATTTTTGTGTGTCTACTTGCATAATGAAACAAAGTGATGGAGTTTGATCACGTGAGCAGGAACGAGCAAGTTGAAGAGTGAGAGTGAGATGCAGTTAGTGGGTGCGATCTTTTGAGCATCATGTCATATCGTACTTAAATGAAGAGGAGACTGGATATAACTAACTGTCTACTATAAGCAAGATAAAAAAATTCAAGTATCCACCTTTGCAAATCAAATCAGTTTTCATGATCGACAAACAAAACCGTCGCAAACAAATACAGATGGGGACAGGAGGGAGAAAGAAGGTCTGCAGCTGAAGAGAGAACAGCAATGATTCACATCGAAGAACAATAAACGTAAAATCCATTTCTATTGCTTGTTCACTGCCGCGTCTTCTTTGCCATCTTGATCTCACGCTACTTTTTACCGCTGCTTGCACTCCTGATTTTTTCCTGCACCTCGTTCTGTAAAAAGACAAAAAACACACGAATTAGACGAATTAGCGTATACATGAGTTATACATGTACGCTATCGAGGCGCACGCAATAGTGTAGGACCGCACCTGCAAACGTGAAAAGAATTCCTTCGAATTGGAAAACTGCTTTGACGAGCCCTCGATCTGTTTGCCCGTCGTAATGTTCTTGGCGCTGGCAATGCTCTCAAGCATCTTCTTCTTCTCGTATTTGTTGCCCAGGCCGGGATTAAGCTTTGCCACTAGCCGCTCGTCAAACTCGTGCTGGCGCTTCTCCTTTCTCCGTGCGTGCTTCTTGGCGTTGCGTAGCGCCTTGCGCTCAGTTTGAGTCATCTCGTCCTTAGATTGCAGGACAGCCTCACCGCGCTTGCGCTTCTTCTCGTAAACCTCCTCCGGTGCCTTCAAGTTTGCGTCGCTCACGCTGATAGGAACTACTTCCTCCATTGCGATCGCAGGCACTGCAGGCTTTACTTGCAGCTCCTTCACGGCCGGCTTGGGCGTAAAGTGGTAATTCGACAGCGCGTCAAGCTTCCAGCATAGGCTTTTGAACATCACGTCAATCTCTTCCTGGTCCTGTTTGGACTCGTCATCAGCCTCAAAGCCCATTGCGGTCTTCATGTACTCCTTCTCATAGATCTCGCCCAGGCCTTCCTTGGACTTTTCCATTGACACCTCTTCCAGCTTTTTCTTCTCATCCTCCTCGTTACCAGCAAACTTGCGGATTACATCATCAAAGTCATTCTCTAGAATACGTTTCTTGACCATTTTCTCAAGCGCAATAGAAACCTCCTCCGTGATCACAGGAGCTATCTTTACTGGTATGTCGTAGTCCAGCACCGCTTCTAGCAAACTATTTTCCGGTCGAGCAGCCGAACGCACCTCACCCTTCAGCAGCCACGGCTTCTCGCTAACGGCTTCTCGTTCTAGTTCTTTAATCTCCTTCTGAAGGCGCTGGCGCTGACGCTGATACGACGACATGATGCCACGCTCGTCAGCCTTTTCGGCATCGACATTGTCGACCTCATCAGGCTTCGTGCGGTTAATTGTCGGATATTCCTCTTTGTTGTTGTTGTCGTTCTGTATCTCACAATCGTTTAAATTTTCCTCTTCCTCATCTTTGTCACCCTCTCCATCTTCTTCTTCTTCAGCCTCGTCACTGAAAAAGTCATCGTATTTTATCTCCGCACCTCCAGCATCCAGCCCTTCCTCCATCTCTGAGTCATCTGTATCGTCATCGTCATTGTCATCATCTCCATCTCCATCCATATCCTCATCATCGTCATCCTCCTCGTCTTCAGCCGCCTTGTCCATTTCGTCCCAATCAAAGAATCCATCCTCCGCAACATCACGAGCTTTCTTGCTCTTCTTCTTATTATTATTCTCCACATCTTTCTTCCCTTTATCGGATTCAACACTGCTAGCATCCGATTGATCCTCCTCATCGCTTCGGTCCTCGTCCGAGTCCTTCTCCTTCTCGTCGCTTTCGGCATCATTGTTTCGTTCCTCCCCCTCTTCACTCTCCTCCTGCTTTTTTGACGGAAAGAGAAGAATATTGTCGGGGTTCTTGCTGAACGTGCGGATGCGCTGCGTCATTTCAGTCACCAACGGACCGTTAAGCAAGCGAAGTTGCTCCCAGACCTGGTTCGCATCGAATTCGTCGACATAGAGCTCTTCCAACGGCTGTGCGTCACTCTCCTTGCTCTGATACTTGGACGTATGGTCATATGCATGCTTGACAAATGCTTTAATCTCCCTGGCAACTTCTTCCGACGGCGTGAAAAACACCTACACAGGATAGGATAAGTATTACACTTTTCATATCGATTCTACTAACAACAGCACATGCGTCTCCCAAAATGCAAATAGTATACAAACCTCTGGCTTCTGCACCACATTCTTGCGAAAACTAGCTATCACGGACGCGTTCATTGCTGTCTTGATTGTCTACGTCAAACCAAAGTTGCTACCCTTTCGTGATCCAGTCAAAGCGCTAACAAAGCCAGGACGTAGAATAAATTCAATTCATGTCATGACACAATAAACGCCCAATGGATTGCAATATACCAGCTGTGTACCGGTACTTGGAAGGAAACTACGTACGACTGCGTTGACCTTCTGTCAACATACAAGTAATGTGCATCCAAAAATGCTACTGTCAATAGCTGGCTGTGCGTGTTTGACATTTCAGACGTCATTGTATCTTCACTACCTGTCACTACTACCTATTGTTGTGGATTGTTACGGCTTTTCTCGATTGCAACAATGTATGAGCAGTCGGAAATGGTGCAACCAGCTTGCTCTTTAGACAAAGATTATTATATTCAGTAGACTGACTGTACGGCGTTAAAAAGACGATGAGTAGATTTTGCAAATAACCAGGACGCGATAGCCGCACCAAGGTACCATAACTTGTTGCTGCCGTTTGTACAATGGCAAGTCGGCCACAGCCGCGCGTTAAGTTTACTCTCGTATTAAATCCTTTTGCTTGTCACGTCGCAATGCTGTCATACACAAAATGAAAGTTCTTATGTCAATTTTGTATATTTATACATTAGAATTGGCAGCGCGTCAGCCACAGCCTTTCACTGTTTTCACTTGCTTTACCTGTCGGTAAGACGTCGTGTCGTCGCATAGTCGGTCATCTCATTTACCTTTTCGGGTTTTCTTCTTAGTCTTGACCTCGTCTTCGTCACTTGACAATCCATCGCGTGGAATGTCGTTCCAGCCGCCTGGCGGTAAGTCCGTGAACTTACGTGCATGGCGCTTGATGTATTTGTTCATCGAAAACATGGTGAACGAGTCACGCTGAAAAACCTGCTGCATCCTATCGTCCAAAAGAATAGTGCGTTTATCCTGCGGATCCTGCAGATTGTGCTCGTGAATGTATGCCCATAATGCCTTTACAATCTGCGGCCGTGCCATACGGTCACTACCGACAAGTGAAGCCAGTTCCGGCGACAGGGATAACTCCGTGTTAAACGGGTTCGCCTTCTTCTTGACTTCGTCGTCTCCCTCATCCATTGATACGCTTTTCTTCTTTCGTTTCGTTGGTTTCTTCACCTTTGCTTCCATGTCTTCATCACTTGAGACGCCATCGCGTGGGATTTCACTCCATCCTCCCGGCGGCATATCGTCAGGCTTGCGCACATGACGTTTGACAAACTTATTCATACTGAACATCGTAAACGAGTCACGCTGAAACACGCCACGTAGCGTATCATCCAAAATAATCGATTTCTTGTTGTTTGGATCCTGCAAATTATGCTCTCGAATGTAGGCCCACAGTGCCTTGACAACTTGAGGTCGTGCCATGGTCTTTGCACCTACAACCTGCGCAAGCTCCGGAGACAAGCACAGCTCTGCATTAAAGCCTCCTCCTCCACCCGTCTTCTTTCCTTCCTCTCCTTCAGCCTTCCGCTTACGTTTTTTTGGTATCGCTTTCTTCTTTGTAGAGGTCGCCTTCTTCTTCCTCGGCGCACGCTGCTCCTCCTGTTCATTCTCCAAGTCGTCATCGTCTTCTTCTTCATCACTTGAGTCAGGCTCTCTCTCCTTTTCCTCTTCTTCATCCTGTTGCTTCTCGATGATCTCGAGAATCGTCGCATTGATCACATCCTTGTAGCCCGACAAGTCTGTGTGGAACTGCCCCTCCAACTGCTTGCGGATCATGCGACGCGATAGCTGCTCCAAATCTGCATCCTTGAGAATAAGACGAATAGCATTCGTGATCTCTGTCACGTCTACAGTCGGTACCATGGGCTCCTGATCTAGCCCCGATAGATCCAGTTCCAGTCCCATGCTGTCGCTCATGGCACTAGGCGCTTTAATAGCAATTTATTTTGTAACATATTAAAAAACCCTTTGAGAAATAAAACCTAAGGATAATCATGCACACATTGAATTGCAAGTTCAGGGAAGCCAATATCTTACGTATGATATTTTACCAATAAGGTGCACGTGAGAAACAGTTACATACTAACAGTTCTATTGATACAACGTAGCAATATCAGCGTATATTGTGAGTAGTGGGGTTTTCATCACACTATGAATGCAATGACCACGGATGCTGCGACTACTAAGCTTCCACAAATCCATTTTTCAACTCTTCGTAAAGTACCTGTATTGTCATTGTAGTGATAGTTTATGTGTCCGTTGGTGACATACGGATCGAGACAAAAGTTTGTTCTTTCCTGTGACTGAGATTACAAACATCAAGCTACGTGCTTAGTGTTGCAATCAGCTGCTACGTATTGCATAAGTGCATGGTGCTGTAAGTTGTTTGCGACGTGATAAAAAACACTCGACTGGAACAAGCAGTGTAATGTCACGAAATGCAACGACACTGAAAGAATTCTACAACCACAAACTGAGTCAATTAGTCCAAGTGACGACGTTTTTGTAACCTATAATGACGACGTTTGCTTGATTTGCTTTGCGTTGTTACCAAAACGTTCTACACAACCTTAGGCCTGCTACTAACATTCGTTTGACATGTTGCTTGCAAAAGAATCGAAGAATCGAAGGACCTTGCAAATACATTTTCCATATTGTCTGTATTTTGATGAATGGCTGAAACACAAATAGAGCACGTTGACTGAGCACGCAACCACAAGATTGTTTGATCACCGCAAATCAGTTGTTAAGTGTCTGCACTCATAACATGCAGTCATGTCCAATATGCAAGACCAAAGTGGACAGGACCAAACAGATATCAGTACAGAAAAGGCTTCAACAATTGCCAGAGAGAACACGATCGTTACATCCGTCTCCACGGGTCCGTAGTAGCCAAAACAAGTGCTTAGACAACGACTGGTTACCATCACTCCAGTTCAAATGCATTTTTCTTTGCGTTCATCTTCACCTTGTATCCAGCACAGTGCTATCCAGAATTGCATTCATCTTTTTGCTCCTGTAAAAGTCTAGCCGTACGTAACTCTATCAAACAAATCTAACGCCTTATCGACGACTGGTCGGTGAGCTTTGTGCTAGCAATTGCTTGGTCACGTTCGTTAATCTCTCCAACTCCTTTGGCGTCGCCGGTCCTCCAGCACTACAAAAACAACGCCCACAACCATTTAAGTCAACAACCATCCACATCCACTCAACCAACCAGCCAAATATCCTAATACAACAGCGTACATCCATCGAATGCGTCCTTTAGCATCTACAAGATGTGCATAGCCCACGAAACTGTTGTCCAAAGCCATAGGCGTCCGAAACTCATCGCAACGTCCGAAATATGCAAATGTCATAGCGTGCAACTCCTTAGGAGTCTTTGCTTGCAATCCTTTCGTAATGCTTCCACTTACGACTCTCATGTACCATTCCTCAATCACATTGAGTGTCAATGTCTGCACACGGGTGTCAAGTTTGCCCTTTTTGTCACTCAAAGCAGCCGTGAAACCATCCCGCCAAGCTGGCAGCATGTTCAGGCCGTAATTCTTGAAGGATGTAAGCATGAGTGTGACCTTTCCCGTGGTCACAAAGCTCTGTATATTCACCTTCTTGCCTTCCAAAGTACTCACATTCAACGACGGGACTTTTTCCGCTTTCGCCACTTCAATGAGCGTCTCAGAGCCTTCTAGCACCTTGCCGTCCGTGTCATTAAGTTTCTTAAACTCTGCAAACATATTCGGTCGGTATTTCTTTACCACCTTACGATCTGCCTCCTCAATCATCGCATCTAGAGTTTCCAAGGCGTTGCGCAGATTCTGCGCTGGAGACGCACGTATCGACAGAATTTTCTTGGGTTTAGCAGCGTTTGCAGCGGGAAAAGGAGATGTTTCGTTGTGATTTGGATCTTCTAAAGAGCTGGAGAAATTAACATGGAGCGGCATGCGACAGCGGCACAGCACCGACGCCCGCAATCGAGACCGCAGTATAAGGCTCATGCTGATGGACGAGGTGAGGAATAGGCGAAGTTATGTTGCACGAACGCAATGTTACGTTAACACTTGCAAGACATTTTGGCGCAACATAAATCGAGACAGCAATATTATGTGATAACGTTGTCACAGAACTATCGTTATCAATCATTTTTCGCATAATGATAAGACCAGATCCCATGCGATTTTTGTAATCCGGTCCTTCACGGTAGTCGACCACATTAGTCTACTATTGTGCCGTGCTTGTTTGCTTGTAATACTTTGCCACACCTTGTATTTAAAGACCAAGACAAGAGCAGCATCGACGGATACAAGAAAACTGTTACCGCGGTACACCTGGTACGAACGATGACGAAATCCGCGGAGCTTATGGATTCACATGACGAGCTCCAGGAATGATGTTTGTACATACGCCCCTAGACCCTTCCCACCCACTTGCAGCGTGTGTGTGTTTCACAGCTGCTAGCCCTATCTTGCCTCCATCATAGTGTCATACGGTCCTTGTCAGTCAAACCTGTACGCACTGAAAGAACAAACTAGATGCATGCATGAACGAGCAAAAAGGTACTCAATGCTGATTCAGAAACTGTAAGAACGAGAGCAGAAGTTTGGACGGTTCCACTTGGCGGATCGTGTGTGGTACCAACAACTTCAAAGTGACCTGGTGCTGATGGATAGAGTAGGCGGAGTTAGTCTTTGCGAAGCACGTGCGTTTTGTTGAGATGTGCAGCGCTGCTGCTTTTTCCTGCTGTTGCTAATTGCAACAAAGACTCTTAGGAGGGACCATCGTCGCATTGTCGAGCATCACTACGTAGTGTTCAATTAAGAATCCGCTTACCTGGTACAATAGCGTGCGTACATCACTTGACCATGCAGTAGGTACGTCACGATTGACCTTATGAACCGCAAAGGAAGATAGCCCCAACGAAAAGTGCAAGATGCGGTGATGCAGCGGTCGACGCTACGGGCCGTGAGTAATGCAGAGCCTATCGCGGCACGGGAACATAAAGTCGACAGTTCAGGCTCTCTTTTCAACCTCGCGTGTCGTCCACCGAGGGCATCACTGCACGATGCTCAGAAAGCATCATGATCCATGCACGAAATTACTGTGATACACTCTAGTCACTACTACACCGTTTATAAATGAATATATTGCACACGTGGTCAGCAATCAACCTACATTAACTGAAAGCAGCTGCTTGGGAGAGCAAGCAGCTGTCTCGCACGAACACTTATGATACAGGCATGTACTCGCACAGAAACCAATCAATCAATCAATCATGAGTAGTGGTGGTGGTGATTTAAGCATGCTTCGCTCTAACTCTGGCTACAAGCTTTTTCTACGTCACATTGTGAAAAGTACTGATGGAAGTGCACTAAACTCGTAGCATTGACATTTCACAACCAAAAGCGAAGCCATCGTCGTGACGCTGCTTTTTGTTCGCGAAGTACACAAAGTAGTAATCCGCACGACATTCCTTTTTTAGACAGTATAAAGAATCGTCTGGAAGGGTCAGCAGGACAAGAAGTCATCTTTCATACTTACGTAGCAGGTGGTAAATGTGTTACTCTACATGTTTTCCACCATCCATCTTCATACTCTAGGAACATTTTTTCAGATTACTTCGAATCTGGTCTCAGAGAAATCACACCTTCAATCTCATACAAATTCCTAGTCTTTTTGTGTTTTCAATACTTCTGTAGTCAAGAAAGCCGTATAATTTAGCTGGCTTTAGCATATCTTTGCCCTCTAGGTAAAGGCTTGGCCCAGATGCCCCGACAATCCGACTACACTACAACTTACGTGCGTAAGATTCAAACACAGCAGGAGGAGCAACCGCGTCGTCGCTTGATCGATCGTTTTCTCCCCTCCTCCCCCTACCGTAACGCACCTTCCTCTCCCTCCGCTTTGCCGTTTATCGCTCACAACTTCACTTGCTGACTCTCGCGCCTCGGTCTCGTTTGTCCAATCCAGTAGGATACGTACATACATATAAATAATACTGTAAGACACGAGTCGAAATGGCCGGAAATTCCGACAAAACGGCGGCTCCGGCTGCTGCGAACGATGGCTATTCGTGCATTAAATGCGGCCGTGACGTGTCCGATTCGGACACGTTTTGCATTTACTGTGGCACCAAAGTGAGTCTCTCACATTCGCAGCGCAAAGCTGCAGCTGGTCCACCTCCGGTCACAGCTCCTCTTCCTAAGCAAGCACCCCCTGCACCCCCTGCTCCGCCTGCAGTGGCCAAGCAGGCGCCCCCGCCTCCGGCTGCCAAGAAGCCCGACCCGATGCCAGCAGCGGTACCTACGTCTCCCAAATCGTCTGCAAACCTCAAACGGGCAGCTTCTGGACCGGCTGTCAAGGAGACCGAGCCGAGGCAGTCGGAGCCCAAGCAGGTTGCGGCTCCCAAGTCTGCTGGCCGCCCTCCTACGAGTGGTCAGTCAACGGCCCCGTCCAGTGGCAACTCGGCCGTCTCCCGATCGACTCCGGTGCCCGCTCCTGCTCCTGCTCCCGCTCCCACTTCCGCTCCGGCGCCAACGTCGGCGTCAACTGCCGTTCCACAGCGTCGCCCACAGCCAGCTGCTCAGCCGTCGCCATTTGCCGGGCGCTCGCAAAGCGATGGACGCATGAATGAGAATAGCGGCCGTGGCTCGCTGGATGGTATGCCGTCCGACGTTGCCGGTCTAGAGAAGCTCTGGGTGCCTGATAACTTTAGCAATGAATGCATGGATTGTAAGACTCCCTTCGGCTTCCCCAAGCCACGTCGCCATCATTGCCGTGTGTGTGGTCTACTGTTCTGCCGACCTTGTGTGAACCACAAGATTCAAGTGCCAGCCTCATTCGGCTACGGTAATGCGCAACAGCGATGCTGCCGTAACTGTATCACTGCCCTGCAGATGAAGGCCATTACGACACCTGCTGACGTGTTCGCGCAACGTCGAGGCCCCGTTAACCGCTCCGTGTCTGGTCAAGAGAGCTACGATGTTCTCGGTGTGTCTAAGGACGCTTCCCCCGAAGAGATTGCTGCTCAGTACAAGAAAAAGTCGCGCTCAATGGACCCTACAAAAATTGAGGACCAAGCGACTCTTGAAAAGATCAACGACGCGTATCGCAATCTCCAAGACCCCAATGCCCGTGGTCGTGACGAGTCGGGTCGCTCTCGTGACTCGAGTCTGCTGGGCAGTGATCCGACCAGTCACTTTGTCTCGGACACTGCACGTAGCGACCAGACAGAGTGTCAGGTCTGCTTCCGCCCCTTTAAACTCGGTCGTCGTCAGCACCATTGCCGTCGCTGTACGCGCAGTGTATGTAACCAGTGTAGTGTTGAGTCAAAGCCTATTCCGGAGCTGGGTTTTCCCGTGCCGGTGCGTCACTGTACATCGTGTAACGAAAGTCCGCCAAATTTCATCAAGCCAGTCATGGACCCTGTTTCCAAGCCGCCTGCTGGCTTTGAGTACCTGACCAAGCTCGATATTCTTGTTAATATTACTGCCAAGACGAACGGCAGCACCCCCGACACCGAGACGTACATGTTGAAGATATACTGCGAGCCAAATGAGGCTGCTGCCAATGCTGCTAACTACACGGTAACTGAGTCGGACCGTGCCGTCACGCATGAGTACCAGATTTTGGAGGAGCGCAGCATGGCTGATTTTGAGTGGCTATTCGTAAAGCTTGGAGACTTTTCAAATCCAAAAGCCTTGCCGAACTTTCCAGACAAGCGAACAGCGCGTAATGACCGCGAGAAGATGCTGCAGACTTTCTTGTATGGTTGCATGCTCCACCCGCTTTTGCGTGATGCGGACTGCCTGAAGGCTTTCTTGGCGCTACCAACGGAGCAGCTGCGTCAGTTCCAGAAGAGCGGCAAGAAGTCGTTGTACAACACGGACGAATACAATACGCTGATCAAGTCTCTACGCCTGGAGCTGGAAAAGGCTCAGATTCGTACCAAGGTGAACGCCTTGATCGACCGTCAGAAGAAGCAGAAGCAGCGTTTGTCCCAGCAGGCTGCCCGTGCGGAGGAGCAAAAAAAGCGTGAAGCCGCTCAGAATATCCGTCGTGAGCAGGCTGCCTTCCGTTTCAAGGCTCTTGAGGCTCGTAAGGAATCTCAGACTGAGCGTATGGAGCGCGAAAAAGAGCGCTATGAGAAGCAGTCAAGCACCACGCACATTCTATTCTTCGATGTCGTGCGCGATCAGTCTGTGCGTAATAGCGAGGAGGAGACTCGCATTAAGGAGAAGGTTGAATTTACAAAATCGAAGGACAGTTTTCAGCAGGACACAACGCAATGGAACAGCGATATGGCTCAATGGTCAAAGCACCGTGCTGACTGGTCAGAGGCTCACAACCCCGCCGTATCAAAGGATATTGCAAACGATTTCATTGTGCACTCGTACGGTATATTCCACTCTCTCAAAGATCAGCAGGACAAGATACCGCGCGAGCTTGTTGGCTTGCATGCAGATTTTGTGAAGATTCAGGAAAAGGAACCTGAGCTATTGGAGGAGGAAGGAAACACCGTTGATGAAGAGTGGATGAAGCTTGCCAAGGAGCGTGAGCACTGGACCAGCAGTCGTGCGAACATGAAGCGCGAGGATGAAATGTGTCGCGACGAGGATGCTCGTTACAAGCAGGAGCATGAGTATGTCCGTCTGGAGGCCGAGGCTCGCCAGAAAAAGGTCAATACTATTGAGGCTGACCTGCTGGCACTCAAGACGGAAATTAATGCCCGTACACGCTCAATCGCTCAGCGCCGCTCGCGCCACGAGGCTCTTGACGAAGAGTACGAGCACGAGTGGCGTGTTGTGCAAACGCAACGCATCGACACCACCAAGTCGCGTCTGGATGAACACACGGCCCGTATTACGCGTGGCACGAAGCGTACGGATGTCTTCACGGACCAGCTCGCCCGCCAGACCAAGTCACAGCGCATGCTGCTGTTCAAGCGTGCTGCCCTTACGGAAGAGCGCAAGGCAGATTGCAAGCTGTTTGATGAACATCGTGAGGATTGTAAGAATACTCTGGATGAAGCTCGCAACGCTCTGGTCATCACGCCCGAGTATGTTGCTCGTCTAGAGGCGGACATGAAGGTTCGTGCAAGCGAGTTGCACGCTGTGAAGGACAGCAATAAGCGTATCCCGCAAGAGGGTGCTGATAACGAGGTGGACGAGCGTGATGAGTTCATGAACGATGTCCGCCGTCGCCGTGCCCAGTTCCAGAAGGAGCTTGACGACCAGGCTGCTCAGCTTGAGACCGAGAACAAGTTGTGCACGTCTTTGTTGGCACGTATGAACCAGCACATTAAGAGTCTTGAGGAGGAGGTAAAGAACGCTGCGTTGGAGGAGGAAATGATCGCACAGTTCAACAAGCTGATTGCGACAGAAACGAAACTTTTGGCGGACGAGGAATCGAAGCGTGAGGAAAAGAAGCGCCTTATTACCGAGCTGATGAACAACGCTGGCAACTGGGTGCTGGACTCCTTGCATGAACATTCGAACCGCAAGAAGGTTGAGGCGAACCGCCTTGTGAAGCAAGCTGTTCGTGCTGCCGACCTACAGAAGCTGGTGCAGCACTTTACTCACCGTGTGATCGATCAGGAGGAACGTATCATGCGTCAGAAGCAGCGCATTCTGAACGGTGAGCACAAGGTAGAGATGCTGAAGTCCTCCGACAACTGGTACCAATATGTAACCGGCCATGCCGCCGACCTTGGTAAGAAGGATATGAAGATCCTTGAAGCCGGTCGCAACGAGCGCAGTGAAGATTTGAAGGAGTCTTCACGTCTGCAGAAGGACGATGAATCTGACATCAAGAGCGTGGTGAAGGAGCTGTCTGCAAGCCGCAATTGCGCTAAAGAGAAGGTGGAGAAGCGCGAGATCTGGGCCCAGGTTGAGGACGTGTACAGCGTCTCGAAGCCGCAGGAGAAGGACGAGGACATGATGATGACCTCACAAATTCGTAGTCTGCTCCAGCAGTTGGCTGAAGCTTTCGAGATGCTGACGAACCGTCTCCTGGAGGAGGAGGAGAGCTTGCAGCACGCTTCGACGCAGCTCGAGGGTGAGATTGACTCGATCAACGCTTTTATGGAGCGGATGGAGAGCGAGGAGAGCGCACTGTGCACGACTGAGAAGACTTCGCTTGCTAAGGAGTCGCAGGTACGCCGTTCGGAGGCTGACCTGATTGAGCAGCGTGCGCGTACTTTGATTGAAAGTTACAAGCAGATGCAGGCCGAGCACTTAAAATACCCCGTTGAGCTGGGTAAGATCAGGAGCCGTCGGTCTGAGCGTGAAAAGCCGATTTTACCACGTGAGGCAGAACTTGAGGCCGCTAAGAAGCTCATCAAGAACCGCAACTACTACGATCGCAAGGCGTGTGCTGAGTTTGTAAAGCGGTTCAAGGTTGACCGAGAAATGAAAGAGGTACGTGACGTATTTGACTGGCTAAAATTTGTCACCGAGCGTGACATCAAGCGCATGGAGAAGTGGCTTGACTTGAGTCGCAAAGAGCGTAAGGAAATTGAGAATCTGAAGGTGAAGGCCAAGGAAATCAACTGGGATGAAGACACGCTGGAGCGTATTCCTGCTCTGAAAGAGATTCAGAAGAAGTTGGCTCGGCAAAATGGTGTCCCTTCTAGCCACAGGGGTGGCAATAATGATGGCAAGTTGGCTGATGCTGTGCACCCGTCGGAGCAATGGATCGTGGAGCTTTTGAAGCTTAAAAAGAACATTTCGGAGATTGACGTGAAGCTACTAAAGGATATCAGCGTGACTGTTGACGCGGCCGTGAGCGAGGAAGATGTGGTAAATGCGAACTTGAAGAAGATGAAGACGGATAAGGAGTACGTGCTTAACAGCATCCGCTTCATTGACCAAGAAGAGGCTAAGGCAATCCGCAGTACAGGTAAGGGCGGCGTGCCCGGTCGTCACAGCCCTGGTTCGGAGAGTGGCAGCTACGTGAATAGCGAGGATCAGCCGACTCCAAAGGCCCGAACGCCTTCGCCAAAGCCGGCACGTACTACGTCACCGGCCCAGTCAAAGCAGACTGTATCGCCGCCGAAGTTTTCACCAAGCAAGTCGATTACGACGACGCCTTCTCCACCATCAACATTTAAGCCGCGTCCTATACAGGCAAAGCCTCGGTCAGAGGAGTTCTAGATAGAGAACTGTAAGGCTGGTGAGTTGTAAGCGGCTTGATGGTCTCGTGTGACGTCGGTATCTATGCGAAGCACAAGCCGCTCGCATATTGCTTGTTTTTATTCCCATTTTCATCGTATAATGTGCTTTTTTAAAAAGTGGTTTATCTTTATTTTTCATTCGCAGTAATCCTGCCTTAGAACAAAGCGCATTGTTATGTATTACTAATAAGAGAGAATATTACAAAGTGGAATATCATGTTAGAAAGGATCGGCATAAACGGGCTGCGACAAATTAAACAATTGTACGTAATCAAGAACAATCTTGACAGATGAGACGTCAAGAGACATGAAGAAACCCAAATTTAAATTACAGTGTACATTTTATGTCTAGCATATGTCTAATGTCTGTCGTAGCATGGTACAAAAACAGGCATGTATTATTTTGAATGTCGTCACGAAGACAAAGGTCAAGGTCATGCATGACATATTAAGCAAGACCATTCGTTCGTACAGCCTAAGCGCAAGACTTCAATCATCTCTCTTTATTATACGACGATCAATAAAGTCACATTTTATTGATCTTATGTCCATGATGGTGTTAGCTGACACGCTGACTGGTAGAAAACTGAATCAAGTCCTTATCTTTTGCAAGAATACGACATCACACCCCGTCACAAGACTGGGTAGACTAAGGTCTAGAGGTGTATCTAGATGTAACTTGGAAGCCCAAATAGTTTCTTTAGTTTGTCTTCGTTGTGGTCGTTATTGTCATTGATTCAAACGCTAGTGTACCCAAGTTTGGATCCCAACAATAGGTTGCAAGCCGACGACCTAGACGCCACGAGCCTAGCTACGTACGAGCTAGCACGTGTAGATAAAGCAGTGTAAAGGTATACAAGACCATTGTGGAAGCAAGTTTTGTCTTTGTTTTTGCCACCGACTGCACGATATGTGGCCTTGTTCTACAAAGTTACAACGTCTCTCTCATCGTTAAGAATTTTGGAGGAACTTCCCATCCGAATTGCACTTGATTTCTTCCGTATTGCATCGTGTCCAGTGAACTTCATATTCTTCTTTGATTGTTCGTCGGAGACAATGGACGAAAGCTGGATCGCTCTTATCGTCCCTGTTGGTGTCTGCATTCTCTCATGGCTCTGGTCGCTGCTTCTAGCACCACGTTTTAATGTACACGGCAAGCACGTGCTATTCACAGGTGAAGCATTGAGATATACAATCACTTGCGTTTTGTTTTACTTTACTTACTGATAGTGCATGCTTTCCCAGGTGCTGAGACTTCACTGAGTCTAGCAATTGCCAAGAAGTATATCAAGAAAGGGGCCAATGTCTCGCTGATTGGTCCTTCCATGGGATCTTTTCTCAAGGCTGAGCTTCAGGTGAAGGGGGTGACGTGACGTTTCTTGATAACTATACTCATGAACTCATTTGTTGTGATTACGTGATGTAATGTTTGTGTGAATGTATAGAAACTAGCAGGACCCACGGTATCGATATTCATGTTTGAGTGTGATCTCGTGGACTCGAAGCAAGTACAAGAAGCCGTTGAAGAGGCCAATGCATTCCATGGACGACCTACGGACCACATTGTGTACGTCACTAGCACACGTATGAAGCCAGGATACTTTTGGGAACAAGATGTTGCATTAATGAAGGAGGCAATGGATATCAATTACTATGGTGCTGTTGTCCTACTCAAGGTAGAATGCTGTGTATGTGATGTTCTCTTGTTGACAATAAGTGCTGAAGAGATGTGGTTGTTATTGAATGTAGGCTGCTCTTCCAGCAATGATTGAAGCTAAAACCCGTGGACGTATTGTATTTGTGAGCAGTGTGGATACTTTCAAGTTTCCCATTGGTAGTGGTGCCTACAGTAGTTCGATAAATGCCATTCGAGGTCTAGCTGACAGCTTGCGTAATGAGCTGTTGTTGTATAACATTTCTGTGGCCGTCTTCTACCCTGGCACATCGTCGGACAACGTCTTGGACACGTCAAAGGAATCAAAGGCGTTGAAACAAGCTCCACAGGAAGATTGGTACGTTAATCCCAGTCTTGTCTTGCTCGACACTAGCTAATATTGATGTAACTCTTGCTGTTCAGCGCAAACGATAACGACATTTCAACGGGTAGGTAAAACGTTTAGCGTTTGTTTGCTCTCTTTTCTTATTACTAAGTCGTCATTGCTGCATTGTTTCAGATTATTCCACGTTCACGGACCACAGTTCGGCAAGCACAAAGTTGTAAGTCAATGGTCACTGTTTTGCTCTGTGCTGTTGAGTTTTGACAGCCATTTCATTTGCTATTCAGATCCGACAAGGAAGCACAGGTTCTTATCAATGGTCTTTGGTTTGGTCAATATTCTATCACGACTACGTGGGATGGATTCTTGCTCCGTATGCTCAGCAATGGCGTTGCGCCACGGAACAACACCTTCCTGGAGTCCATTTGTCTCTTTCTCACCGGGGTTTTCTATTCCACACGTCAAATGATGAAGGAGAGATCTCTGAAGAAGCCTGTTCATGCTGGCACTGCTGCTTTCGTCTAAAACAGTTACAAGATCTCCAGTGCAGGGTATCGACATATCTGAGTGACGCAATGACGAGATATAGCTTGCCCTAGCAAAGTCAAGTAACGTCGCTTAACTCAAACTCAAGCTGTAGTCTCTTACCAAAATAAACTGTAGTGCTGCAGTGTATTCGTGCAAATTCTGGATCGCCCGAGTCCATAAGTCTTTTCATCCATCGTTATTACACACGCTGTCACGTTTTTGAAGCATCAAGAGACGCAATGACACTTCCTGCTTCGCTCACTTTCTGTTTGAGCACCAATATGACAAAACTTCAAATTGATCTCTCGCGTCTGCAATTCAATTGTAAAGCACATTCTGGATTACAAACGTTTCTTACACGTGCTGAAAACGGAATGATCTTGCGTACAACATGCCATGCCATCACAGTATTGCACAACTTTCAGTATGACCTGCATTTGCTGCAAACAAGCAGACGTCGCCAGCATACACCCAACCATATCGCTTGGGAAGGTTAGCATCAGTCCTGATCGACAGGCGACTGCTGTACTGTTAATATCGGTTCAACCACTTTCGATCTATGTTGTAGGCCTTGCCAGTTCACCGGCAAGCTCCATCATCAGTGTCCGGTAGCGCTTAACGTCAATGGACTTTGACCGTAAGTATAGACCTTGAATCCTCGATTACAGCAAAGATATTATTGGACTCTGGACTATAATACGTCATACCATTGAGCTTGAAAATCACGTACGGATCATTCTTACCACCTATAAACTTCAATGTCGCTAGATGGAAGGTCCAATGCAGTGTTACATGTCATCGTCTATAAGACACACGTGCTGGAAAAATAGAGAATAGCGCGCTAGCAGGTTGTATGTAAGCGTTAAAATAGAGGACGACGTGATATGGGTACATTATTGTTTTCGGATTGATTGATTAATTGATTAGCATTTAAATGTTCCAATCATTAACATACAAGCGTCTTCCAATGCAGGACATAGCATCAGCTTGTTTCGTAGAGCTTGTGCATTAAATCAATGCCACTCACGCACATGTCAAAGACATGACATTCCGCACCTAATAGTCAATTGACTAACCAAACGACAAGACAAAACCTTTGCTTGTTTACCTTGATATCATAGCATATTGCATTGCCTTGGTCTCTTCACGTTTCGATTCGATTGCAATCAGTTCACTCCGATCGCAATGGCTCCAAACCCGACAACGTTTTGTCGGACTGCAAGAGCCTTTGCAGTGCAACGGGAAAAATCTCGAAGAGACGGAGCTGGAAGCTGAATAGGGATCTCAATATGTAAACAACAGCTTGCGACGGGTTACAAGCTGCAGTGTATCGAACTGTTGTGTTCGAGTTTGGCTTTTCCTGTTGCAGAGCACGCACTATTTCGCTTGCTCTTTCTGCTTAGCAACGTGCACCGCAATATCATGATGCAGCATTTCATACTGACGTTGTTCTCTGCGTCCTTGTGGGCCTTCAAACGACGACTGAAGCCAACTAGGTGATGCAGCCACCTTTTGCTGATTTCCACCCGACTGCTCGTTGGACTTTAGCACAGCCAATGCCACATCGATCTTGCTTGCACTTTGAGATACCACATCCTTCACTGCTTGTTTCTTCTCTGTATCCGTCTTATTACTAGCAACACTTGCCTCCTTCGCAGTGTTTTGTCGATTAGCAATACTTTCCTTCTCCAGTCGTTCGAGACGGTCGCGCATTTCTTGGATAGCATTGGCCAGTGCCATATCCTTGTCCTGTCGTTCCTGAATGATAGTTATCTCGCCTTCTACTTTCTCCAGACGCATAGCTTCATTCTCCCGCTCCATTCGTTTCTTTACAGAATAGAGATACAACCCCAAGATAGTACCAGGTCCAAAGGCAAATAACCCGTAAAATAGTTTACGCCTTGGAGATAAAAGTTTCCTGCACCATACATTAACAATAAGATAGTTAGATTATGCATACATACACCTTGTCTGTCGTGTATTACGTACTCCAGCGCGTCCGGAGGTGCATCCATAAAGAGCATCTTCATCCTATCGGCCATGGTCAATAACTAACTGGAGAATGAACACTAAGTTCGTCTTAAGTTCGTAACAACCCCAGTGTGTTCTCTATTTCTTTATGTTGCATTTTTTCCATTATTGTCCGTCTTTTGTATCGATAAAACGACACTTTCCTCATTGTGTCTCTCTTTTTATCCTATCTACTCAGTCTCTTCATCTGCTCCGTCATCATCTCAAAACACACGAGCGCTCTCTGCTGAATCATTGGGTTTCCATGACTCAGCACGCTTGCTAGTGTACGCTCCATTCGTTAAGTCGTGACCTTGGAAGGTATCGCACCCAAACACTCTGCTATCGGCTACACTTAGTGTTTCTTGTACAAAAATTCATTCGACACCCATGGTGCACCTGAACTGCCCGGGTTGACAACCTCAAGGGTCTTGTTGCGGATCTCATCGGCCTTAGCGCGGCTAACACCACGAAGCCAAATTTCAAAACGGTAGTTGTTACCCGCATCCTTTTTATCCTTCTTGTTATTCTGTGAATACAATCAGTAGCAGCATGATGTACGTTAGACCAATGCAAGTATACAAAAGCCATTCTGCAACAGTACACTATGACGATACCTTGTGTATGACTCGGACACCTGTGACTTCATTGCCCGGGTCAATCTGTTCACCAATGGCACCTAGCACTAGTTTCTCCCAGAATTCGTCAAGCTCTTGTGCTCCAACCTCTACCATAAGCGAAAGTGTCCGCACAATACAGTCAATTACAATAATTATTACACAGGACTCGTATACAAGCACACTATTGTCCATGCCTTTTCGGATAGACCACTCGCCGCCGTTTTTGTTCTCTGGATCCTCCCACTCGGGCACAATACCGTCCTTAAAGACAGCAAAACCTTCGACTGTTCGGTCCACAAATTTCTTTCGGGTAAAGCCGTCAAATAGCACCTGACTACTCAATGATAAGCCATTGACACGAAACAACAACACATTGCATCGATTAAACGACAGTGCACCATTAACATTGCAAGTTTTACGGCCGACGACTGGCTGGCAGTTTTCGTTCACCTGGGCGACGGAATATTGTTCCAATAGCCCCAGAATTCCTCAACAGTGCTGAATGTACAGAGTTTAAAAAGTTTATCGCCATAGGACATGTTTTTGCCTTGCTCACGCTGCTCCCATATCGCCCAAGGTTCGTTCAGTTCGTGCTTGTCTCCTGACGCCATTGCGTGAGATATATCCTGCTATGAAGGACTGACGCAGTATTGATTCGCTCAAAACAAGGGACTTGGGATAACGTCATTCATTGGTTGAAATGCATGGCAGTTGCCATATGTTTCTACCTCCTTGCATTCATAGTAACTGCTTTATAATTGGCAGTGATTTAATATGCAGGTCATGTCATTGCTGATTTATTTATTCGCCTGTATACTGCGGCTTGCGTTTCTCCTTAAAAGCCACCAGTCCTTCGATGCGGTCCTTGGTTGGAATTACCTGCGCGTAGCAGGCATTTTCAATGGCCATACCAGAGGCAATATCTACTTCGGAGCCCCTCATTATCGCTTCCTTTGCCATGCGGATCCCAACAGGTCCATTGGGTAGAATCTCACGAGCAATCTCCAGTGCCTTGTCATAGGCCTTGCCTTCGGGTACAGCGTAGTCAACAAGGCCAATCTTCTTGGCAGCTTCAGCGTTCAGACGACGACTGGTGAAGATGAGCTCCTTGGCCTTTGCAATTCCTGTGTATCACAAAGGTACCGGTAGTTTGTGAGCACAACAATACCGTTTACTATTCAGCACCAAAGCAACTCATACCGATCAAACGAGATGCACGCTGGGTACCACCAGCCCCAGGAAGTATTGCCAGGGACGTCTCCGGAAATCCGAGAATCGCCTTGGCTCCAGCAATGCGGAGATCGCAGGCAAGTGCGATCTCCATACCTCCGCCAAGTGCTGCCCCTTCAATGGCAGCAATTGTTGGCATTGGCAGTTGCTCCAGGTCAGTAAATCCTGTGCGATAACCTCGAGAAGTAGCTGCTGCCTAAATTAGTATGAACAATGGCCCATCATCAGCTTAGACAACCTTCCTCTAATCACGCACACATCATCTCAGAATCATCTCACCTCCTGCGGCGCCATGTTCAAGCGTTCCTTCAGGTCTGCACCAGCGCAAAATACTTTAGGCACAACGCTACGCATGATCACGACGCGCACCTTGGGATCATATCGGACCTGATCCAGCGCCTGACGGAACTCGGCCATAAACTGACGACCAAGTGCATTCCGCGCCTCGGGGCGGTCCATTGTAAATAGCGCAATGCCTGTATCCTTTCCGCCTAGTAGCTCAACCTTAAACTGCGTTGCTTTCACGTCCATGCTCATCCAGCGGATCTGCCGTACCGGGCGGCACGTTTTCAGCGCTGTCGTCAGCATCGAGCGTCGATGAGGAAGGAGCTGTGTGCAAACTTCAAGTGAGCGCCATCTTAATGAGATAACACAGCGCGGTAGAAACCGGTACTTGTCTACAGTATTGCGTACCTATTTGTACTGGATGCTACCGGTTTTGGGTACTCGCATACCAGGATGAATGGCTCACGATGATCGCCGATTTGTAATGAAGCATTTCATTTAGCAAAGTCGTTAAAGAATGGGAGCGTACAAGTACCTAGAAGAGTTGTGGAAGCGAAAACAGTCCGATGTGCTGCGCTTTCTGCTGCGTGTGCGTGCTTGGGAGTACCGCCAGCTACCTGTCATCCACCGTGTGAATAGTCCTACCCGTGTAGACAAGGCCCGACGCCTCGGATACAAGGCTAAGCAAGGTTTCGTGATTGTGCGCGTTGCTGTGCGTCGTGGTGGCCGCAAGCGTCCAAACTCAAAGGGTATTGTGTACGGTAAGCCAAAGCACCACGGTATCAACGAGCTAAAGTTCGAGCGCAACTTGCGCTCGGTGGCTGAAGAGCGTGCCGGCAACAAATTCTCAAACCTGCGGGTGCTCAACTCGTACTGGGTCAACCAGGATGCGACGCACAAGTACTTTGAGATCATTATGGTGGACCATTCGCACAAGGTCATTCGTCGTGATCCTCGTATTAACTGGATTGTCAATGCCGTGCACAAGGGTCGCCAACAGCGTGGCCTCACGTCGGCGGGTCGCCAGGGTCGTGGTCTCCGCAAGCGCGGGCACCGTGCCAACAAGATTATCGGTTCATCTTTCCGTCAAAACTGGAAGCGTCGCAACACTTTGTCGCTGCGTCGTTACCGCTCGTAGATGTAGTGCTAGCTCCCTATACTTAGTGACTCGCTGCTGCACTCTAGCTATTGATTGCCATAAGAACATGTTGAATACATGCGACTTTGCTGTCGAGACTCAGTGTCTGTTTATTCATGTCATTAGTTTAGTACATGCATCATTAGTTCAGCACATGTAACAAGCAAGCATTGGAATACAAAGCTCTGTGTCAGAGCAACACCACAATGAGATTCATTCCAGCAAACTGTAGCTGCTGTTTACTTCCCCTTGGGACGCAAATCTTCAAGCGTCTGGCGGATCTGCTGCTCACGATTCTTCTTATGTTGCTCGTAACGCTCAGCCATTGTGGGCGCGTCAAACATATTCTTAAAGCTCTGCGGCATCGAGTCGATGATACCCGTGCCAAAGAGTCCCCACTTGCGGTTGAAATCGTCCGATAGCTCTGGATGCGTCGTGCGAATACTGGCATCTGCAAACTCTTGTGGATGCTGGAAGCGAACGTACACCATCATCGATACAGCAGCCACTGTCATACCCGTGGCCGCGGACAGCGCCACAGCGCTAAGACTACTTCGTGGACGACCCATGGTGATTGCTTGGTGGAATGCAACAATTAGACACTTGAAATGGGTCGCAGTGTAAAAAGATGCAATCTTTTCAAACGTTTATTTGTCTAAACGTATGAGCTGACGCACTCGATACTTTCGTCGTCAGTTTTGAGAAAAAACACCATACAAAGATGGACAAGACATTTACTTGCTGTCAATGTGTAAGCTATTGCGAGGAAATGGTAAGCTCTAGAGAGGCCTATAGAGCTTAATGCTCTACATCTTGAGTGAATATAGTAACATGTACTGACGCAATACGGAGCTATTGCCAGAATGCTGATTATCGCAAGACAATGGAAGACACGATTCGTATTGTTGATGGGTATTTACAGAACCCACAGAACGGCTACTTTGCTATCCACGACGGACACGGAGGTAGTGATACATCTTGAATTCATTATATTGTGACATGATTGCATGCATGTAGTGTAAAAGCACCGAACGATTGGATGGATTAAAATGACTGTGTTGACCGTAGGTCGTTCCGTTGCAACGTATTTACAGCGAGTGCTGCATGAGAATATCGCAATCGAATTGCAATTGGCAGACGACGACAGTAGTGTCAAGCAGCGTATTGAACGGTAATAATAATTAGTGTTGATTGGAGACAGTGAGTGAGAGATTGTGGAGATGGTATGACCGAGTATGGTTGCAAGCGGCTACTTAATGTCAGACATGGAGTGCTGTCAGAGATCGGTGGGCTCAACGGCAGTGACAGCACTGCTTTTGGAGGAAAATGGCATCAAGACCCTCTATGTTGCCAATGTTGGTGATAGGTAGGTGTCGATAAAAACTGTAAGACTGCAAGGATGAAGTGTACCGTTTTGTGTAATGGTTCTCGTAGTCGTGCAGTGCTGAGCCACAAAGGGAAAGCAATTCGGCTATCAAAGGTAGAAGAGATCGTATTGTTTTTGTAGTGTTTCATCATTACTGAGAAAGAGCCATTGTCCAGGATCACAAGGCTAGTGAACAAAACTGAGATAAAGCGAATCATTGAACAAGGCGGTTTTGTCATTCAACATCGAGTGTCTGGGTTGCTGGCAGTCTCCCGGTAACGATTATGCCCACCTTCTATATGCATTCGTGGTCTAATGCACTCATGTGAGCAATATGATTGCAGGAGCTTTGGAGACTGGGATCTTAAACAGTTTGTCGTCGCACGACCGCACACCAGTGCAACCTGGTAAAGATACTTCTCACATGCTTGACGAGCACCATTCACGTCTCACACTATGCCGTTTGTCTTCTATTCTTCAGGCTAGAACCTGCGACCGACTATTCGTTCTTCGTACTTGGATGTGACGGTGTCTGGGATGTTCTTAGTGACCAAGAAGTTGTGGACATGGTCGAATCCTTACCTTTCGATCAGCATGATCAAGCTGCGCAAATGATTGTCCGAGCGGCTCTATCAAGAGGTAGTGACGACAATGTTACAGCTATCGTGGTATTTCTTTGATCCGGTTCTTTGATCAAAGTATATCGATGATGGTTCACACATGATGAATATAGAGCGTGACGTCACGTATGCCACGCGTATGAATTTGTGAAAAAACACCAATTTGGTATGATCAAGGCCGTTGCAGTGTCATTGGTCTTTGATGCGCGAGTGTTGGTTTTATTGGAGCTGACGATGGTCCGATGAAGAAAATATCATCGGGTGTATATAGCAAGCAGATGTTCTATTGGTTCTTTGCGTCATTGCTGAATGGGTTCAAAAGCTATATAGATACTTTTTTGGTGCGTTCTAGGTCAATATCCTGCAATTTGACTTGTATATATATCATCTCGCAAAGAGTAACAACCTTTGTCAATCTTCCAGCAACCGCGTTAATACTGTCTTCGGTATTATAATTTCTACGTATATGGTGTACAGAAACACGCAACAACTTCAGCTTTGATCTCGTTTTGTTCCACTATTTGTCCGCAACTTGTACGAATCTATTCTTAATTGTACCTACTTTATGGTACATCCGAGTTCCTTGTCAGCCCTGACGTCCTGAAGTGGCACTTCACAAGACTCTTCTTTACTTAAACATGAAGCAGTCGCATCCAGTATCTGAAAACGACGCATTGCTACGAGATTAGTACGTTCTGTTGATACATCTCTTTGATTGAATTTTCTCTATACTATTGCACTAATTCTGTCTCTTTTTTTTCGATTGGATTCTATCTTTCTTTATCCAGTTACAAGGTTTTTAAGCTTGGCTACAGACAGCAATGTAGAGATCATCGATCGTGTCTTCAAAGACGATGCTCATTGTTCTTGTGTAGATGCTTTAGAATACTCATTACAGGTCCATGCTCTGGTCTTGTAGTGGCAATTGCAGGTCTTTTAGTACTTGTGGGGATTGCGTGCTCTACTATTGCATTAATAGGGAGCTACAGTGCAGATGAGTATTTGTTTCTTGGAGCAATTGCCTCTGGATCATTTACGTTGGTAATTATTGTGGCATTTCTCATGAGTCCTGCCGTAAGAACACATCCAAACCCACTGATTTTTAGTAAAAGTCTAGTGGATCTCTTATTAGCCATGATATATGTCGCTGAGTACTGCGTGACGGAATATTCAGATTCAGTCGCGCTGCCATTTCGTATCGCTGCAATTACACAGGCGCTACTGATTGCAGGCGAGTTTTGGTTCTTTGCTATACCCATTGACATGGTGCAGTCCATTACGAATCCTTTTACGTCGTACTCACACAATTTTAAGGTCTATTGGTTCTACTCGGTGCTGAGTGGTAGTGTGTGTGGATTTGTACTCTGGTTTCTTGGTGAAGAGAAAAGCGCATGCGTTACGACAGGTGATACCAACCCAGACTGCGTGACAGTTGTCAATGGCAATGAGCAGCGATATATCTGGTTTCACCACAATATAGACATGCCAGGCTTTTTCTGGCATCAATGGATCTTGTATCATGGGTGTGTCGTCGTGTATTTGCTTTTCGGTCTTGCGTGCATGGTGTATGTTCGAAGCCGATTACGTCGTGGACTAGAAGAAACGTTTGAAGTGCGACGCCGGGTGCTGTCTAACGGAATGCTTACATGCGCAGTATTCATCTCGTGGTCTTTTCTGATGATTAGTCTCTTTGCGATGACTAATACCGCGACAGTAAAGTTGGTGCTGGGAAAGGTTGTCTTTCAAGAGCTTATCGACCTGAGTGCTTTTATGCATGCATCCCGTGGGTGTGTGAACATCATCGTCTGGATTGTAGTCAATGCACCGTATTTCCCCACGATGTATCCCAATGGTCCTGCAGATTTGACGTTGCAGTCGCTATTGGAGAATGAATCGGTGACCCAATGGTCTTCTACTCCTACTTATGATAGCTCAGAGTGTACTGCAACATGTAATAAGCCTGATGATTCACACAAGCATGAAGAGAAACTAATGAATCCGCAGCTCAATGTGGCGTTGCGAAAGCAGATGATATACATGGCGACAAATGGCATTATCGAGTCGATTCAGCATCACCACCGGAAGCGGCGAGGAAATGGCAACAACCACACATTCCAACTGGACTGGCAACGATCTCCTCAACGAAGAATGAGACACTTAGTGTTGTCCGCATCACTCAGCGAAAGTGTGGGATCGATGACGATGCCTCCGCGGTCAACATCAATGTTGCGTGAAAAGAGAAACTCAACAGTGCGAGTTGTCGAGGAACCGCGTGATAATCCAAGCAATATGCGCTTCACGTTCATGCCCATGGCTTTGACGGAAATGCAGTTCTACGATTTCCAGCCGCGCGTGTTCGCATCCATTCGCCAACTGTATGGTGTCAATGATGCCGAATACATCTTTGCGTTTCGCTCCACGATCAATGAACGAATTAGCGAAGGCCGAAGCGGTGCTTTCGTTTTCAATACATGCGATCGCAAGTATTTGGTCAAGAGCACTACGTCGAAGGAAAAAGATGTGCTGCTTCGATTGCTGCCGACGTACTTGCATTATCTTAAGTGGAACCCTGGAACGCTCTTGCCTCGTTTCTTCGGTTTTCACGCTATGAAGATGTATGGTCAGATTTTCTATTTCATCGTGATGGGAAATTTCTTAAGCACAACTGAAGTGATCCATCGCAGATACGATATCAAGGGATCGTGGGTAGATCGTAATGCCCCTGCGTGCGTTTTGGGCGAGAAGTATCGTTGTTCAAAGTGCAACCGTTTTTTTACATTTGGAGGTGCTCCTGGAGAGCCATGCTTTATGCCAGGCGAAGAGCACTATCCTGACATCACCCTGCGGGACAACGATTTGAAAAAACGGCTGAAGCTGGAGCCAGGGGCAGCGGCAAAACTTGTGCTGCAACTTACTCGAGATAGCAACTACCTCGCCAGCGCCGGCATCATGGACTACAGTCTTCTTATTGGCACGCACTACTCGTATTTTACCATCACAACGGAATACAAGCGAGGACTTTCGCGTCGAAAGTCAGTGGAACTCACTGTACACTGCGATGACGACACTCATGATGTCGACGTTCTTCCTAATCCTTACGAGAATCGCCGTCTGAGGATGATGCAATATCCGAAGGCGCAAGACCGTCCGAGTCCTCTGACGTTTCCTGTGGAACCTATCAATCGGATCTCTCACCGAGCTCTGCTCCAGCTGAGCAAGTAGTGTATCCCGATAGTCACGCATACAATGCACATCAGGTTTCAGGCCCAAGCAAGTATTATTTTGGTCTCGTGGACATCTTGCAGGAGTGGACAGTGGCAAAGCAGCTTGAGCGTGCTTACAAGGTACGCGTGCTGCGTAAGTCACAAAGTGGTGTTTCTGCAATCCCACCAAAACCGTATGCTCGACGTTTCCAGCGTAAAATGAAGCAGTTATTCATCACGATGCCGTTGCAATCGCTTGATGTATTTGAAGAAGATGATGACGTGGCCGGTGAGATTTGCTGAACATTGACGTGTAGAGTTACAGAGGTAGAAAGATGTAAGAAATGCAAAGAGACAAACGATAGAGATGGCAGTGCAAGGGGTTTCAATGCCACATCACAACGACGTGTGCTTGTTCTCTACCATAGCAACATGATTGTCAGTCAGGTGCTCCAAGTCTTTGTAGCTGACCTTACCCATTGACTTGCTAACGTCTGCTATGACGTTGCTTGATACTTTTAGCGTAGCCCAAGGGTAAATGTCGCCACCCTAACACTCAGTCTTAAGCAGCTAAATCGATCATTTACCTTGCATATCGTCAAGATACAAGCTTAGGGCCTGTAATATAACTGATCTTGTCGAGCATTCTAAAGATCAACCACATAGTAGTAGCAAGTAAGAAAGGGAGGAAATATATGTAGCATTGTATGTCTTTCATCTATTAACTACGTCTCTGATACATTCTTTCTTGTTTGGTCACACATACTTCTTACACTCAATGCTACGAGATAAAAACCCTGAAGGACCATAAAATGTTTTACTTTCGGATGGGAGTATCGTGCACAACGACACGCACGTCGATTTTCTTCTGGGATCTTAGGAAGACACAGGCACTTCATGCGGAGGATCAAAGAAGATCCCCCTCCATCCAGCTTAACTCGGTAATACACATCATATATACATACACACATAATATAGAGACAATAGATATATTACCAGTTGATTGTTTCTATGTCTAGAATCCTAAATGAAGACTCAAAAAAAAGCGAATGGGTCAAATATACAACTGACCACTTATCGAGTCACTTTGATTGCATACAAATATCAAATTTAAATCTTTGATTTTAGTCCGTGTGTACATTTGCAGGTTTTTTGCACGTAATTGAGACACATTCTACATAACGCACAGAACGAGCATACGAAGCACATATCAAAGCTATTTCTTTCATCGTCTTTCTTCTTACATACGGCTCATGCATTATACTTTATTACTACTAGTCATACTACTACTAGCTCCTATCACCTCTGCGCTGGTGATTGAGAGGTACTTGATTTATAAGCCGATGGGGTACACTCATGGGTTACGTTTTGTGAAGTATGTTTCTTATTTTGTAATTTGTATGTTTCTTATTTTGTAATTTCTATATTTCTAAATAAACTAGCCCGGAATGTCGATTTTTGACACATGTGTAGGTCAAAATTCTCAAAATGTTTTTTATTACCTGTTTTGAACCCTCAAAAAAACAAAATACAATTCTAATTACGTCATTTGCATTTATTGCAGATCAAGTGAGTTTACGAACGTTTCGCTGCTGGAATCCGGTGAATTACAGAATTATGAAATTGTACCAGGTAACTCCTTCACTTGAGACACAACATGATCTACAACTGCTCCAACGTGATGTTTGTATTGGTTGTGTATGTGTGTTTTTATTTGTATGCTTTTTAGTATCACCTTTTACAGCCTGTGAGCCTTTACGCGGCCAGAATTTGACAGGAAAAGTAGCACTTGTGCTACGTGGAGACTGTAACTTTGTGCAAAAAGTGTGGCATGCTCAACGCGCCCATGCAGTTGCTGTCGTAGTGATGGATAATGAGTTACGACACGAGTATGGACGATACAATGATTTCGAAAGTTTTACGGTCATTTTTCTTACTGTTTTTTTGACTTTGATACTTATTTGCTACTGTGTCAGACCACCGTATCATATTATCATGATGAAGAATGACATGGCCTACAATGTTCGTATTCCGTCGGTCTTCATTTCCTACGCGTCTGGTGAATGGCTGCTGGATGCCATGAGTCATACGGTCCCGTGGGACCCACTGCGGATTACAATTGATACAAACGGAGAACGTAAGCTGGTGCATTATGGTAGAAGGAGACTGTGATGTGCTTGATAGTATAGTTGGATTTGGCTGATTTGCTCTGTTTTAACGGATGTAGTACCGCAAGTGTCGACGTCGAATCGCTTGTTGAAACGTGTGATCGCCTACATTTTCCTCATTTCCATTGTCTGCGCGTTCTCGAGTGGATTGAGTTTACTTTCGTCAGCAATTTTTCAGTGGATAGGGAAGACTCGGCGAACGCATGTGGCGAAGCAGCTACCGATTGCCAAGTATGAGCGCAACATGCAACGCACTCTGCTGGAACACCTGCTGGTAGACCGATTTGTGCTGGACCGTATTCCTTTTGCTGCGATTGAGAATGTTACACATCGTGGTGACCACTCACACACGGAGAACGAACCTGATTTGAGCTCTGTGAGTCCGCGCGAGACAGGAAGCGGTGTCTCCAATGATGACGATCTTCACGCGGACAAGGCAGAAGAGCTGACGGATTTGCATAAGGTCAAGTCAATGACAGACGAAACCACCTACTGGAGCTCAGCTGATTCGGATGCAGAAACTTGTCCAATTTGTTTGGACGACTTTGAGGACGGGGCAGATGTTAAAGTTTTGCCGTGTCAGCACTTTTTCCATGTGAACTGCATCAACCCGTGGCTTGAGGGTCGAAGTGGGCGCTGTCCACTTTGCAAACAAGACGCTATTGCCATGAGTACGTTTCGTGGGTTTTGGTACTGCACCAACAGGATTTTGGCTAACAAAAGCGTTTTTTTCTGTCTCTTGTTTTCTGCAGTAACAGGTGCATCCAAGAAGATTTTTGGTCTTGCGCTGCCAAGAGTTGATCAAATTCTACAGCAGGAACATGTACGTTTGCCAGATACTCTACAATGCTTCAAAGTGAATAATTTGTTGAACTGTCGCTTTTTGTACCAGTGGGTTCATACGTTCTTTCTCATGTTGCCTGCCAGCTTCATTAGCTGCCTACTTGTCAATGCTTCTGCATCTATCATCGGCACCATGTGGCCGTAAGATGTTTTCGTGCTTGGACGGTTTCCTAAAGCACCCTCATTTCTGTATCATGAGAGGGAAGCAAGGCAGACACAGTATTTATCTCAACTTCAAGCGGTGGCTTCTCCAATGTATACCTCTGTCAATGCACTCACTTTACTTGTACTTGTGATTGAATGCGCTGTCACGTGGAGAAGGTGGAACAGTTTTGACCGAAGATGTGTCCCGTACTGCTGCTTTGAGATGAGTCGCCTTCTGGTGATGTAGATGCACATCGGCATTGAATGCTTTTATCGATGATGACTGGTTGGTTACCTGTAACACAAAAGTGCATGTTTCATTCAGGAATTAGAATCTGCAGCTTGGTAGCGAACCGCGCATCGATGAGGATTGCATGGTCTTAGAAGCATAAAACAACGATAAGAAGCAGTCGAGCTCAAAGCTAGAAGTCAATATACTTACGACAGAAGTGGGAAAATGTGTGTTATTATAGACGCAACCTGCCCCTTTGTCAATGTAGCCTAATAGCTTACTGCTGAGGCTCTTCCTTAGGGTTGAGCTTGATCAAATCGTCAATCCGCAGAATGGTGATGGCAGCTTCAGTGGCAAAACGGAGGCTCTTAATCTTGCTGATAGCAGGCTCCACGACACCAGCCTCCAGGTTGTTGCGCACGTTACCCCCGAGCAGGTCCAAGCCTGTAAAACGCAGTTCTCGCTTGCAAACATCACTCTGCGATGTATTGTGGTGCGCACGAAGACGTGCCACCAGTTCTGAGGCGTCTTTGGCAGCGTTCACTGCCAGAGTCTTTGGAATAACCAGCAGCGCATCGGCAAACTCAGCAATGGCCAGCTGCTCTCGGGAGCCCAGCGTTGTAGCAAAATTCTCGAGGTAGATAGACAGAGCTGCTTCTACAGCACCGCCACCAGCAACAAGCTGGTTGCTCTCAAGCATACGCTTAACTACCATGAACCCATCATGCATCGAGCGGTTCATTTCGTCAAGCATGTTTTCATTGGCACCTCGCAGGACCACAGTGGTGGCCTGACGCGTTTTGCAGCCCTTCACATAAATAAGCTCGCCGTCGCCCACACGCTCCTCGCTAACTTCTTGTGCCTCACCCAGCGTTGTGGGGTCAAAAGTCTCTTCACCCTCCAAGTCAGCAAGTGTGAGCACAACCTGTCCACCAGTGGCCTTGGCGATACGCTGAAGATCCTCCTTCTTGCAGCGACGCACACCCATGCAACCTGCTTCCACGAAGTATTTAAGACACAGGTCATCAATGCCCTTGGTAGTCATAATCACATTGGCACCAGCGTCGATCATCTTTTGAATCTTCTCTTTGGTGATATCAATCTCGCGCTGACGGATCTTTTCCAGTTCGTTGGGGTCGTTTACTATCACCTGCACACCCATCTGCATACGGTGACGCTGCAGATCAAAGTCCAATAGAGCAAGCTTGGCGTTCTTAATGTACGTAGGCATTTGCTGTGACGCCTTAGTGCAGTTGAGAGCAAATCCATCTACCAGCTGCGTCTCTAGCGCACTCTTTCCGTGTGCTTTCAGCACATTGATAGAACTTACTGGGTATTTGGCCTTTCCCTTACCTCTGACACCTTCCTGTTCCACCTTCACCAACGATACGGCATCTACCACAAGATTGGCAAAGAATTCACTCTCAGGGCCAAGAATCTTGGATGACATGCTGGTTTTTGCAGCGTTCACGAGACTTTCACGTCCGATAGAATCTACCGGCACGCTCAGATTCTCCTTAATGTACTTGACAGCTTCTCGCATAGCAAGACGATACCCAGCAATAATAGACGTCGGGTGAATCTTATTATTTACCAGCTCATTGGCACGCTATATACACAGCATATCACAAAAACACGTTGTAAAATCTCAGTTTCCCTACAAATAAAGCAAAACAAGACGATAGCGAACAGCTTCACACGCACCTTCAGCAGCTCCGCGGCGATAATGACAACGGACGTCGTTCCATCACCCACTTCCTGATCCTGTAGACCAGCTAGCTCAACTAGAACCTTACCAGCAGGCTGTTCTACCTCTAATTGCTTAAGAATGGTAGCGCCATCGTTCGTAATCGTTACATCACCAATATCATCCACGAGCATTTTGTCCAGTCCCACGGGACCAAGCGAGCTCTTTACAATATTAGCAATCGCTACTGCTGCTGTCACATTCTGCTCTCGAATGTCCTTTCCTGATGTACGTGTACCATCCACCACAAGATCAGCCGTCTCCATAATGTCACTTAGTTATCCACCGAGGTCTTGGCGTCCAAACGATCCGAAAGAAGGAGATTTTATTTGAGTGGATCTCTTTGACCACGTTTGTCACTAAAACGAAGGAATGAATAGATCGCCCATTTCCCTTACATTCACTCTTGCTTCAATTCCGCACTGAGGTGCATTCAATTCCGCACTGAGGTGCATTCAATTCCACACTGCAGGTACATTCGATTCCGCATTCATATGGTGACGTTGGTGGCAGACGCGATTGAAGCGCTCAAACGTGGAGATGCGTCTCCTCTTGCAGATGTTTTAGCTCAACGTAAAGCGCAGCGTCAGAAGCCAGTTCATAACAAGCGCAAGAAGAGCGAGGAAGAAGTCGAGGTAGAGACTGAGGCCAATGTGGATAATGAAGTGCGTGCGTTGACTCAGACACAATTGAGCGACTTTTATCCTGCAGCCGTGCAGCTTGTGGCTCCAAGTGAAGATGAATACGAGGAGGCACGACGTATGAAAGCAAGAGAATATATTGCAGAGTTCACGGCGCTTCTCGTCGAGACAAAAGATGTGTCCATTGACAAGGAAGAAGTGTTTGCAGTAGCACAAGAACTTCATGATCAGCTCTTGAGACTGAGAGGAGAGTTGGATCAAGTATTGACAACGCAGGAAGCTATTTCGCTGCTGTGTGAAGCGTGCTGGAAACATAATTTTTGTGGACGAGCGCATTCGCTTGTGACCCAATTACTTCCGTACTTGATTGTACGCAGCTACGAGTCTCCAGCAAGTGGACGTTTTAATTCAAAGAAACATCCAATTCGAAGACTTTTTGCAATTAAAGAAGCACTCCCGTTACTGGATTTTGACGATGAGAGCAGCGGATTGTTACGAGATATTCTACTACGATGTTTGATCCAGCCCGCATTTTTTAAATCGCCCGATGCTGTTTCATTCTTGAGCTTTTTGTTTACTCTACATGTGCCATTTGTCGAGGATCTCAATGAGACGATTAGAAATCAGATTCCTAATCAACGCAACTCAATTCTTGTCAAGTATGGCAGCATTTACTTCAAGGTAGAATATTGCTGTCTCTAGTTTGTGTAGTTTCAATTTGTGTGCTAATGTATTTGTACTAATAATGCTTGTAGGCCTGGGTTAGTAGCAAGGGAGCTTTTCGAGTAAAAATTGAGGAAGAGTGCATTCAGCGATACGTTCGTGATGCAGTTCATGCAAGCAGCTCGTCGCTGTTCAATGCCGTTCGTACAGTGTTGCAGATCTTTTTTGAAAACAAACGACACCCTGGTGTTGACGAAATGCTGTATCGCATATGCAGTCCCATTCTCTGGCGCGGTGTAAAGGCACCTAATGATTCAGTTCGACGCCAAGCAACTATTTTGTTGTTCGACAACTTCCCCCTGCGTGATCCAGCATTTAACAACGAAATGATGGACGTAACTCTCCAGAAGCAATTTGACACGTTCGAAGAGCTGCTAGGTGATTCTCACCCAGCGTTGCGAGTTGCAGCAATTGAAGGTGTGTCTAAGGTGCTGTCCGTGTACTGGGAGCTACTTCCTGCTGAGACGATCCGGTGTTTTATTTCGAAGCTTGTAGTGGACCTTGTCAACGACGCGTCCTCGAGCACTGTTCGTGCAGCAGTGTTTGAAGGTGTTCAATTCATCTTGGACAACCATAACTCCCACTCTATTCTGAAGCCACTGCTGCCCATGGTAAGTTTTGCATCACTCTGAGCTAGCAAATGTTAAGTAGAACTAATGTGTTGCTGCGTAACATACAGCTGGCACCTTTAATCAATGATCGAAACGAAAAAGTCCGTGCTGAGTTTTGCGCTCTGCTGGTCCGAATCAAGAGCATTCGGAACATGCACTTCTACGACGTTGTTCCAGTGAATGATTTGCTTTGTCGTATGGTTCTGGACCGCGATCGTCCTCTCGCGTGTAAGCAACTTGTGTCCCTCTTCTTGAATTCGTATTTTCCTCAAAGTGTAGGCGGGTCCTCGCAAGTTGCTCGGTGCCTTGCTCTTGTGCGAAAGAATCCAGAGGCTGCAATGGTTTTTTATGCCAACGTAGCTGAGCATGTGTCAGCCGGATCAGTTTGTAAGCTGGCTGCCCTCATGCTTCGCTGCTCATTAAACTTTGTGTCGCGGCGTTTGAAGCAGCCACAAGAATTTGAGGATGATGACGGCGACAACGATGAGGAGGAAGAGGAAAGTTTTAGCGTGGTCGGCCAGGTTGTCGTGTTGGAGGTTATCGGCAATCTTCTAAAGAGTGTGCGTGTTAAGGTTATGAGTGACGCTCGCTACTCTGAGTGCAAGGGCTTCCTGCGTGAGCAGCTGAAGGTTGAGTCGCTCGAAGCATTACTTCTTGCTTACAGCGAAGACCGCACGTATGATCAGGAAGCTCTCAGTTCAATCTGGAGAATTATAGGTTACCTAGGCGATTTGTCCGAGCCCGTCTTACTGAAACGTTTGATGGAAAGTCTCATGAAGATGAACGAGACTTCAAACAGAAAGCTATTGGAATCGATGGTTGATTCCATGGTACAATGGGAGCAGCTCCCTCTCTTGGTATCAAAGTTGGCAAAGTTCCTTAAACAATGGAAGAAGAACAAATTTAGCTCCGGCACGGCCGACTCGAAGCGAAAGAAGACAGCGGCTGCGCTAAACCCGATCGTAGCACTCGGCGCAATTGAGTATATTAGTCAACTGTCGACTGTGAAAAGCCTTGATACTTTGATGCAGCCTATAGTAGAGATGCTCCAGCAATGTATCGAACCAATTCTCGAGTTTGACGCGGAGGAAATTATAGAAGCGTATAAGGCGAACTCGTTCAGTTTTGTGCGCTTAGTGGAAGTATACGCAAAGGTTTTGGTAATGATCGAATGCGCGCACGTCAATGACGCAACATCGCTGCTAGCAGTGAAGTCATCGAAGCGGTTGAAGAAGGAAGATCTCCGTGATCTACAACCATCGCAAATTTTCACACCGCCAAAGTCGCTACGCCCGCTTTTTGCCTGGCTCGCTCGCCTCACGCTTGACTTGCGCAAGGAGGTGGAGGCGACAGAGCAGAAGACGACTTACGGAAAGAAGCGCCGACGAGGCAAAAATATTGAGACGGACTTGCTTTCTTCTCAAAAGGAACTCTTGAGCCGTTGGCGCAATTTGTTCTCCCTTGTGTCCCTATTGTCGGCCGAGTGCGTTGCATTTGCTCTCGAGCGAACACATTGGCTACAAAATGGCCCTGTCACCGACTTCATTGAGGCATATGTGGATACACTGTGCAATACACTCAAGGACATGGAGTTTTTCGAGCGCACAGCATTCTATCAAGCTGGCCAGCTCGTTCATTTGCTTGGAAGTGCCAGAGTCAAGGCCATTAAATCCACGCGTGCTCAAGCAACCAATCTTGTTTCTTGTCTTGAGCGCTGGGTTAGCACGCTACAGCAAGCATTGGAAAGCGTGCACGAGAAGGAGCGAGATAAGTCTGACGATCTGTGGCCAGCTGTCAGTGCCTCCTTTGGCGAGTGTTGCGTTGTGGGGTCACCTGCTTCACAGACAGTAGCATAAGTTTATGAAAGGTTTACTCTTTGCCAAGATGTTCACCGTGTCGTCTATTTGGCTTGATGAGCGGATTGTCTCAATAGAAGCAGCTGCCAGACCTGGCTCTGCAATGGTTAGATCATCAACACAGATGCTCGACAAAGACGAGCTGCTGCTTTGCAACTTGCCACTATTAGTGCAGTAATGTCATATATGAGTCCACAAAGTATGATTGATAATATATATTTGATGGACAAGGATAAAACTACCTTCGTAGTAATCCGCCTTATAGATAGAATACACTGCTTCCATTACTACGCTAACGCGGGGACAAAGCACTTGCATAGCAACGTGCCGTCAGCACGTTGGTGTTTAGATTCGTTGTTACCAGTGTTCGGTGCAGCGGCTGCACTAACGGTTGAAGCAGCATAAGCTTGCTTGTTCTTTTCCATCTTGGACAATAATGCGTTGGGACACACTGAAGCTAGTGATCGCTTACCGAAAAAGTGCCCAAGCGACCGCGTACGCTGACGAGCATCTTGACTGTTTGTGACCGTTACTTGGGGCACAAAGTCTTGTGGCTGAGCTTGCTTCACTCTCAGCCTAGTTTCTTTTTCCACAGCATACAAGGCCGGATGTGACTGTAGCTTTGCGAGCGTCGAGCGCTTGGATGGGTCAACTACCAGCATCTTTTTCAACAAGTCCACCACCTCCTTCTTTTCCCGCACATCTACTTCATCCTTTTCAAGTAAATAATCCACGCCAAAATCCTCCAACAGCCTGAACCGATCGTCGTTCCGAAGTGGTTGACAAAATGGATATCGGGCTGCCACCATGGCATACAGCATCACCCCTAATGCCCACACATCCGCCGCCTTTGGATCATATTCTTCCAGCTCTTCATCTTGATACACCAGTGCTGCAGTTAGTTCTGGAGCCATATATCTAAGTTTTCCCACAGGTTTTACTGCCATGTTGCCCCGACATTGTGTTGCTAGGCCAAAGTCCGTAATATAGCAGCAATCACGCTCATCAACCAGCACGTTTTCCAATGACAAGTCACGGTGTGCAATGTCGTTTGCATGCAGGAATGCTGCACCCCGTAGTGTCTGTGCAAAGTAGTGCATTGTATAAATCGGTTGTCGAGCAGCTCTTTTCGTATTAAGTACGTCAAGTAGCTCTCCCTGTTGACAGTACTTGAGCACAAGTAGTACGGCCTCATCGTCCATAATACAATCACGTAATGGCAAGACATTAGGGTGACCACCGAGCAATTGCACACGTAGATTCATTTTAATTTCAGTCAAGAGATCTTCTTCCACAGCATTTTCCGACGTCTTGGAACGCTTGCACGCTGCAAAGCGCCATTCCATACGCTTGACCGCAACACATTCGCCTGTGGGTACATGACGACACTTTTGTACATAGCCAAAGAGTGACGGTGCAAGCGTCTCCAGTGGCTCATATTGCGTAAACATGTGTGCAAGAATACCAATGTGTCTAAAAATGGACGTGACTGTTTAAAAGTATTTTCTAGACTGAAAAGTCTGTAGCTGCTGCTGCTGAACGAGAGACACTTTTGGGAAGATCCAGACTTGTATTCAGTATAGAAGAGTACTTGAAGAGGCATGATGATGATGATGATGATGGATGTACCATCTGCTGTCGGTTTTTCTTGCAATTACTTGGTTGTCGCAGGAGTCCGTAATCTGAAGCCAATGAGAGATAAAGTAGTGTATATATTTCTATACTTTAAATAAAAAAAAAGAGTCAGGGCTATAGAGATAGGAATTGTTTCGGAATAAGGTTGCGATTGGGTTGGTGATGAATGGCTTGGAAGTGGGATGGATGTGTAGTTAGTAAACAATGAAAACAGTGTATTCTCTTGGATTTGTCTTCAAGTGCCAAAGGCGGCAACTCGCCTTTGTTCCAATAGGTCGGTTCCAAGTGTAGTAAACCGTTAACAGGGTCAGCAAATACTGTTCATGGAGTTGTCGTGGCTTGACAGGCGCTGGCGTTGTTTTTCACCCACACTGGCTTGGAAAGAAGCAAGTCGCGAACGTTACTGTGTAAAGAAACAAAGTCGACGCTTCGAGGAACGGACAACTCAGCCTTGCAAGTAATGAATATTAGCATCTGACGACGCCACGCAGTCAGGATCAAATGATAGGTACAAAAAGGACGACCACGGTCTTGGGTCGATCAGTTCCATTTGAGGCTGGTCAGGATGCCTGCTGGCTTCTTCTTCTTGACTATCCGACCATCCCATGCAAAAGGCTAGAGATGTGTCCTATTTAGGTGCTGCAGACGGGCTGTTTACATGCATGCAGTAGGACACAATGTGGTTCATTGTTATCCGGTCTTGTAGAACAGGGTGGGAGATAGTTTGGAAGTAGTATTAGGAGAGAGATCTCATGTGGACAATCAACGAACTGCAAAAGTGTGTCTTGTAAACATACTGACATTACAAGTCTTCTACAGAGTATATGCGTCATATAAACAAGATATGAGACCAGCTATACCAAGAATCTATAAACATTTGAGCGAGGGCATGGACAACAACAACAACAAGACCATAGTGGACTCATACACTGCCAGTTCTACGTAAGCATAACGAGGGCGTTGGGAAGTAAATCGTACTTCATTTTGTTGGGCTTGAATGAATATATGATATCAAGTAAGAGAGAGAGTGCACCTAACGAAACCGCCCATGACTGACGTGAGGGTCGCAATTGTACGGTAAGACATGATTACTAACTACCGTTGATATCTTGTCAATACCGTCCTTTCACCGCTCGTCATTCGAAATACTTTCAGTAAAAAGCAGACTGTTTCGTCATTAGTAGCTAACACATAAGTTACAAATTTAGAATTTAGATATCTAGATAATTAGAACCAGTATGTACCTTTTCCGTAAGACTTGAAGCCGTTTATTTTGAGTTCAAAGACGCTACGTCCCCTAGTCACAAGCTAGCGGCTCTTTAGATGTCTCGTATCAAAAATTTTCCGCTCGTCAACTGTCAACCAGTCGCTTTTTTTTCTGAAGTAACTTTTTGAAACACTTTTATGCTTACTTATCACATGACTAAGCTACTTCACAAAAAAAGCATGGACAAGCAATTTTGAGCCATTCGTCTTTAACATTATGATACAAATCATAAAACTTACCTTAAAACACGCAGTTATATCGAGGTAGTCAGTCAGTCATATATATATATATATAGTACATGGTTGATGAAAGTTTTGATGCTGTGAGTCCATCGCTTGTTTCTCATGCTTCAAGACGCTCGGATACCAATGTCTCAATCCCCGTGCTCTCTTCATCATGTATTACTTCCTGCCATTCGTCGTCTATATGTCGCTGACGGGCACGGAGCTCGCGAGCTTCCCCCTGTTTCTTGCGTCCATTTTGAGTTAATAGCTCACCCTTTTCTTCTTCCACTTCCTTCTCTATCCGACGCAATCGACGTCTTTCGCGCTCACTCTGGGCTTCTTCTCGCTCTATCTGTTCGCGATGCAAGCGGCGTGCCTCCCGTTTAGCATTGCGCACGTCCTTTTCAGCTTCACGCTCGACCTTACGCAGCAACTCTGCACGCTTCATCTCTGCTATTTCCTCCATGGTAAGTTCCTTCTGCTGTTCCTGTTCTTCCTGTTGCCTTTCCATTTTCACCAGCTGTTTTACTTGAAGACGTAGCGAACGCTTACGCGGGACCGCTTTAAGAATTGCTAAGCGGTTGGCCTTTTCCAATTCCCGTGTTCGAGCTTCGTCTTCGTCCTCAATCTGCTCAAGAATGACCTCCAAGTGGTCCAACAACTCTTGCTCGCCTCGAATTCTACGTCCACAAATTTTCTTCATTGCTGCAAACATGGAGCGAAACGCGTCATCTCCCTTGGCCCAAAGTGCCCATTGTTGCGTCTCTTTATCCAATCTATACAATCGCCGCTCTTCATAAAACTGCGGAAAAAAATAATACAGGTTTCCAGCACGGTCGTTGCCAAGTGGCTCAATGCGTAAATCGTCATCTTCCATCTGGCGCATGTATTCACTGTTACCATCACCACAAAACAAAACAAAACAACAAAAGAACCGTATCCAGTGAGAACGTCATCATCCACAAGCCGTATCAACCGATCACCGAAGTGACGTACGTGTTGATTGGATCGTCCACCACGGCCTCGCACAAATTTAGTAGAATCTTGCATCGCAGCTCAATCGATAAATCTGCAAATGACTGGTGCTATGAGTAAAGCAAAGATATGTTTGATGTCCAAGAGTCGTGTCAGCGCCACAGTGTACAGCCCAAAAACTTGATTAAAGCAATTACCTTCAGAGGGCAAACCATGCCGAGAGTTTCAAGACGAGATCTCAGGATGTCAAGTGTCAGCCACTCATCGTCCGTCAGCTCTACATCCACCTGCTCATCGCTATTGTTGTCTAAGACACTACTAGTATCATCGTCCTCATCTTGTGAAAATGTATCTGGAAGTCGCTCACCTGCTTTGCGCAGCAGTGCGTACCACTTGTCGTACATATCAAGGTAGTAAATACGCAACTGTTTGTTCCACCACTCATACTTGAGCCCAAACCCAGCAGTCAAAGAGGCGCGCTCACTTTTTTTCAGCAAGAGTTTTGTAAATACATCTTCCAGTACCGAACTATCCTCAGGCTTCAGTAGTGCTGCTTCATACTCAAGCAATTTATTTGAAAAGCGCAGTGTCAATGGACCTTGCAGCAACCAGAGAATATGGCACGCTGCTGGCAGCTCCCATTGCAACCTCAAAGTGTTCAACTCATCAAAGTCGATATTCGTATTATTCCATTCAGCTCCTGTCTCCACAAAGAATGGCAGGGCCAGAGGTGCATTCTCCTTCATCTTATCATCCTGCGTCCGTACATTTCGTTTCGATACAGCAGGAGTCTGAGATCTACCTCCTGGCTTTGTCTTAACAGTAGTCTTCGTCTTCCCATGTGTCTGTAAATTGGCCGCAGATACTACAGCAGATTGCAAGCGTTTCTTCACTGCCTTCTTTTCCATCAACTTGACTGAAGCATTAATCTTGCTTTTACCATTGCATTCTGTTACTTCATGGTCCCCCACAGCCTCCACATTGGCCATTTCCTCGTCTACAAACATTATTAAGTAACAATTCAGTAACTCAATAACTACAAGACCTACGACGTTCATAAGAGCATGAAAATACACAAAAAGTATGGGGGGCACACTAATATACCTCGTTCAATGTCTTCTTTGTCGCAATTTACATGATTACGAGTCAATAAAATGGACGTCTGGTCGTCTTCCCCTCGTGTCATTGAGTTCAACCTGTGATCGTCCGCATCAAGAGACTCACGACGAATGACGTCCTCCACATCTTTTACTGTATTTCTCAATGTCTTGAGCTTCTTTTTACTACCTTTAGCGCCGTCAGACTCGAACGATCGGGACGAAATGCGCTTGAGTGTGTTATAACGGGCCATTGAGAAGATGTCGTATGTATGAGCTATAATATTGTTCAAGTTTTTCAAATAGAGTTAGAAATAAAGCAGATGACGAATGAAAAGAAACAGCACGTGGATTTATTTCTAAAAAGCATTTCTTTCACAAAACAAGGTCGATTGTAGCAATAATACCCTCCCGATATGTTCATGGCGTCTTATCGGAATGTAGCACTTCTTGGCATATGGTGCTTCTTCTTGTTCATTTGTACACCTTTAGACTCATTGGAGTACGTGGACTTTGTATCTTTACCACTCATGGCTACAAATGGGTTGTACCTTGCTTGTTTCTTCTTGTACTGATGACCACGATTTCCATTGTCCTCTTCCTTGTTTAATTGAAACTGAGCTGCTGGAATTTCATTGCTAGCTACCGCATAATCAAAGCTCTGCATGTCACTGTTCCCTTCTGCTGTATCCTTGTCAGTATTAACATCTGCTTTATCAACATCTTGCCTAAACAACTGTGCACGTTCCTTGACTTGAAATGCTGACGATGTGTTCATGGGCGTTGTTTTCCGTCGCTTGGATCGATTCGACATGTGATACGTCTCTGAAATCGACTGAGGAATCTTCGACTTGGTGTCATCCGCAACAATTTTGTCGTTGCTATGCATCTCAGACAAATATGGACGCTTAACGACTGGACTCACGACTCGGTCGCTCTCTGCAATTGTAAAAATTGTACTTGCAACCATGGCATTCACCTTCTCGAGAAGTGTACTTGCTGTCTCTGAGCTGGCAACAGACTCCACACTATTGACGCCAAGACCCATAGGTTTGAGGACACCGGAGGATGAAGATCCAATGGAGGCTGTGTCCGCTTTCGTCACGTCAGCCTTGCGCTGGCCGCTCTTCCAAGGAGCATAATCAGCACGTCCTACCCGCTTCAGACTAGATAAAATTACTGTTTCTTCCTCTCCATTCTCATTCCAAATCTTTCTTGTTGGCTTTGCAACAGCAGCATCTTTCAAATCTTGCTGCATCTTTGACTCGTCCTCGGCAAGCTTCGCCTTCTCAGCTACAATCAGGTTTGTTATCTGGAGCGCGTGCTTACGAATAAGCAATGGTACAGGATGGCAAGCACGAAATAGCTCGTCAGAGCGTACAGGCAAGTGCTTTGTAAGCTTCATCAGCACGTGATTTGGCATTACATAGGCCACCGATTCATCTTCTTCACGAGCGACGCGGTCGCGCCACATGTATAGAGCCACTATCACACGTTTCTGAAGATCGGACAATATACGGATGTTCACAGTTCCCTTGAGCTTCTCACCAACTGCCAGGGCATCCTCTTCTGTAAACTGAGGCTTCTCATACACCTGCAAACAGAGTTTACTGGAATCTTGCAGCGTCTGAAAAAGCAAGCTTTCACGAGACTTTGTCCCAGCCTGCAGTAGTTCTTTTTTGATACGGTCATAAACAAACAACAAATAGCGAGTATCCTCGCGCGCATACTTCACCATGTTCGCGTCCAGCGGACGAGTGCGCCAGTCTGCGAGTTGATACTGCTTATCGGCGTCGACATTGCAATGACGCTTAAGCATGTAAGCCAAAGAGAAGCGCGGGTACTGTAGCAGACGTGCGGCACGACCCGTGTCAAAGAGATTGACAACGTACAGACCAAGATCGCGCTGCAGCCACATAATATCCATGTCACTACCATGCAACACCTTGACCTTCTTAGGGTTGCAAAATACCTGGTTCAGCACCTGCAACTTGCCCCGCAGCGCCAGTGTGTCAACCAAAAAATCTTCGTGCGCCGTCGAAAGCTGCATTAGACACGTAAGTCCCATATACGATCTGTAGCTGTGATGTTCCAAATCCACCGCAATCACACGAACTTCAGCAGTAGTCAGTGACTTCATCATCTGCACCAGCTTCTCCTCCGAGTCTACCCACATATACGTCGCCTCATCCAGATCTACTCTCTCATAAGGCTCTTTCGACGCCTCCAATTGCCACGCTGCATACTTGAGTCCCTTAATCTCCTGAAAGTACGGATGACGCAACACCGTCTCGTCATCTTCGTCTTCTAGCAACGTAGCTGTAGCTCCATCATTCAAAGCATGCACTTTATCCCTCAATTTAGACACAAATGGCGCGTCCGAGTTGTCAATCTTTTCATCGAATCTGTCCTGCGGTTTGTCCTGCGCTCCTCGCATCGTCTTTTTCACTACACCTCCTCCTTCTTCCTCTTCCTCCTTCTCCTTCTTCTTCATCTTCTTATTCTTCTCAAAGACCTGAGGCTTATTTTCTAATGGTCGAAGTGAAATTGAATCACTACAAGTCTTTGTCTCACCACACACAAAACGTGTGAGATTTTTCGACGCTTCGTCGAGCAGCATATCGGCGTAATCAGTGATGCGTGCATTAGGCTCGGGTCCATCAAATAGATCTTGCTCTTCATCCTCGTCCTCATTTCGATTGTCCATGCCATTATCTCCATCTACATTGGTACGTTGACGCTTTGTCAAGAGTCGTACAAGTGCTTCAGCCTTAGCACCAGAACTCTTGACACGTGATGCAAACTCCGAATTAAATTGCAAGTGAAAATGAAAACCATCATCTTCAGATGGAATTCCATTTGATGCTTTTACAGCAAGCAGGACGCGGCGGTACAAGGTGCTTACATAAGCTAAAGCATCACTGTCCTCCACCATTGATTCAACGTACTGTGTAGAAACTAAAGTGTACATGCTCATTACCTCTCGTTATCGATAGTATCTATCATTTGATTATCGTATAACCTGTGATAACTTGTATCACTGCCTGTCAACTTGTACTTCAACAACCTTCAAGCGACCTTTATAAATCAACCCATCATTCGAAACAAGAGAGCCCATGCTGACCACTCGAACACAATGCTCTTAAAACCATCGCAATATGCTGCTCGTCGTCTTGGACTGCATGTTCCAGTCCATCTCGTTCAGCATACTCACTGTATATTGCTTCATCGTCATGACGCTCGCTTTGCTTCCACTCAAACTGCAGTAGTGGCATTATCTCCAGCTGCCGAGACTGCAATCCCTCCTCACAAGCCTGCTCCTTCCAAGCGTCGTAAGAGTAAATTATCCAAGAAGAAAGCATCGTCAGTAGCTACAACTTCTCCTGTAGCTTTAGAAGATATAGAGATAGCAACAACGATGAAGAAGAAGGTCAAGTCAAAGCCAAAACTACGGAAATCCATGTCTCAGAAACAGATTGAGGAGAAAATGCTGGCCAAAGCACTGGAAGAAGATGCCAAGACAACTACAGCTGCAACTGCCACCGTGACGGTGTCTGGTACGAAGAAGAATAAACGAAACAATACACAGTCTACAGATCAAGCAGACGGAGCTAGAGCGGAGGAGACTGCACTACTGTGCTCTTTCTCATTGAAAGAGCCGATGCCATTAAAGAATCTCAAGACAGAGAAGATTACAATGACTTTGCAAAAGATTGCATCGTTGCAAAAGACTTTACCTAGTGAGAAGGAGATTGCATCGCTGATCGTTAAGCTTCGTCGTGTATCGTTTGACAATGCACATACGTTGTTTGATCTGTATCGCAACTTTGGTAATCCGTACTTGGACGAGAACTTTCTTACGCCAGGAGTGTTGGCGTGTTGTGAGGCAAAAAAACCAGCTGAAGGTATTCATATTGTGCGTGATATGCTCAATCAAGGACGCAAGGTAGATGAGTCGACGTTGCGGACATTGTTGACTGCTTGTGACGAGGCATCGGCTGCTGTAGAAGTGATTGAGCTTTGGAATCTGATGGAACAAGCTGGGATGAAGCTGGAGCTGGCTGACTACAATCGCTTTTTGGACATTTGTTACCGCCAAGAGTATCTAGATGGCGCCATTAAGGTGCTAAAGCAGCTTCGTCTACTTCGTCCTATCTCAGTGCACACATACATGCACTGGCTGCTGCGAGCGTCAATTGTGTGGCGATCGGATGCATTTTTCGACATTTTGATGGAAATGCGTCTATCAGAAGTTGAGCCGGAGATTATGTCGCTCACGTCACTTGAATCAGGACGCAAAGATCGTGCATTGACGGTGATGGAAGGAGTGCGTGCCGTTGGTCTAGATCCGTGTTTTGCAATGTCGTCGGTATTCTCGTCCATGCAGTCGTCTGTATATCGCAATGGACCAAGTCATATGGCGCTAACGAAGAAGGATATCAAGATTGCGCGGGAAAAGTTTGGTGACCTGGCACCAATTGAGCAAGAATGGCCTGTGACGCCGATCCCACAAGTATTGGAGACCCAGGCAGCAGGGCTGATTCTGCAGCAGGAAACGTTTCGCAGACTAAAGCGACAGCAAGTGAACCGCATCGATGAACTCTTGCAGATGTTGCCTATCACGACCAATATGACCATTAACTTGCGCAAACAATTGTTGCGCATGTCGCTTGCTAGTAAACACGCATCGTGTCCGTCGTGATAGAGAAACGATCTGTAAGGAATACGATAGTGGACGTAGTCTCATTGAGCTGTCGACTGTACACAATTATCCTCCTGTGTCGCTTATGCGAGTGATTCTTCGTGCCAAGGGCAAGAGCCAGCTTGAGATCAAGGTAGGTGGTTTCTCTTTATTATGCTGTGGCATCTTACCGTACTTTACTAATATGCTTTTGTGTTCGTAGAACGCGCTGACAAAACCTGCAGTGCATCTTTCAAAGCGAGATCAGCATGAACTGCGTAAAGCTATCGAGTACGACAGTATTCACAAAAGTGATCCATTCATTGGTGCACCCAAGTATAATGCTGACTCGTTGGAAAGAGCCATTGAGCATTTTTTAAAGGCCAAGGGGATCCGTCTCAAGTACGTCGTGTTTGAGCAATTGTTTTCGTAGCAAGCAGTCATGGCAGTAAACTAACAATCTTTGTTCGTTTGTTCCATTGGCAGGACCCAAAGCGAATTATGCGCAGACCAAATTGTGAGTCACGGCCGTCGTGTTATCTCGCCCGATATTTTGCTTCTCGATCCCGTGATTATCAACGGTGTGCCTATCCGATGGATTGATGCCAAGAACTATTATGGTGCTCACATTGTAAGCAAGCGTCTGATTTCAACTCAGCTGTCAAATTACGTCAAAGAATGGGGTCCTGGTGCCATTGTGTTTGGTATGGGCTATAGCGACATGTTTTCACTGCCAGGTGTCATGTGTTTGGACACGACACCATTTCCCAAGACGCGAAAGGAAGCTGCAAAGATCCGCATTAAATCCTTTCTATACTCGTGTCTCAATGTTTTTCGCTGGAAAAAGCATTTGGGTAGTGAGTTGACAAAGAAATACTTTAGTAGTATTGAAGACGACGCATCGGTAAAATCGTCAACCCCGTAGTGAACCAACCCGACAAAACCGAGGAAACTGATAAAACCGAGGAAACCGATAGACAAAAAGACGTATATATGCACAACACTTTCTAGGACATGTTGACTCTTAATCTACTTTGATTCGGCAACATTTTCTTTTTTTTCCAAAAACATCACATGAGATTTCTAAAATCACGTTCGAAATACCTCCATTTCCGTAAAATAATAAAAAAAAAAACCCACCACTGTACGAAATTAATTAATTATTAATTAATTTCCTTCTATCTCTCAACCACATGATCTCTCGTCAACATCCACGCACTTGGTTCTATTTAATCGAATGTCTACGTAATCCTTCACGTAGTGACTTTGCATTTGTACCACATGAATATGTTTCAATACCACAACAAGCTACGAATGCAGACCAAGTCTCACCAAGTGATGAGAGCACTCCTATTAACTCACGGTTCTTTCGTCTCGATTATTACGATATTGAGTGATTTAAGCTCATTTTGTCTCTGTCTCTCTGTCTCTTGTAGACCCGAGTATCGCCAGAAACGATTCGTACATCAACGCAATGCGTTCTTTGCTTTCCATTTACTTGCCATGGGAGCTGCAGGTGTCGCGTGTGGATGGTTAACACTCTTTCCCATCTCTCCTGGAAGACTCTATGATATGCAGGTTGATGTGTTTCAAGCGAAACACGAACATGCTCAATTCTTTTTCCGTTCGTGTCTACATCTCGGTACAGTCTTTGGAGCTGCTGCTGCTGGATACTGCGGTGATCGATTGGGTCGAGCTGGCACGTTGGAACTTGCAGCAATCCTATTTATTCTAGGCTGGGTCCTCATTGGCGTCGCGTATGGAGAACTCACCGTCTTGATTGGAAGATACCTCCTAGGCGCTGCAGCTGGGATGATCGATGTGATTGTACCCGTCTACCTGGCTGAAGTGAGCGCTGCGCATATTCGTGGACGAGTGATTTGTATGCAGATGTTTGTTTCAGCGATCGGGCGGATCATTTATTCGGCACTTGGAGCGCTCTTCATGTATCTAAGCCGACAGTATCTGGGCTTCAATCTCAGTGAATGGAAAGTGCTAGCGCTCATTGGGCTCGTGCCTGCATTAATGCTATTGCTGTTTGCACAAAAGCTCCCTGACTCGCCTACGTGGCTCATCTCACGCTACGATGATCGAGAAGCTTCATTTCAAGTATTATTTAAACTTTATAATAATGATGAACGAGTTGCAGAAGATGAGACTAATGCTATCATCCACGCAAAGGTGCTGGCAGCGACGGACAGGCGCCACCACGGCGCATTCTTTCGCCCAGTACTTCTTTGCGCTGCTCTCTTCACGTTACGTGCCGTGAGTGGATTCCTTCTCGAGCCAGTAATTGCGCCAACGCTTGCTAAAGCTAGCAGCAAAGGCGTTGGAGGAATTCACACCAATGTCTCTTTCGTCCTCACAATTTTCGGTGTTGCTGTGGAAGGCGCTGAAGAAGGTCTCATTGCCGTGACTATGGCTGTTGCAGTGGCTGCTGCGGTGGGTGTGGTAGCGTGCTTTTACTTCGTTGATACCAGAGGACGACTTGCGGTGCTGCAATGTGGATGTTGCTTGGTGACGTTAGCTTGCGCCTTTCTATGGGTGTCCATCTCTCGAAATGCACAGCTAATGGCAAGCAACGGCGTGGCACTCAGCGATATGGGCTGGGCTGCCATGCTGCTAGCAAATGCCGGTCACCAGCTCAGTCTCGGCGTTGTGCCCGTGATCATGGTCAGTGAGCTTTTTACTGTAAAGCAGCGTATGGGTGCTGTGAGTCTCGTCATAATGTGGGAAGCAATTGCAAACATCGGGCTTGCTTACGCACTACCAATGCTCCGCGAGTCCATTCTCCGTCCAGTGTCTATGTTTAGCATCAGCGTCGGTATTGTAATGGCGTGTAATCTCGCCGGACTTTTCTTGTCGTGGTGGTATATTCCTGAAACTAGCAGACGTAGCCTCCAAGATATCGAAGCTGTTCTATGCGGATGGCAACCTGCAACTCCTCGCCGGAGCAACTCCTCGCACGTGCGGCTTGAGTATGGAAGCAGCGATTGATCACCGGATACGAGCCCAACTCACAAGTTTGAATTACATTGCAAATAGATAGGTGCCTATGGACTCTTCTCGCGTTATCAGGTGCTCGTCGGAAAGACTCAAATGATGAGCACAATGACGATTCCTCCTCGTAAAATGTTTCATCTTGTTGACCATCAATTGCTACTTCATCCAGCGTGGTCATGACCTGTTTATACGAGCGACACCACCATGACCCCGTGCGATATTTAAGACGTCCGTACCAACTCAAACTGCGCGAGTCATCAAGAAATGCATGCATGTGCACGTGATCAATGCTATTGAATGGTGGCACGTGAAACGAATACCGAACACGGTTTGCATCGGCATCTTCATGTACATCTTGAAATTCCTGTGGCTGTAACTCAACGCATTCCGTCTCCGTTCCTTCAATCATCACTTCTTCAGCTATACGATGCATTCGTGCAAGTAATCCACGATGGTTAGCAGCCAATTGATTCACATTGCGAATATGTACACGAGGTACAATCAGCACATGATTAGGGACAACAGGACGCAGTGGACGAAACACAACAACGTGATCATCCTGATATAGGAATGGCTCGGACTTTGTACGTGCAATCTCACAGAAACGACAGCTACGCACTTGTCCATTACGATGATATCGTACACCTTTGCGCTTTGAAAACACAGCAACCTTTAAACGTGGTGAAGGAGACATTCGAGTGGTGCATCAATTCATACGAGACGTCCTTTGTCTTGTAATTCCTCTTCAGTTATGAGGCCTTTCAAGCTAGTAGCCACAAACCTCGTGGTGGCCTCTCCCCCCCCCTCTCACCGCTTAGCTGAGAGGGGGGCGATGACACCCCTCCCTGCGGTTGTCGCTTCGCAGAGAGAGATTGCGAATATCTTTTACACCTTTTGTTTCTGATAAATGATACACAATGCAAAAACCAGATAAACGGTTGCGCAATGTGGACACGAACGTTTTAATGGTCATTTTTAGCCCGCACCACCGAAATCAACTTCGAGAAGCTTTTGGGCAATTATTGGATAAAAACCAGAACATTCTCCAAAGTGTATTCTTTATGATCGCGGAAACAACCTGGTCCGTGCCATCAAAAACTGATACGTGGACTCGGCCACGGCGGAATCCAGTATTCAGAAACGAAAGGTCTGACCAGGTTGTATGCATCATACAAATACATTAATTGATGTTTTAATTGATCATACCATACTAAAACCCCGAAAGCTTTTATCCTGCGAAGAAAAACTGTTTCTATTTATTAGAAAAAACACAACAAAGCACTCGTTCTATTTCATTAGCTGTATTTTAACTGCCCAGTTGTCACCGTCACCTTATAATACAGCATTGACCGACGACTTTCTTCTATCTCAACCATCAGTCTCATACGCGTTAGCACGGTGTTTCGGCACAAATTGGAAATTGGCTGGCACAGGACCAAGTAACATCTCGGAAATCTTGACCCAATCAATTGCCTGATCGCTAGCCATCAATGTCTCAAGGTCGTTGCGTCCATAATAAGGCGATGGGCGGTCATTAATACGCTGAGGAAGAGTCTCCAACAAACCCACTGGAATGTAGCGGCAAAGGAATGACTGCCACTCGAGCAAGTAACGACGCGTCCGATTGACGCCCTTTTGATCAGAACCCCAATGTTCGAGTCCAAAACAAACAAAATCCTTGAGCAAGTCGAAGCGTTCTGAGGCCGAAATATCCCAGTGACGACGCTCTTTGATCTCAGTAGGAAGCCACGGCTTAATGAGTGCACCGCGTGCCAGCATACACGTGTCGAGCTTGCCGTTTTGCAGATGGTCGTCAAATTCTTCGTATGAAAGAACATCGCCACCACCAATGAACGGTACCGGTGGCGAATGCGTGTCATTCATGCTGCTTGTTCTTGCGTCGCTGCACTGGAAAATGTAATCCCAGTCAGCATTCTTTGTGTAGCGCTGCAACCTTGAGCGACCGTGCACCGTAATAGCGTCGATGGATTGTGAGGCGCGGAGCTTAAAGTCCGCAGTAACAACCGCGGCGTTCACGTACGCCAGCGAAGCGCGCACAGACAGTAGCTTAGGGACTAATTTATGGGCACTCGGCTGTTTCTCGCTCCATCCGGTGCGAAGCTTCACGGTCAGCCCTGGGGTGTTCACTGTGCCACCTGTACGCATGCGCGTGCCAAGCTCTAGTCCGGTTAATGCACCAGACACAACCTCAAGCAGTCGAGGTGGCCGGGTCATTAAAGCAGATCCAGCGCCAGAGCGACACACGATATCAATGGGACAACCCATGTTAATGTCAACGAAATCAATATCGGTCTCCCGAGCAAGAAGCTCGCACGCACGGGCCATTTGGTCGCTAAAGGATCCCGCTAGCTGTACACCAAAAATATCCTCACTCTTGTGACGTCGCAACAATGCCCACTCTGACTGCTGAGCCTTCAGTAGGTTTGTAGCCATGGCCATCTCACCGCACGTAATATCAGCGCCGGTTTGCTTCAGCAACCGACGGAATGGCAAGTTGCCAACGGTAGTAAGTGGGGCAATGTAAATCTTCCTCTTGAAGTCAATAGGCTTTCGTTCGGCCAGCAATGGGCTATCATCAGCAGGCTCCGTCTTCATATATTGAACGTCAGATTCAATTTTCATAACTTCTGCAGGCTCCATCTCCATATGTTGAACGTCAGATTCAATTTTCACATCTTCTGCAAGCTCCAATTGCATGGGTTCGGAAGCTAACAGCAAATTCCTTGCAGCCAACGTTTCGCTAGTCGCAGTAGCTTCAGCAAGTGTGACGGAAGAAGTGTCGCCTTGCGTCTTAACCTCCTTCGTTTGATCGTTACACTGCTGACATTTGCCACCGTTTTTCTTTGCTTTCTTCATCTGCTGCTTTGACTGGAAGTCGTACGTACCTTTACGCAGCTTCATCCGCAAATCATGGTTCAAGTCGTTCACCTCATCGCCCACATCATGATCCAGTGCCTCGACGTAATCTTCACGTTTTACATTATGATAATCGTCATTTACCTTCTCAATATGTGCGTTGGCAAACCGACAAGCGACACCGTAGCGACAGTAGCCTCTGGCATCAAACACCGGGCAACGATCGCCCAAGTCCTTTGGTTTACGCTTCATATAGTCATTAATGTCATGGTTAAACTTGCATTTGTCACCAAACTGACAGCTCTCGCCAGAGGCGACAGGACGGCACAACATGTCTGCCGGATCTGGTTCAGCATCTATCGGGCGCTTTTTAAAAGTTCCACCCCGTTTTTTCTGGCCTTGATTGCACTCAATCCTCACTGTATTGACATTGTTGGTACCACTAGCTTCGTTACTGATATCCTTTGGTGCTGACTTGGGTTTTAAATACCTACAACGTTATAACGTCTTGTTAGTGAAGAGCAGGGATAGAGACAACGATTGATATTAAAAGCAATACGGACACTTTTTGAATAGGAGCTTCACCAGGACGTTGTTCAACCAGTGGCAATTCAATTGGAATGGATGTAGCAATAGTACAAGTCTCGTGGCTCTTGATCGACGACGTCACTTGGTGCGTCTTCATGCCAACTGCTTGATGAATGGACACAAAATGATTGATTGGACAATAATAAGGACGCCAGCCTTTCATAGTTGTTAAGTTCGGTTTTGCTCGTTTGTAACAATCTTACCCATTTTGTGCAAAAGCTTTAAATTTAGACACAACTTTATTTTAAAGTTTTTAACTCTAAAACTCAAACGAATCGTCACCGTCCTCGTCATTCTCAGCGACATCATTGCGTTCCTCTAGCAAAGCTTTGATACGCGCAATTGCTGCAGACGATGACATGATTGAGCACGAATTATGTCGCTTCACAGCTGTTAGCACGATATCTCGATCACCTGTTTGAGCGGGTTCCATGTCATCCAGTACGACAGCAAGACTACCCTCGGTCATTTTCGCTAGCTGCTTGCAAGCGTGTTTACCAGCATTCCGTAGCCACATTTCGCGTGACTGCAGGAACGATGTAAACTCATCTAGCGGCAAGCTTAAGACACGAGCATTCATCTCAGGTAACAATGCCCTTGCGCCATGATCTGTAAGCTCATAGAAAACAGTCTCTGTTCCGGTTCCAGGTTTTAGTGCAAACACACCAGCGCGATAGATACTCAGTCGTCCGCGAAGCTGGTGAGTCACTAGCTCTGCAACTGCACGCGTCACCACATGAACTGCACGCTTTTGACGAGCCATACCTGTGCGCTCAAGGAATACTGAATCGCAACGAATGGCAAAGAATGACCGAATTGAGGACAAGTGCTGCTTGTCAATGGTAGCAAAACATCCATACGGCTTTTCAGCCTTCAAAGACTTCTTGTTTTTCGAAGCAGTTGTCTTGACCACAATTTTTGATTGAGAAGGTGGGGCAGGCCCTACAGCAGTAGATACACGGACTGTTTCACGAACCTTACGAAGGACTGCGAGAAAGAGTCCGTGGGTGTCGTTATGGTGAGGTAATACACGAATACAACGCTCAAGATGCATCTCATTGCACTCTTCAGATGTCGGGGACCACATGGACGGACGGAGACGATGCCGCTGGTGCTCTGGGACATCCTTCCAGGACGCCACGTCAAGAACATCCCATTTGGTTATGCCATGCGAGCGCTTTAGTCCTGCTAGAACATCCTTGGTCTCAACAAGTTCCAGCGCACCCTTCGAGCGGCGAAGCAGCTCAGCTATCACTGCCTCGTCTTCGATCGGGTTTAATGATCGTGTGCTGTACAACAACGTACCACCAGTACGCAGAAGAGTCAGCGCATGTTCTACCAGACCCACTTGGCTGAGGTGGTGTACCAGCGCTTGCTCAGGACTCCAAGTACGCCACTTCTCCGGAAGCTTGCGGATCAAACCATCTCCAGAGCACGGAGCACAGCAAATGACACGGTCAAACAGAGCATCAGCAGCTTCCGGAGTAGGAAACTCCTCTGCTTTATGCGCTGTCACGACAAGCTTGCGCTCTAGTGGCAGTGTTCGAGTCAAATTTCGTACCGCCGACGCCGCCGCCGTGGCGTCGCGTTCGTTTACAACCAGCAAGCTTGTCGCGCTAGAGCTGGTCGCATTTTCAGCGCTAGCAGAAGAAGAAGGAGACAGATACTCCGTCACAATAGGCGCACGATGTTCACCACCACCGCAAAGATCCAGAATGCGTTGACCAGGCTGCACATCCAAGAACGCCGGCAGCACAGTAGCAGCAGGGTCTTGTCGGAGAAGTGTGCCCAATAATCCTTGTGCACGCACATACGTGCTAAGCGCTTTCAGCCCTTCTACCTTCCGAAATGTCTTACTATCAACCGACAATTTCCACAACCTCTTCTCAAGAGACCACGGCTCGGGTGCAAACTGTACCTGCATTTTACCGTCTCTTGTAGACGTCGGCACTGTCACTTCAATCAGATTAAAGTCCATTTCCAAGGTTCCTGTCACGATCTCACTCAAACTGGTGTAATTGCCATTGACACGTAGATATACTGGCAGCGGTTCTTTCAAGCATGCCAAAAAGCGTACAAATTCATCCTTTTCGAGTCCCAAACAGCGTTCATAGAAATTCTCAAACGCACGATTCTCTCGGTCGAACTTACGCCATACAATCTTCTCGGCCTTCTCCTCCCTGTATCTCTTCTTTCTCTCGTTCACAACATGCTGTTCCGCCTTGAAACACGCGCGTTTGCCCTTCTTCTCTTTGTCCAGTTCTTGCATAAAGTCACTCACTTTATCTCCATCCTCCAATGACGGTAGCGGGATGACTGCAGCTAGATTCATATCGTCCGACAAGTCCAAGTCGCTGTCATCAATGCTCTTCTCCTTCTTATTCTGATGCTTTTGAGACTTTGTAGAGCTTGAAAGAGCCGATATACTACGATGAGATGCAGTCGTGATTTCTCCCACCTGCTTCCTTTTCTTCTCACGTCGTAGCGTCGCGCGACTTTTAGTGCCCATAATATCTATCCTACGTCACAGTATGACGAATCACTTTGACTGGCTGCCGTTCAATAAGTTACATAAAGAGACTTGTGATCAACTATTTGATCCAATCGTTGCCTTCTATTCGATTTCTGTTCCACTGTCCATCTTTTCTACCAATCAGCGTACGGTATCTATTCCCAGGGGGAAATTAACACATTCCGCAACGAGATGGAGGCGGCAACGGAGCATTTCCGCACTTTACTACGTGCGTGCGTGGGCGTGAGTGCCGCGGCAGCGGCCTTTACAGATATCCAAGACTTTACTACTCGTGTGCAAAATGTTGATCCATCTATTGGTCTTACCAGTGAGGAATTACGGTATTGGGATTTTCTCTGTAAAGAGTCTCTCTCATTGGTCGAAACGTTTGCGTTCTTACTCGCTAGTACAAACATTTCTACCAATAAAATGCTGAGTCTATTACGAATATTGTTACTTCATCCATCGTTGCACTGTTCCGGGCTTGTACGATTCGTGCGAATGACGTTCAAAGGCTTTAAATTGACCAAGCGCTGGGATACTTTAAATGTTGTTTCAACTCAATTACTGGACGCTATTTACGCAAAAATACTGCAAAAGGATACTCGAGAAGAAGCATTAGGGTTGTATATTGAAGTCCTTTCAGGGTTTCAGCATTCGGCCGAACTGTATGAAAAAAATGTGATGAAACTTGTGAAATTGGCGGAATTATTCGGTACAGAGGACAGTGAGGAGAAGAAAGAGATGGTGCATGATTTATTAGTGCTATGTGCTGCTCTGGAACATTGCCATCGAGGCTATGAAGCTGAAGCCATGACGCTTCGTAGAGCCATGCGCGTGAATTTTGGATCTCATGTGGCTCGACCTACAGCTGCTGAAGCTGAAAGATTGTTGCGAGCCAGTGCATGGGTGCTTTCGGTGGATAAATTGCATGCCATGCTGCCTTCAATAGAAGGAAAATGGATCACGGATGAGTTTGTTGGTGATCAACATGGCAGTGGAGGTCTCGTAAACGCAGGCTCAGTATTGTTGAAAGCGACGATAAACTGCTTTGCACATGAAGTGAAGGCGACGATGGTGGACCCGAAATTAAAGCATAAAATGGAGCTGACAGGGTGTTTACTCCAGCGAATGCCGGAGATGCAGGTGTTGTTGTCATATCCCGAGTCGATCGAAGCTTCGACGTGGGAACTTGAAGGACATTGGAGGCAGTTGTATGACGAGAAAACTTTTGCAACGGCAATTACATCGATGGCTTCGATTTCAGTGCCGACTTGGAACTGTCGAGCGTGTACGATGAACAACGAAGATAGCGCCACGAGTTGCACGACTTGTGGAACAGAGCGACCGGTGGATGTCAATGCGCCAACGTTCCCTAGCAGTACCAAAGGGAGCAACCCTGCGCCGTTCTCAGCAGTATTTAGCTCAGATTTGTCATTTATGCGCATGCGATGGTCGCGTGGCGAGCAGCAGGGGGTATGGCTTGCACGGAAACAGATTATCGATACTTCTTTTGACCTGGCAACGTCTCTAGTAGCCGCAAATGACGCAATGATGGATTCAACCGACTTACCAGCGTTTGTTTTTTCTCCAGAAGGAAATCCAGCCAGTACTTTAGTGCTGGAGCGAGCATTGCTATCAACGTCAGATCATACCGAGTTTACTGTTCAAGTGTGGATTCGCCCGGAGCGTTTGCCTTCAGGAAACAAAGCTCAAGTGGTGTTGGCTAATGGGTATGATTTTAAACTATTATTGACGAGCGCTGGGTATTTGGTGTGGGAGATAGCAGGAGCTCGTTGTGTTGTAACGTCTCGTGACACTGTGCAGTATGGCGTATTCTGCCACGTGACACTTTCATTTGGCCAAGACAGGGTGGTGCTTCTGATTAACGACCTGATGGCAGGCGAAACTGCAAAACCTAATGATGTAGGTCCTTCTGCACCAGAAGCATCGCTGCTTACTATCGGTGGCAGCTTTGAAAGCTGTGATTCGCATGAAAAAGGAAGAGCGCCGAGCTGTTTTTATGGACAGATACTCGACCTGCGCATTTGGTCGACGCAGCTATCCAAATTGAATGAACATTGGAGTATTTGGGACGCCTTAACTGGTCGAGAAGAACATCTCGTGGGATATTATCCACTTGTCGGTGACTCGGAGCGATTACTGATGGATTTATCGAACCATGAAAACCATGCATGCGTATTTGAAGGATATCAGTCAAACGATGCTATTCATGATGCAGCAATATCGTCGATCCGTAATTTTGCTCCTGCAACTCCGACAGGCACTGTCCCTGTAAAAAATGCATTTGCTGTATCCCTTGGAAGCGCTTTTTTTGGCAGTGGCAAGTTCTCTTTATCCGACGGCTCAAGTGAAGGAGCATGCGGTCTTTGGGTAGATTGCAGAGAATGTGGGGCCGCATTATGGCGGCAGAATGCTGTCTGCATTGCAAGTGGCTTTCAATCAAGACTATCAATCGCGACCGCAGCGTCACGTGAAGCGCCATCTTTACGTAATAATGTCATCTTTGCGCTATGTGAAGCCACTTTTTGGGATCTCGTTCCGCTATTGCCTGAAGCAGCTATTATAGCGCGTGTTGTGAGTGACGATGGGAGGTCGTCAGTTCAGCATTTTGATGGCTCTGCAATGTTGATCAACGTTAGCTCAGACGTTGTAGCGCCTGGGATTGTAATGTACGACTTAGGGCTGTACATTTGGTCGAAAAAGCAGGGCAACCCTTTGTCTCGCGTATTCCGCATTGCTGGAGGTCCTTCTACCTCCCCGTCCGACATTCAAATTAAGTACGAGTTACCAGCGCGTATTTTATCAGTCGCCATTGGTGGCGTTGGCGTGGTATTTGAAGTTGCAGTGGATCTTGAGCTTGCACTCCGTATGGAGCCAGGCAGTCCAGTCCGTGCTGGTTTAGTATTCCCTGCACACAAGGGCTCGTCCAGCCAGCAAAGCACAGTCGGGCTAAGGATATGGACGTTTGAATCGTTTCATACTAATTTGCTAAAGGACGCCGCAAACTCAATTTTGGGAACAGTATATTCCCCTCTTCAACCAGAAGGCTCAAATGGTGACAATAGTAAGGTCAGTACTGACAGTGAGACCATTATGTGCACCAGGGTAAGCACGGATGGCAGCGCCATTGCACAAGAGTCACATGGTTGTCAAACGTGCAGTTTGGTGCATGATAATAGTCTCTGCCGGGTTTGTGCTGCCGTTTGTCACGAAGGTCACGAGCTAATTGCGCTGGGCGTGACCACGACAGCTTGTGCTTGTCATGTCCGTGGTAGTGGCCTTTGTCGATGCAATAGAGCTGTCGAAGTCTCTAATTTTCCGATGCTTAACCGGCCCGTGAACGCATCCCTATGGAGATGCAGCAAGTGCACAGTGATAAATAGCATGGATCTCAAGCAATGCAGTGTATGCGGCAACAATATACCCGAGCTAAATGCTAGTGTCAGTCCTGCACCACCAGAGTCCACCTCCACAGTATTGGCGCTGGTTGAACAGTCAAAATCTGCGGCGGATTGGTCGTGTAAAGCGTGTACGATGTTCAATAACGCAACTGCTACAAAGTGCTCTGTCTGCGATACCCCGAGACCGAAGCAAGCTGAACCTGAAGTTGCTGTAGTTAAAAAGGAGGAAAACAGTAACAACGGACTTACGACTCTTTACTACGCGGCAGAGGATGCAGCAAAGCAAGATCATCCAATGGCGATACAGCCTACTAGTTCTTGGATTTGTTCGGCATGCACGATGGAAAATGAAGCTTCAGATACAACATGTCACATGTGCGCAACGATACGGGAGATCCCTGTTGCTGCTGCTGTTGACCCCTCTGTAGTGGCGGTGGCGTTGCCTGCTCCTAAGCTTGATGGTAAGCCTCCGTCTACTCCGATAAGCATGGACCTCGATAGAGGGGATCGGGTGATCAGCTCTGAGCCTACCGTGAATTTGCACGCTTTTAAGCTTAAGAACATAAAGTATCTGGAAGAGTACAAGCGCACGGCAGCTCTTGCATTCAGCCACTTGTCAGAAGTTGGAATCATGCACGACTCGGTGTGGGAAACTACCGGGGGCAAGATGCATGTTGTGCTCGACAATAGCTTTGTAGGTGAGTATATTCGCGGCACTTATTTGGAGAAGGATGGAAAATTGAGCGGGCTTGCTCGGCTGACGGAGGAAGGAGTATGGAAACTTGATGGCAAATTTAAGAAAGCTAGTCAAACCCAATTTAATGCATGCACGCTTTACTGGGACAAATCAGCTTCTCGGTTCGACGGAAAATGGTATCGTGGCGATGGGTCGGGTGATTGGAAGTGCCTTGCGTCACCTTACGCATCGGACTTTTGCGGACTGGCTCCGATAGACCCGGTAAAAAAGCCGAATGAGTTTCAGCCATACTACGCGGGTATGGTGAACATGAATCAGAATTTGACGAACGTGTGCTACCAGAATAGTTTTCTTCAAACTCTTTATATGACTCAAGACTTCCGGCGCTTAATTTTGTCGTGCAACGCTCAAAACTATTTGGCACCGTATGTAGAGAACAAAATGAGTGGTGGAAACATTTTGACAACAGTACAAGATTTATTTGCTCAGATGACTGCTTCGCAAAGGCCCTACATAGCCGCGCACGCCTTACAGCAATGCCTCCCCGTTGAGTTTAAGAACGGTCGTCAGCAAGACACCTCGGACTTTGCACATTTCTTGATTGAGTCTCTTAGCCAACAACTTAGCCAGCATGAGGACACTACGGACGACATCCCATCAATTTTCGGTGGTCATCAAGCAACAATTTTGGCGTGCAAGACGTGTGGCAAGAAATCTGTAAACCAGGAGTATTTTTGGGAATTGTTGTTGAACATGATTGATTTACGTTATACGCCTATCACCAGCATTTCCGCAGTGAGTGGATCTTCAATGGATATCCATACCCCAGAGGGTTACGAGCGTTTAAACACTGATTTGAACAAGGATCGCACGGGCGCACCATACGTGTATTTGTGCGTAAAGCGATGTCCAGAACGTGCGATTACTGATAGTTCGATGGAAGTTGATAGTGAACGAGTCATGGCAGTTACGGAATTGGTGGTAAAGGTTGTTTTGAATACTGATCCAAAACCTTCCATGCCAGGATTTGAGCGCGTGGAGCTTGATCTTAATGTTGGTGGTGGTGCTACTGCTGGCATAAAGAAGCAAGTCTATTTATTTTTCCGTCGCGAGCCGAATGGGTCGCCCATTACTGATCTACAAGTGATCTATGGCAATGAATCGATTCCCGATGGCTTCAAGCAAATCCAAGTGGACCTCAACCAGGGCGAAGGCTGTAAGGTATACTTGTGCTATCGTTGCGATATGCCAATCACGGATCTGAAAATTGTCAACAGCGGAATTCCGGGGTATCGAATGGTGGACCACCTACTAAATGTTAGCCATGAAGATGCGGCAAAGCAGTATCTTGCACTGAAAGTTGGGGGAAATGAACCTTGTCTGACTGACTTGAAGCTTGTTGAAGGCAGCGCTGTGTCGGCATACGAAAAACAAGGATGGCAGTCAATCGGAAGTCCCTTTTCTTCAGCGCTTCTCACTGAACCTTCTTTGGATAACGAGCCTTTTATACCAGCACAGCTAATGATTCGACGTGGTCATGGTAACCCTATTTTTGCCATCGATGTATTTCGTGCGCCCCGTCAGGTGCCTAAGTACAACGACTACGAGGTAATCGATCTTTTACCAGCTGAAAGCTCAGTTACGAATGCTATTGCTCAACTTGAGGGTGAATGGATGGGAACTGAAGAAACTGACCGCGGGCGGAAGGCGGTGCGGATGCGCACTGTATCCGAGTCAATATTGGATGCGTTACTTGTGAAAGGAGTATTAGACGATAAAGGGGAGCTATCTTGTATTGCAACCCGCGTTTTGACATGGTCGGACTCAATTAGAGCACATGCTGCAGGAGCTGTTGTGCCTGCTTTATCTTCTTCAGATGAAGTTGCGAATTGCAACGGCAACGATGCTCCCAAAGTTTATCGTGTTTTTGGTTATTGGAAGAACTCAAAAGTACCACATGCACAACTTTTCGATGTGGAACTACGACCTGCACCCAATGGTGTAAGCGGTGCTTCGGGAGATATACTGTCACAAGCAACACTAGTGCAATCGTATGCCATTGCCGGAACAATCGGAGATGGAAGAGGAAAATCTATTGTGATTCATGGCATTCAAACATCGAGACAGGTCAAGACGAAATGGCCAATTTCTGGAATTGTGGTCTTACGTGGCGATGAGCCCGTACCCGATGGTGTCGAAGTTGTTCGCGAGACGTGTTCTGGTCGTTCAGGAAATTTGCTGGCTCAGACCGCGTCGCCTCACTCCTTGTATCTAGCACTGAAACGCGAGGAGGCGCCGGTCAACGGTTACATTACAGATGTTTGCGTGATTTATGGTGAAATTGATGTTGTCCCGGAACACTATACGTGTATTCAAACAACGCCTGCAGGATATTCTGCCAACTTGAACGATGGTACATCGGGTGTGCCCATTTTCATTTGTTTTAGACGGAGTGGCGGCGCTGCAGCAGCGAACACTGAAAGTGCGCCCTCCAAAAGTTTAATGGATCTCTTATTGATGTGGACTTCGGGTGCACAGCCTGACGCAGTTCCAACCGGGTTCACAAAAATTCAGCACACTCCTCTTGGTATGGAAGCTAATTTGAATCAAGGTACTACTGGTGTGGCAATTCACATCGGCGTTTCGAAATGCGAGACGACCGATGTTGTCAAGCCACTGGAAAATCCTCTTAACGGCGAATACGAAATCACGAGCTCCCCATTACCAGCGTTTGGTCGGTTCCTCAGTCTGTCGGTCATAGAGGATCTAGAAGACGCTCGTTTGGTGGAAGGCAACTTTGGTATCGTTCTGCATAGTCAGCTCATTGGATCAATGAGTGGAATTCTGTTCACCTCGAAACACCAGCAGGTGGACAAAAAGGACCACAAGATTGTTGGTACGTGGAAGATTGAGGGCCCAATGGCCGGTGAAGCTGGCGCAAATATGAACAACTTCGTACCGGCAAGCTATCCATTCGAGCTGACCGTGAACGAGTCAGGTACAGAGTTGGATGGGTGGTGGAGTGGTGTTGAGGTCCCTCCTGGCAATGGATCTAAACCAATGGCCTCTGCTGTCACTCTAAGCAGTGGCGGAACCTCGAGCAATACAGCAGTGTTTGGTTCGATTCCTGCTGTTATCGGTGGTAGGTGGAAACTGATAAGAAACTCTTACGTGCATGTGGCATTCAAGAAGGACTACAGCACCGAGTGGCAAGATGGCCAGCTTGTTTTCTCGGAGCGCGTGTGGCGCCACGATATTGAGTCTATGTTGTCGCGTTTCGTCGCTACGCGCACGTTGGGAGGTGATAATGCACTATTATGCAGCGTCTGTCAGCGCAAGACCGAGTCGCGGACGCACACAGTAATCGTTGAGCCGCCAGAGCACCTGATTATTACTCTAAAACGCATGTTTTACGATTGGAGCCAGCAAAAAGCTTGCAAGTGCCTCCATGACGTACGATTTCCTGCGCTATTGACGCTACCTTCGCTAACACCTGAAGAAGAGGCTGCAGTTTATGGTTCAAATAGTGGTGATGTAACATGCGCAAAGCAGCCGAATCAGTCGCGTCGCTATGGTTTATATGGAGTGCTTGTTCACTCGGGGCTTACAGCTAACTCAGGGCACTACTACAGCTTCTGTCGGGAGAGTGACGAAAGCACGCGTCAATTGCATCTGGAGGACTCATCTCTTTCTCCGTGGATCAAGTTTAATGACACGAAGGTAGAGCGGTCCAATTGGAAAGAGATCAACCGGTTGGTGGCTAGCACTGTGTCAGACACGGTTTATTTGCTGCTCTACAAGAAGCTCTCATACGAGCCAATGCCTTGGATTAGTGGCGCAGACCAAGATGCGAATCCCGTGGAAAACGTAAATTCTGACGACGACGAGGCCATGCTTTTGGCTAAGGCCATGGCGCTATCCATGTCGGCGGCTAAGCACAGTCAGTATCAACAGACTGAGGAGGACGAGGAAGAAGAAACCAAGGGCGATTCCGAACAATCTGGAGAATTTGTCCGTGCTTTCGACGACTCTGGTGACCAAGACACTTCTCAAAAAGGTATTGCCGGCGAGAGATTGTGAATATTCGTTATGTCATTGCTAACTTGACTTTGTATTCTTGTAGGTTGAGGAAGAAAACACGGCATATTTGTACGAGATGGGTGCAACATCATCTAGCGCGCTTCATGCGGACAATTTACACACGCTTTTGATGTTACGCCACTCGCTACCGTTGCATTTACGTGCGCTGTTAGATGAAGTTTGCTAATAAAAACATGTGCATGAATGGATTCATGTAACTTGGTTAGTGGTGAATGCATATAGAAATATTTCCCAAAGTTGTAAAATGAAGCATGCATTGTATTAATTATCACTCTTACAGGAAGAAGCTACGAATGGTATAAGTAGATCTAACTAAGCCGTTACAATTAAACTACGCGACTGGAATGCAAGAAAACGAACGACCTCCATTACAAAGCGAGTCAAGTCTTTCATGCAGCAGCAGCGACAATAGCGTGGCGTTTGAACACGCCAGTCTGCTCGCCTTGCGCCTGTTCCCATCTCGCAAGTTTGCTGCGGTATGTCTGAATGAGAAACTTGAGGGCCGTGGGACCACCAATGACAGTCTCAAACTTGTCTCGACTACGTAAATCCAGCAGCGTAAGCTCAGGCAATCCCTCCGAAATGAAAAATACAGAGTTTGACGTAAGCTTCATACAGCCCCAGAGACGCAACTCCTTGAGACGAGTCATTGATGCAGCCACTTGCATAATGGCAGCATCGCTTAAACGTGAGCACTGCGATAAATTTAGTGAACGCAGCCCCGGTAGAAATTTACACAGTGACTGCACGCCCTTATCGGAGATCTTGTAGCAATAGCGCAGATTCAGGTCCTTCAGTTGGGGCAAGTGCATCGCAATTGCTGCCACCATCTTGTCGTCCACTTTGTGTGCATAACGTAAATTCAATCTTTCAAGTTGGGGGCAATGCTGTACAACATGGTCAATAGCACCATTGTCTACATTATGACATCCCCAAAGACTCAGATCGCGGAGCTGCGTGCACTGTGCAATGCCGCGAACATCTTCTCCATTCACGGTATGGCAGCCCAGCAAGTCTACAATTCGCAATGAGGCTGCATTCTTGCTCAACAGCTTCTTCAGCGCTTTCCGATCCACTGCCATGTCTCTAAATCTCAATTCTCTCAAGTTGCCACACATGCCTGCAAGAAGTCCAAGAGCTTCTTCATCCATTGATGCACATCGACTGAGCTCCAAAATCTCCAAAGACTTGAATGCTACTGCAGCACCTGCCGTTTTTAGCACGGAGGCATTAAATCCTTCACAACTTGCTAGACGAAGCTCTCGCAGTCCTGTTGGCGTTGAATGCTGTAGAATAGCCTTCCAAAACTCTTTTGATTCATTCTTGTACTTGAAATCACAAAGATGTTCCGTCTTGCTTTGACAGGCTTCACATTGTCCACAGTAGGACACCACGGAAGAAGATAATGGTTCTCCATGTAACAAAACTTTGGAACTACTTAATAGTGCAAACTGTTCTCGAATATTCAAAAAATTCAGCACGTGACGAAGATTCTCGCTCGCAAGAGTCTCAAACCCATTGCTTTTCATACTGGGCATTGTCGTCTTGAGAACAAAGGTCATAAGTAATCTACTGAATATAAAGTAGCAGTTAAAAGGTTATTCAGCTAGCCAAAAAGCTGTGCGGGTTTCGTGCGAACGTTGATTAATCCACTGATGCTGTGGGCAGTCCTTCAGCATCCCTTGGGTTGCTGAACGAAGGAATAAGAAACGACGGCCGGGAGAAGTCTAGCACTTAAATTGAAATAAGCACAAGAAGACTAACGGCGGACGTTAAGGTTGATAGAAGACGTAGAGGAAGAAGGGAGAGGTCGAATGTATTACGAAGATAGACAGCAAGAGGGAGAGAAAATGGTAAGTTGATTCTCGCCTGGTGATTGTGACAAAACGTGGTAAATTCAAGAATGAAGTAGTAGGAGAAGTAGTAGAAGTAACGGGATCGTTTCTCTCAGGTCCTGATTTTGAAAAGGTTGTAGTTTTATGGTGATGAGCACGTTTAGAAACGGGACAAGACATTTTCGTATTAAGTAAATATGAAGCAGCTCATGGGATAGAAAATGACGTGGCACCCTCTTCTTTTTGAAAAGGATCAAGGTAGATGGAAAAATAACCGTTTGAATGAATGCAAGTGCATGCTTAAAGAAGTGAAACCGAATCTGTAACTAGTAAGTAGCGTAGTAGTGGCAATTTGTAAGTATGAAGAACCGCTTGACGGTGACAGATACGATCAAAACCATTGCTAAGGTTACGGATTCCCACCATTGTCAAATCCTGTTTTTTTCACTTGTAGCGAACGCAGCTGAAGGGTGACACGTATCTCACCTTCTCGACACCATACATTCACACAAGCTACTATGAGAGAGCTGTCGATTACAATCGAAAGCTCTACAGTATAAGGAGGATGTTTGTATTTGCGTTCTAGAATTTGCTAGCATCTTCTACTGACAATTTGCTTGCGACAGTGGCAATGAACGATGTGACGATGATCAACTCCCTCCAAACCCTGATATTGACATGGTCTAGGTACACTACTACTAGCAATATCGTCGTCATTTGAGCACAGCCAGCCCTCGTGGCAGTGCGGCAACTCAATTAACCATTGAAGATTCTGTTGAGCCAGCATTGTTGTCACTAACTATGCATTTCAGCTATCAAGATGTTCATGATGAAGGTATTGTCGTGATTTCTGGCCGTTAACTACAGGCTGGCGAGAAACGGGCCAACGTTTATTATAAGTCACACCTACAATGGTCTTTGTGGCCGATGCAGAAATCTGGCAGGAAGATGTAGTAACAATCCCAGTTGTGTTGCTACTAAGTATGGTAAATTTCGGAATAGTAATGAACAGTTGCAGAGCGACTGGTTGGCGGCTGATATTAATTTGCGCAGTTCAGTGTCATTCGTGCATTAAATGCTGAATAACCAACCTTCACCTTTTCTATCAGCTTCTTCTGGCAAGATGATACCTTTGCGTACAAAGCAACCCCGTATGCTGAGCTTAAGCAGCTGGTTTTGCTGACAAAAGCTTTTCCGACGGGTTCATTGGCCAAGTGACATTCGATCACATCAATGTCGTAAACGATTCATCCGGTACGAACTAAGCACCTGCTTTAACTAAAGTAGCCAAGAACAGCACGTTGAGCTTTGCAGGAAAGGATGATAATATTCCCGAAGCATCAGTATGCACCGTATGCATTGATAACGCAACGGCAAGAAGGAGATCCCATTCATCCCGTTGAGGCAAACGTACATTAGATGTCACTCGATATTCTAAAACAGCAAATAGATTCAATATTGCTGACTCTTGGTCCAGACACAGCAACAAATCTTCTGTCACAGTAGGTGCAAGGTTATCCTTCTGCTACGAAACGCAGCATAGTACATTCCAACGGAAGAAGGTCTCATCTGGAAAAGAACGCAGATAAAAACTAAACCAATCAAGCAGTATTTTGACTTGCATGCCTTCAGTTCAACAATCATCATCATTCTGTGAGAAACTGCGCAGTTTATAGGTAGTCCAACAAAACTGTCACCTCTCTTTATGTATCTCTGAGGCAGCCATGGGCAACTAGATTTGTCAGAACATCGCTATAGGGTAGTCGCCGATCAGATTATCATGCTTTAGATAAAATGGCATTTGTGGTAATGGTAGAAAACAGGTGTTATTGTCTAAATAATTCGTCTGATGCACGCTGGCTTTCGATAATGATAATATCTAATACAATGCTAGTAAGATTGGACTGCCTAAACAATGCTGACTTGAGATGTGCTTGCCGCCAATGAACAGGCGAGGTTTGTCCATTGGATACAACCAGTTTCATGTCCAAATGTACCTCTACGTTCCGGACCAATGTCACTCACTCTTCATTTTCCATCTTGCCCTCAAGTCCACTGTCTTAAGCCCGACGATATCGCTATGTCCGCGCCAGCCAAGTTGTTTTCCCGCGCGAAGATCCTGGTTATTGTCACGCTGTTTGCGCTCTCACTAACAAGCGTAAAGACCCAAGTATCGGCATCTCAAGGGGCCTTACGTGCGTTGAATGCGCAAAATGCGGTTGACGTCGCCTCGACCAGGCGACACTTGTCCAATGTAACTACCACAAGTGGTAGTACTAACGATATCGATGAGAGGGGAAGGTTATCAGGCATAACGGAAAAGGTTGCGTCATTCCATTCCTGAACTGAGCTCGGTTCTCTGACTTGAAATCAAAGTTACAATTTTATTTACTGAACCTCGACACAGTGAACAAAAGAGAAATGTTTGAGTCAGATACGTTTTTTGCATGGGCCAAATTCCTCGAAAATTTTATAGAAGGCAAGCCTGCGTATGCTACTATACATAGATTATTAAGAAAACGCTATAAGTCCAAGAGTCTGCTTGCAGTATGTATCCGTGATGGGATCCAAAACTTAGAGCAAGTTCACGCAACGCAAGTTCACGCTGGTGGTATTATTAATCCTAGTTTGTTTTACGACAATTCGATGGATAAAGTAACGTTCTTACGCAATCTGGAAAAGCAACAATTTGATTCTTGGAAGGATGTTAATATTAACGCTTTGATGGACGATCCAAAGTTGGTTGGTAAGAATGACAAGGAAACGATTGCCAAGATATTAAAAGAATATGTGGATTACAAAACAGGCTTGCATCAGTCTGAAAGTACACCATTGGCGACGTAGGATGGCATAATACATTTTTTTGCATGTCTCTCTTTTTTGTCTTGTGTGATGGTTGTTGCATATGACCTCATATGAGTCCACGAACGGCGCAATTCGATCAATCCAACGAAAACTTCTTGAGTAGGTGAATAAAGGTTGCGTTTGAATAATCACAGGAGCCACGGTCTACACGCCGCTACTTAGAACACGGCTGCTGAATGCGGTGCACGTTTTCAGACTTCTGTATGATCATTTGTGACGCTTACAGTTGCTGCACGTAACCTAAGAGTCTGTTACAGATGAAAGACGATCAGTTGTCGTCGTATAAAAGCACCAAAAGATCCAGCCCTCGTGGCAGTGCGGCAACTCAATTAACCATTGAAGATTCTGTTGAGCCAGCATTGTTGTCACTAACTAATGCATTTCAGCTATCAAGATGTTCATGATGAAGGTATTGTCGTGATTTCTGGCCGTTAACTACAGGCTGGCGAGAAACGGGCCAACGTTTATTATAAGTCACACCTACAATGGTCTTTGTGGCCGATGCAGAAATCTGGCAGGAAGATGTAGTAACAATCCCAGTTGTGTTGCTACTAAGTATGGTAAGTTTCGGAATAGTAATGAACAGTTGCAGAGCGACTGGTTGGCGGCTGATATTAATTTGCGCAGTTCAGTGTCATTCGTGCATTAAATGCTGAATAACCAACCTTCACCTTTTCTATCAGCTTCTTCTGGCAAGATGATACCTTTGCGTACAAAGCAACCCCGTATGCTGAGCTTAAGCAGCTGGTTTTGCTGACAAAAGCTTTTCCGACGGGTTCATTGGCCAAGTGACATTCGATCACATCAATGTCGTAAACGATTCATCCGGTACGAACTAAGCACCTGCTTTAACTAAAGTAGCCAAGAACAGCACGTTGAGCTTTGCAGGAAAGGATGATAATATTCCCGAAGCATCAGTATGCACCGTATGCATTGATAACGCAACGGCAAGAAGGAGATCCCATTCATCCCGTTGAGGCAAACGTACATTAGATGTCACTCGATATTCTAAAACAGCAAATAGATTCAATATTGCTGACTCTTGGTCCAGACACAGCAACAAATCTTCTGTCACAGTAGGTGCAAGGTTATCCTTCTGCTACGAAACGCAGCATAGTACATTCCAACGGAAGAAGGTCTCATCTGGAAAAGAACGCAGATAAAAACTAAACCAATCAAGCAGTATTTTGACTTGCATGCCTTCAGTTCAACAATCATCATCATTCTGTGAGAAACTGCGCAGTTTATAGGTAGTCCAACAAAACTGTCACCTCTCTTTATGTATCTCTGAGGCAGCCATGGGCAACTAGATTTGTCAGAACATCGCTATAGGGTAGTCGCCGATCAGATTATTGCTTTAGATATGGCATTTTGGTAAGGTAGAAAACAGGTGTTTTGTCTAAATAATTCGTCTGATGCACGCTGGCTTTCGATAATGATAATATCTAATACAATGCTAGTAAGATTGGACTGCCTAAACAATGCTGACTTGAGATGTGCTTGCCGCCAATGAACAGGCGAGGTTTGTCCATTGGATACAACCAGTTTCATGTCCAAATGTACCTCTACGTTCCGGACCAATGTCACTCACTCTTCATTTTCCATCTTGCCCTCAAGTCCACTGTCTTAAGCCCGACGATATCGCTATGTCCGCGCCAGCCAAGTTGTTTTCCCGCGCGAAGATCCTGGTTATTGTCACGCTGTTTGCGCTCTCACTAACAAGCGTAAAGACCCAAGTATCGGCATCTCAAGGGGCCTTACGTGCGTTGAATGCGCAAAATGCGGTTGACGTCGCCTCGACCAGGCGACACTTGTCCAATGTAACTACCACAAGTGGTAGTACTAACGATATCGATGAGAGGGGAAGGTTATCAGGCATAACGGAAAAGGTTGCGTCATGCCATTCGTGAACTGAGCTGGTTCTCTGACTTGAAATCAAAGTTACAATTTTATTTACTGAACCTCGACACAGTGAACAAAAGAGAAATGTTTGAGTCAGATACGTTTTTTGCATGGGCCAAATTCCTCGAAAATTTTATAGAAGGCAAGCCTGCGTATGCTACTATACATAGATTATTAAGTAAACGCTATAAGTCCGAGAGTCTGCTTGCAGTATGTATCCGTGATGGGATCCAAAACTTAGAGCAAGTTCACGCAACGCAAGTTCACGCTGGTGGTATTATTAATCCTAGTTTGTTTTACGACAATTCGATGGATAAAGTAACGTTCTTACGCAATCTGGAAAAGCAACAATTTGAGTCTTGGAAGGATGTTAATATTAACGCTTTGATGGACGATCCAAAGTTGGTTGGTAAGAATGACAAGGAAACGATTGCCAAGATATTAAAAGAATATGTGGATTACAAAACAGGCTTGCATCAGTCTGAAAGTACACCATTGGCGACGTAGGATGGCATAATACATTTTTTTGCATGTCTCTCTTTTTGTCTTGTGTGATGGTTGTTGCATATGACCTCATATGAGTCCACGAACGGCGCAATTCGATCAATCCAACGAAAACTTCTTGAGTAGGTGAATAAAGGTTGCGTTTGAATAATCACAGGAGCCACGGTCTACACGCCGCTACTTAGAACACGGCTGCTGAATGCGGTGCACGTTTTCAGACTTCTGTATGATCATTTGTGACGCTTACAGTTGCTGCACGTAACCTAAGAGTCTGTTACAGATGAAAGACGATCAGTTGTCGTCGTATAAAAGCACCAAAAGATCCAGCCCTCGTGGCAGTGCGGCAACTCAATTAACCATTGAAGATTCTGTTGAGCCAGCATTGTTGTCACTAACTAATGCATTTCAGCTATCAAGATGTTCATGATGAAGGTATTGTCGTGATTTCTGGCCGTTAACTACAGGCTGGCGAGAAACGGGCCAACGTTTATTATAAGTCACACCTACAATGGTCTTTGTGGCCGATGCAGAAATCTGGCAGGAAGATGTAGTAACAATCCCAGTTGTGTTGCTACTAAGTATGGTAAGTTTCGGAATAGTAATGAACAGTTGCAGAGCGACTGGTTGGCGGCTGATATTAATTTGCGCAGTTCAGTGTCATTCGTGCATTAAATGCTGAATAACCAACCTTCACCTTTTCTATCAGCTTCTTCTGGCAAGATGATACCTTTGCGTACAAAGCAACCCCGTATGCTGAGCTTAAGCAGCTGGTTTTGCTGACAAAAGCTTTTCCGACGGGTTCATTGGCCAAGTGACATTCGATCACATCAATGTCGTAAACGATTCATCCGGTACGAACTAAGCACCTGCTTTAACTAAAGTAGCCAAGAACAGCACGTTGAGCTTTGCAGGAAAGGATGATAATATTCCCGAAGCATCAGTATGCACCGTATGCATTGATAACGCAACGGCAAGAAGGAGATCCCATTCATCCCGTTGAGGCAAACGTACATTAGATGTCACTCGATATTCTAAAACAGCAAATAGATTCAATATTGCTGACTCTTGGTCCAGACACAGCAACAAATCTTCTGTCACAGTAGGTGCAAGGTTATCCTTCTGCTACGAAACGCAGCATAGTACATTCCAACGGAAGAAGGTCTCATCTGGAAAAGAACGCAGATAAAAACTAAACCAATCAAGCAGTATTTTGACTTGCATGCCTTCAGTTCAACAATCATCATCATTCTGTGAGAAACTGCGCAGTTTATAGGTAGTCCAACAAAACTGTCACCTCTCTTTATGTATCTCTGAGGCAGCCATGGGCAACTAGATTTGTCAGAACATCGCTATAGGGTAGTCGCCGATCAGATTATTGCTTTAGATAAAATGGCATTTTGGTAAGGTAGAAAACAGGTGTTATTGTCTAAATAATTCGTCTGATGCACGCTGGCTTTCGATAATGATAATATCTAATACAATGCTAGTAAGATTGGACTGCCTAAACAATGCTGACTTGAGATGTGCTTGCCGCCAATGAACAGGCGAGGTTTGTCCATTGGATACAACCAGTTTCATGTCCAAATGTACCTCTACGTTCCGGACCAATGTCACTCACTCTTCATTTTCCATCTTGCCCTCAAGTCCACTGTCTTAAGCCCGACGATATCGCTATGTCCGCGCCAGCCAAGTTGTTTTCCCGCGCGAAGATCCTGGTTATTGTCACGCTGTTTGCGCTCTCACTAACAAGCGTAAAGACCCAAGTATCGGCATCTCAAGGGGCCTTACGTGCGTTGAATGCGCAAAATGCGGTTGACGTCGCCTCGACCAGGCGACACTTGTCCAATGTAACTACCACAAGTGATAGTACTAACGATATCGATGAGAGGGGAAGGTTATCAGGCATAACGGAAAAGGTTGTGTCATTGCCATTCGTGAACTGAGCTCGATTCTCTGACTTGAAATCAAAGTCACAATTTTATTTACTGAACCTCGACACAGTGAACAAAAGAGAAATCTTTGAGTCAGATACGTTTTTTGCATGGGCCAAAATCCTCGAAAATTTTATAGAAGGCAAGCCTGCGTATGCTACTATACATAGATTATTAAGTAAACGCTATAAGTCCAAGAGTCTGCTTGCAGTATGTATCCGTGATGAGATCCAAAAGTTAGAGCAAGTTCACGCAACGCAAGTTCACGCTGGTGGTATTATTGATCCTAGTTTGTTGTACGACAATTCGATGGATAAAGTAACGTTCTTACGCAATCTGGAAAAGCAACAATTTGAGTCTTGGAAGCGTGTTAATATTAATATTAACGCTTTGATGGACGATCCAAAGTTGGTTGGTAAGAATGACAAGGAAACGATTGCCAAGATATTAAAAGATTATGTGGATTACAAAACAGGCTTGCATCAGTCTGAAAGTACACCATTGGCGACGTAGGATGGCATAATACATTTTTTTGCATGTCTCTCTTTTTTTGTCTTGTGTGATGGTTGTTGCATATGACCTCATATGAGTCCACGAACGGCGCAATTCGATCAATCCAACGAAAACTTCTTGAGGGTAAATAAAGGTTGCGTTTGGGTAATCACAGGAGCCACGGTCTACACGCCGCTACTTAGAACACGGCTGCTGAATGCGGTGCACGTTTTCAGACTTCTGTATGATCATTTGTGACGCTTACAGTTGCTGCACGTAACCTAAGAGTCTGTTACAGATGAAAGACGATCAGTTGTCGTCGTATAAAAGCACCAAAAGATAAGTAATTCAACTGTATTCGCATTACATTTGCCAATTTATCGTTCAAAGATAGACCGGACACTACAAGTAAAAAATGACCTACTTGCCTTGTATCACGCTCAACTTAGCTGAGAAATGACGACTGCCTGTCCCAGCATAAATAACGATCTCACGCAGGCGCTAGAGCACCATGCAAACGGGTACCTTACACACACGTAGATGCTCGGTAACGACGCAAGCGCGACCCACACTCTACATCACATTAAAGTGGAACCAGTCAATCTATCTCGTGCACCAAATTCTCCACCTTGCGGCCATGCAGCACCGTGAGCCCCTCGGCCACCTGAAAGTACACGTGCACGTGAAAAATGTCAATGGAACGTTCCGGGTTGTCATCATAGTTCCACCGATCGACATGTGACGCATTGGCATCAATCCAGCTTTCCACGTATTGCTTCACCTGTTCATGATTCAGATCCTTCACGTGCCACAGCGTCCAGTGCTCAATGCCTGCAGGAGTGTCATAGGGAAACATATTGGGTTCTAGAAACGCAGTTCTACCCTTCAGAGTAGTAGCAAAAATATGATCCTCAGCTGACCCATAAGTCTTGGCAATCTCATCAAGATGATCCCACTTGCGCTCCTTACACTCACCGGTTCGGCTCCAATACTCAATGTAAAGCGTACGACGGCTGCAACGGCGGGGCAACTCTCTGCTACATTCAACATTAGCATCGAAACTTAACTCAACATTTCCACATCCATCACGAAAAGTAGAAGACTTGTAAACGTGCTCTTCTTCATCCTCCTCATTGTCAGTTGGCACATAGTCACTCTCAGTTTCACCAGACGTCAGCTGCTCTGTCTTGATCTTCTTGATCTTCTTGATCTTTTGACCCTGCATTTCTTCGGCATCTTCAACAGCCTTGCGCTTGAGCGACTGGGAACTGCTCATAGGATGCGCAAAAGCGTCATTAATATCAACGGAACCCAAAGCTAGGGCACGCATACCGTCCTGCGATTTAGGTTGTTCAAGATTATCACCTGATTTCGCGTTGTTGTTAGTACTAGCAGTATTCACCTGGTAGATAAAACCCAAAAGACCCAAAGACCCAAAAAAACCAAACTTTTAGTTTTCTCCCTACTCGAAAAAAACATAAAACCCAAACAATCAACCCACCTTGTTGCTTTCTAAAGGTCCTAGGGTGCTGTTAAAACCCACATCGGAAATAGATAATGGAGAGTTGCATATAGAGCGTGCAGAGTCCATACGTTTCTCAGCGTCAATGGGCTTTACGCTAACTATTGTCGAATACGTCATGTTTTCTGTGTTTTTATTGACAAATCAGAACAAAAGGTGTTGTCGATTTATGTTACTTACACACCGCTCTAGAAGTACTTGAACGTCTAAATGAACTTGCGTTTTCTCGTCCGATTTCGCTTATGAGAGCCGCTAGAAGTGCTAAGCCAGATGTAAGGCTTTATTTTATTTGGTTAAAATATAGGATTAAAATGTCGCCCATCCTTATTTTCTCCTCTCTCGATTGTTCCATTTGTATGGTACCATTGGACCCATGCAAAATGTACCGACCATACCGGTAATATTTTTTGACTAAGTAAAAAATGACCCTGTTGTACTTGTGTCAGAGGCTGAGAAGCTACTGACCGAGAGTGTTTTTCAGACGCAATTACATGCAAAGAAGAAGAAACGTAAAAAACCGTCCGCTCAGAAGAACCAAAGTTTGCGTGAGCTTGAAGCCGCATGGGTTGACGAAGATGATAAAGAAGTAGAGGTGAGTCTGGAGGAACAACCACAGCTGCGTAAGCTCCGTAGGACTGAGAAGGATACAATAGTAAGTGGCAAGGAACTGCATCTACGACTGAAGACTTTGTACGTGAATTGATTGATTACTGTATCTTCCTTCTCATTTTTTCAATCTGTTTTCAACTCATTTGACATATTGATTTGTATCATGACGAACATATTGGTTTATAGTTATCAGTCGGCACATGGTGCTGTGTCTTGGGCAGACCCAAGCAATTTTTTGGGTGATCGACAAATAGGCTTATATGATAGTGACATTGAAGGGGAGGCGGAGCTACTTCGAAGTACCGACAAAATGTTGGAATCCTCTGGAAAATTGCTGCCTCAGGGAGAATTGGAGATTATTCGTGTGAAAGACGCTAATCAACATGCTCCTTCTAATGCAGTCGTCCAGTCTGTGCAGTTTCATCCGAATGGTCAGCTGCTTTTGACTGCGGGGTTGGACAAGACCCTGCGGCTTTTTCAGGTGGATGGTAGCAACAATGCAAAAGTTGAGAGCGTCTTTGTGCAAGACTTGCCTATGTTAGACGCTAAGTTTACGATGGCTGGACAGCGTGCAGTGCTGACTGGACCCCGACAGTATTTCTTCTCATACGACATTGAAGCAGGCAAGATTACCAAGATTCCGGGTCTCTATGGACGTAAAGAGAAGAAACGTAATACATTTGTGGTCTCGAATAACGGTGAGACGATTGTATTTATGGGAAGTAATGGATACTTGGACGTAGTGTCTGCAAAGTCGTACGAGTCGATGGGTACACTCTAGATAAATGGAAGTGTCAAGTCAGTGGCCTTCTGCGAGAATGATCGCTACTTGCTGAGTACAGGCTCAGACGGACAGGTTTACAAGTGGGATATGCGTACCCGGCGGTGTGTCTTTGTCCACGATAATGAAGGGAGTTTAGGCAGCTTTGCCTTGGCTGCTAGCGATAACTATTACGCCACCGGTTTGAAAAGTGGTGTGGTCAATATTTACGACAACGCCGCTCTGACTGCTACGCCAAAGCCGTGCAAAGCGCTTATGAACCTTACTACTGAAGTTAATCACCTCGTGTTTAACGCAAATGCAGAAATTTTGGCAATTGCGTCAAGGGACATGAAGAATTCACTGAAGCTAGTGCACATGCCGTCTTTGACTGTTTCTTCATACAAATAATCTGTAAGTCGTATGGTGAACAGGAATGCCATAAATCTCGAGCATCACCATGACAAGTAGCACTAGTATACCATTACTAAAATATTGATAGTTTGGTGCACCACACCAATAAAGCACTAATTTACACAAATTGATCAAAAAACACAAAAATACTTGTGGTAGTATGTTCTACAAGTGAACCTATTGTTTAAGAACCTTAGGTTCCTTTGAATAGAAGAAGCCAAGACACATGAGGAGCGAACTTATTGAGATGAAAGACTGCGTGGTTGTAGTAGCGTCGTACAAGGACAAGAGAGGTAATAGTAGTGGATGGTAAGTGATGCCACTGACACGGACTACTCGACTACAGTCCCAGATTATTAATCCTGTTCTTTCGTTAGAGCTTTCTTCTCCACTGACAACCCTGTTCAGATGGTGGCTGCCTAAAGCATATTGGCTCGTGTTTTTAGAATAAAGCAGCTCATTCTCCTTCTTTGTAAACAACCATGACGTGTAAGCCACCGTTGCTGTAAATATTTCCACTCGGTTGACGCTATGAACCTTGGTTTGAATGTCACCAAATTCTTGTCGATCCGGCTTATACTGTTCCAAACAATACTTCTGCCAATCTTAAGATTCTTGTTTTATCACCTCCACTTCGTCCTGCTGGTTCAAATAATGCTCTCTGATAGCTTAAGCTCTTCATTTTGTCTCGACAAAAAACTCACAAATCTTCAAAAAGAACCTCCTCAATCGTAGCATAACCATTATCTGCTGCAAGTATGCACACGTAGCGCAACGATTATCACTTCCAATGGTACAAAACATTCCAAAGTTAAGCTGCTAACCAACCCTTGACTATCAGCGACAGCTGGAAGCTAAATTGCTGTCCACGGGGGGCTTCTTTCCGCTTACCTACTATATTTTCTTGTATAAGAAAGCAAGTCGACATGCATGTATAAGCGGTAATCTGATAACAACGTACAGACAGGGTCAATGATCATTTGTTTTGTAACGGGGTTACACGTTACGTACGTTATGGTAAGAAGTACACAATGTACACACCATATAGGAGGGTACCTGCTACATAAATTACATAACTTTATTAGTAGCCAATGATGAAGCTTGCATGCTATTTTGGCCATAAGCAATAATAAAGTTTAGTGTCATGTCCACGTGAAAACAGCGTTGCTGTCCAATGTACTTCTAATTTTGTCAATAATACCAAAAACATCGATAATGTGAAACACGTTAGAGTATATCGTCATCACTAAGCAAAGGGTCAACGAAAAACACGAAATATGACGACTGCTGACTCGCAACACCGACGCAATGGTGATATGGTAGATTTGCATCCATTTAATCAACAGCATACTATGCCTTGGAGGACATGTAGTCGAGAATATAATCACGAATGAACATTGACATAACTGCCAGTGTATACGGCAACAACCACTTTCACCAAAATTAAGATCTGGACGAACATTTAAATTCCAAACAAATACAATAGAAAGATGAAGTCATGCTGCCTTTTAGCAGAAAAAAACACAAGTGCATACAAAGCCGACAGGTTCAACTCGCTAGTATTTTTTACGCTTTAAATACATCAACCAGATATCGCACCCTTCCAAGTCCGCAGTCCTTTCCATTTACGGAATCAGTAATTCACGTCGATGCAGGTTAATCTTGTACTCCCATGACTGCTGCTGCGCGTAACTCGACACATACAGCACGTACATAATACCCCTTGCGTAAAGTTTCAAAGGATACAGTCGACTCGGATCGCTCTTAGGCTGCGGACTGGACTTGATCATCTGCAACTTGGCCAAATCCAAACTAGTCAGTAGGTTAGCGGTTTTGTTGTCAAAAAGGTAAAAACTTGTGTCCGTGAGAACGCCCCAACGTGTTGCCACCGTCTTCTGCAAAGGTGGGGAGCTTGTTGGTGTCTTCTTTGGCGTCACCGGTATAGGAGAAGCCAACGGACCGTTACTCGACACCTTTCTGGTCCAGAAGGAGAAGGATCGCCTCGCCCGCGTTGTAATAGGCGGCGCCAAAAGAAACTGGCCCGATTTGCACGGCATCCGAGACGAAATGGGTTTAATTTCCAGCTCCACCGTGCCTTTTGCGAACCGATTCAGTCCCACAACACCCTCTTCTACTGGAAACTTCCATTTAGCAAGTGATGCACCAATCTTCGTCTTGTTTTCCCATCCAGGCTCCATAGGTGCAATTGCTTGTCCTAAGAACCGGAACCCACCAGTGTTAGTGACGCCAATCAACGTCACGACAATGTCGCACTTGCTGGACAACATGGGAACGAAGAACGTGTCCGTCCATGTTGGCAAACATATATTCGTGCATTTACTCGTTGAAAAATGAAACATAAAGGGTCCAAATGGCTTCTTAAGCACGCGCACATTGCAATAGACCGATGTAATGTTGCGATAATCACAAAGAAGCTGAAGACTCTGTACTCCCATGATTCGAAGCTCCACAGGGCGTCCGACGGCACTAAGACGTGTTGATAATCTCGTTCGAGCCAGGAAACAGTGTACGAGTCGTTGGATGATAAGAGCAGCGGCACGACGTGCCACGTGTTGATGTTCAGTCTGTAGTTTTTCCTGCTCTACAAGACGTTGTGCTTCGGTCTGTTTCGTAGTCGCTTCGCCCCACATTCGTCGACTTTGTTCGTCAATGGGCGGTGTACCAGGCATGTCAAAGTCATAACATTCTTGCGCTGGTCCATTGCGTGCTACTTGCTTTACGTTACGAGAAGAAGGAGCATTAGACTGGCTCAACACGGAGACATGTTTACTCGAACGAGATGGCATCGTAAGGAATTGCGCTGTCGTGCTTCGTGTAGACCAAGGACAAGTTGAAAAGTGTGAGTCTTGGCTACTTACTACCTATGCACTTGTTGTGTTGTGTGGGACTTTTTTTTGCTTGATTTCGTTATAGATGTTTACTACTATGTAAATAGTGCGAGATATGTCATATATATGTATGTCTCTCTAGGGGCTGAATGTGTACAGTATATGACCTACTTACCTTCTAATATGCGATGGAGATGAAAAGATATCTATATCAATGTATCTGATAGATGGATGGATAGGTTCTATTATCGACAAGTACGTTCAGTTCTTATTATAATAATCTAGAGTGCAAAAGACTAGAGCGTTATATAAGACTTTTGGGAAGGAACATGGCACGTTCATGGTACGATGAGATTCACGTGCACACGATAATAAATATCTCAAAAACGAGGCGACGACAGCCCTTAAAGGGGCTAAAAAAGGCAATTGGCCCTGGAATAAGAGCAGTAGGGCGTGTTCTATATTATATACTTAGGGTCAACATTGTCATCTGTATGTATATGTACTACCATCATATCTAAACAATAACAATAAGAAGAATGTTGTATATGCATCCAAACAGTATCATTTAATATTACTTGATGATAATACGCGCGAGCGTTACAATGAAAACTGCTATTTGTTGTTTGTTATCTTTGCTTGTCCTGTCCTTTCTGTGCAGTGTCTTGAAGTAGGAGTCTGGTTCTGACTCGTTTTGAGACGCAGATTAAATGTAGTCTTTTTCCAGCCAAAATTGGGTTTTTAGTCGCAAACTTTCGCTTAAAATTTACATTAACAGATGACTAGCTCATATTCTTATTCGAATAACCATTTGAGTAGGTCCAGATGGGAAAATATAGAGCAAACGTATTGTCCGACTTTAGATCAAAATCGAAGCAAAAGTCTCAGCTGATGAAGTGACTGAATCTGCTGACTGGTTTTTACGCTGAAGGTAGAAGTGGTGTATGTCGTCTATCTATCTATCTACTTGATGAAATGAGTGAAAAGAGCAAGAAAATATTGTTTTATGGTTTAGTTGAGCACGGAAAACTGTAACTTTATTAACAATCAGTTCGTTCTCTTTGAGCCGAGTCTACAAAATCGATAGAATAACAATACTCTTCTCCTACGTCGTCTGAATGCGGCAATTTAGGCATCACTGAGGCTTGTGGACGAATAGAGGAGGAACGAACTGGCAATTGTCAATAAATTTTATCGGGTTAGGTAGGTAGGTGAGTAGTGAGAACATGCCGATAGTAGTCATCACTGACGTGACTTTCATACTGATAGAAGATGCGTAGCTGAATACATTAAATCTGTGTACTGCAAGAGCGAATGGTACCAATGTCCATGTATATATATATTCTACATGTTCATAGACAGTCTGTTGTGCTCTACAGTTCAAGTCATTGATACGGTCAAACAGTCTCACAAAGGGTGCGATATTGCAATTGGTCTTCCAGGTTGAACAGCGTTGGCGCTAGTCAGCGGTCATGTCGCTAGTGGTGACTTATGGGCATTACCGGAGAACCTCATAGATGGTAGGTAGCAAGGGACAAACATTAAATCTGTCATTAAGAAGTCGGTATGAATCCGAGAAAAGTTCTTGATGACGCTTTAGATATTTTGCATGTCGATAGTAGGTTGTGACGAAATAATCTGGACGGGATTGCAACCGTTAATGAAGTGCAAAGTACAATAGAGTTGGTGCATTGAAGACGGCAATCGTTCACTGCGAAAAGGAAGAGTATGTGTATGTTTGGCTGTAAACCCATGAGCGGCAGTGTCAAGTTATATTGTCGAACCTCTAGCAGTGAACCGATCTATATGTACTGAAACTGGTACTTGGACACGTCTACGTCGCTTACAGAATCTCACGTAACGATAAATCTCTACGCTGGATGAAAAATCATCGTATATGATACATATGCAATGGCAAGAGAACTAAGAACAACTGAATACTTGCGTGTTCTTGCAGCGATAGCCCGACTAATCAATTGGTCGCCGATAGAGAACCGCATTGAACCAAAACAACCCATCTGTCTTCCTTTAACTGTTTCGGAATGTAAGCACTAACTCACCTTGAATGTTTTCGACCCTTTGTGTCTTTGTGATAATCCTCTATTTTATCACTATTATTACCAAAGCTCGTAAGCCGCTGGAGACCAATGTATCTCAATCACGAATCTCTCACCTCCTAATCGGCATGGTTTTTCTACATTCAAGACAACAAACAGCTAGTATTCCCCTGTAAGCATTGAAGCGTAGGGTGGTGGCAATCAGGATAACAAGTTGTAGCAGCAAAGATTGCCAGTCCCATAAAACTTGCCCTGATGGTCATAGAACCCCGTTGTATATAGAGCCCATCAAACAAAAGGGTGACGTAATGTTGTAAGCGTTTGCACTTTGCAATAGGTGATTTCAAGTATCACACACGATTAGTGTGTGGTTAGACAGGTGTTGCTACAGCTTACGATATGGATGGCACGGTGTATACCAAGCCATTTGTTGCAGTAGCGGGTGGAAACTACTAATGTACTAACATGATGTACTTGAGTCTCATACAATTATCTTAGCTGAGCCTAATCGCTGTGTTACATTCAATGTTAGCCATACTATTCTACCAAACATGCAGTGTCGCCCTTTTACTACAATTTGTGGCGTTGAAAGATTAGGAAGCAGTGCTAGGAAGGGCAAGTACAGAGACCAGGAGCCATGCGATATACAACCTGTACTGGTCACGACTAACGTTGCCTACTTCAAAACGATCTGTCGCTCAAACGATTTCACACGAACCTCCACACAGAAGCAGCAGCAGCAAGAGCATCAAAGAGTATTTTGACGCTCAGTGTCAAAATCACCGGTCAGACCTTAGGCTACTACAGGACAATAACATCCTCCACCATGACCAAAACAAAGAGACGTATGTTTACCTCATCTTCGTTGCAACTCTCGGCGACGGCATCTTCGGCTGCAGCGGTGTCTGCTGCTTCTAAGCTCAAGTCGAATCTATCTACAGTCACCAAGTTGCCAACGCTGAAGCGCACCGCTTCCAACAATACAAACGTCGAGCACGAGGACAAAACTGATGTGAAACGTCATCACACATGTGTTGATCCGTCGTTGTTAAGCTCAAGTCCTGAGTTGTTCGTGAGCCGCGAAGAAGTGAAGGCAGCTCCTCGGCTGTTTCGTATGTCATCGCTTAAGAGCATGACAGCTGACAAAGCGCGCTTGAAATTTCCTTTGAAGCGCTCGTTAAACCCGTCCAGTGCTCAAATCAAGCGTAGCTACAGTCATAACAGCGACGCCAATAGCAACAGCGACGCCAATAGCAACAGCGACGCCAACAGTAACAGTGAAGACGAAGACGAAGCTAAAAGCATGGATGAGTTTGAGGCCCAAAAGTCGGCAGTCAACTCTGCCTCGCGTTTTGTAAAGGGGATGCCCACATTGCTGAGACGCGCGGTGTCGAATAGTCATATACCGAGAACCTCAACTTTATTCCAGAAGACAAAACTACACACTAGTTTGCAAGGAGAGTTCACGGACGATGACCCCGAGTACGATCGGAATTCACTGCTCATGATGTTGCAGGTGCCACAAAGACGAAGGAACTCGCAAATCCCATTAATGGCAGCAGGCGAGATTTGGTGAGCGGTGGAAAACCATCCTGTCACGGTTACGCAGAGCAAGCAGGATATACCTCTCTAGCTATTGGTTAGTGTTGCGAACGGAGCAACACTAGTTACAGCGTTTTCCGACCGAGGTTGTTGGTGCCGCTATACAGTCATCAATTGTATTTCAATCTTGAGGTAAACGTCATTGTGTTTGATTCATCCAGTTTTCAAACTCACGACCATTTATTTAGAGACGTTAACTTTTTTCAAGAACAACCACACATCACTTTTCATCTCATACTTGCACGTACTGGTAGAGATGTACGTGAATAGATCAAGCTGTTTTCGTATGACTTTATCTGCGTTCCATTCAACTCATCATAGTACGATGCAGTAGCTGTTTTACGAAAGCCTCCTCCTATCCATAGGCTTGGTAGAGTTCTCTACAGTTTCGACTGCATATTGGCCTCCACGATGACATTTGTCTGGATAGCTGCTGCTACAACTTGGCCGCTCCTTTGCCATCTTTTGTGTCTTTTCCTCAATGACCTCGGCCGGATATTGTTGAACTCATCATGGCCCCAACAACACGTCTCTTCTCATTATGTCGACGTCGTAAAGTTTAATTCACTGTAAATGTTCCCACCTTAGCTCTCTTCAACTTTTCTTCTTCTTTGTCACGCACATCATCTCTGTCTCAACAATACAACTTCTTTCTGTTGCAGTGACTCTGTGCTTCAGCTACTGATTCGTACTATCGATTTCGTCGGCTGGAGCTGAAACACCAGTATAAGATAAAGGTAGCTCATGTCTTTATCTTCATCCTGCACAATTGACGAGTTGGGTAGACCCTACACTTATGAAGAAATGATTAAGCCACGATCTTTATTTCCTTCATCGGTTTTGCATTCTAGCCTGACGTCCACATCAGACGCAGTCGTAATGAACAGAACGCATGAAACAATAAGAAATCATAATATCCGAATGCATGTGATGCAAATTGTGGCTGGGTCATTCTTCCTGAGTTTCCAAGTTCGTGATTCCGTTCAAGACTTTAAAACCACCGTGTATGCATAGATGATGGGTGTACCAGATCTGGACTAAAGCATTGCCCACCAATGGCTATGTCACGTGACATTAATGAACGACAGAGAAGACGCAATGTTCCAAGCACCGAAATCTCGCAAATAATGCTTGTCATTCATTTATTGTCGAGTTTCGTGATCCAAATTTGTACGCTTACATGTCTTGGCAAAGTATGTTCACGTCAAGAAAAAGCTGTCAGTATAATCCAACAGTAACCGTTACTTGATTGAGTCCAAATAGCATTGCGGTGATTGAACACGCATCAGTTGAACAACAATCGAGGCTCGTGTAGTTTTGTCAGGTTTTTCCGACATGGATCAGCTCTTTGTCATTATCCTGCTGAACGATGAACGGACTTCATAACCAATCGTGCAAAACGATGTGCACGCTGTTTGGATTGTAACGCAATCTTTGCAAGCTGTTCAAATAATACGACTGCCAAATTTGTCATATCACGTCATGCTTGGAGTCAACCAAGCTGGAGAAAATACTACCCCCTTCCGTGCGGCACACATACACTTGGCTACAATTATAGTACAACGTCAAATTCGTATTGATAGGTAATCTATACTAGAACCACGCACCTCTTGCCAGCAACGATGCACTTAGCTTCGAATGATGCGTACATATCGCTGCCTTCTTCGTCAAGAGTACACTTTTTCTCTACTTTCAGACTCACATTGAAACATTGGTAATTCTTCCTTCTTGGTAATATCGCAAATAGTAGTAGCAGTAACTATACGTACTTTGAAGCGCTACATAGTGGTGACGGGGTTCGAAGCAAAATTCGCTTAGTAACTTGGCTAGTCCATGATGAAGGCAAATATTCAGTATGTTCCCAAGGATTCCGCGTGTTTTCTGACAAACGATAAGCGGTTAGCATCTCTATACAAATATGCCAAAAGCCTGAAAAGACCGTACTTGCGATATCCTTTGCCGCAAAAACAATAGGCGAGTGGTGTTGGATGAATTGTCGAAGGAAAAGAAATACTTGCTCTGATAGTGCCAGTCCGTCACCTACGCTCCTAGCTGCCATCTTCCATCATTAACATAACCACTCATTATTTTTGAACCAACTAGCGGCAACTCTCTGACGTTTCGTACCCTATCAATCGCATGGAATGACCCTACACAATTAAACACAAGCATTAAAGCTGCTCAAAGACCGCGTATCGCCGCACACATTAGCCACCCGTTAACCTTCACTCTTCAGCTACACTACAACTCACGTGTTGATGGTGCTTCTAAGAGCATGAAATGAACGTGATTGAGCGACGCGAGCCACTGGAACGAGTCTCGACAGTTGCACGTCTGCACTCGGCTCAGCACTTCGTCCACTGCCTCCTCCTGTTCGTGATCATCTAATCTACGAGTTACTATAGCCGCCATCCGTGTTGCCGACACTTGACATTCATGATCAAATATAAAAACACGCTCTTTTGGCATCTTTCGAGTAGATAAACAGCTTTTCGTAACAAAGGAGGCAATGACGTGTTCCAGTACTTGGATCTTGGGCGTATCACTCGCCCCACAGATCTCGATTACTTGTCGTGGTCGGTATCCAGCTTCTTCTCCATCTTTTTTCATCGTAGCTCTATCAATAAAGCTCAATCTTGTATAGAAACTGCTTCCAGGCCGTCGTGCAAACAGGTCGAGCGCCGTCTCATCCAGATGTAGTCGATGCATCAGTTTCTTCAGATGTACCCATGTCTTTTTTTCCGACAACATTCAGTAATGAACCCATTACCATCATTCTGTTGAACAACCTTCACGTTACATTGCAGCCAAACCATTTCGTGCAGTTGGCAGTAACAAGAAGGATTGATGTTGTCTTCTGCGCCACTTGAGAGCGCTCAATGCATTGCTACAAGGGCATCTAACGCCACCGCGTCATCTATAACGGAAGTAGATTCACTTGACAACACAATGACGTCGTCTGCGCTTGCGACGGACGCATTTTCGACTGAGAAGAAGGTGGGGAGTTTTCATCACGAGCGTGTTGACTTTGCCGCTTTATACCAGCGTTCTTCGCGTGATTCGGAGATTTATGCAACAATGAAGACATTAGGGGAGGAGCTCAAGGAGATAACAGCTCAGCACAAGAAGCAGCAACAAGCTCAGAGCTCTACAGCGGATGCTACAGTCTTCAGCACAGCCAGGTTTGCCCCAGATCAACTGCAGCAGCTGCTAACGACAAAGGAGGCAGGAGGAGCTGAGAGTGCTGCAGGAAAGGAGCAGACAATGCAGTCACACCCTCCCAGAGCCGCAGAGGCCAAGGGGAAGCCCATGAGACGCTTTATGGTGTCGTCAGCCACGCCATTTATCACGATGGCGGCGACCAGCACGAGACTTAATGGTCCTGCAATCAACGAGGATAGCGAGAACGATGCTCAGTACCACAAAGTACAGCAGCTTCCGTGGGAGGACCACATTATTTGGGGTATTGATTTTAATGCTGCTGCAAACGGAGATATGGCTGTAGAAGGCGACGACGGAGGAGGAGTGGAGATTGAAGACTCAGTAGGAGAAGTCAAAATTGTGCACGAAAGTCAGGACAAAGGTGTAAGCAAATCGAGAAGCTGGAGAAACATAGCGAAGACGAAGAGTGAAAGATCTAGTATGCAGACATACAAACAGCTCTGTGCGGCGAGAGCGAGTCAGGGAAATGAGGTGACAACATTAGCAGCTTTTAGTACTGATAAATTTGATATGTCAAAACCGCGAAACTATCGGTGGGAATTGGAAGACAATGTGAAGAAGAAAAAGAGGGAAGCTAGTGGTGCAAGTAAGGAAGATGGCAAGATGGAGTCGCTTCCGTGTCCACTGAATAAGGAGCTGCAGGATGACTCGTGGGTTGCATTGATTGGTTGGAAGTCTACACAGGACATGCCGGAGAGTAAGCTTGTGCTGGACGATAATGATGCGTCACTCATTTACTCTGTGTCAGAAATGGAAGATGTGCGTCCAACATTGCGAATACCCGAACGAAAGCTGGGAGCTGCTGAACAAAGGCTAGCACAGCTGGATAAGCAGCGCATTGAGAAAAAACAGCGTATTGATGAGGTTATGGGCAATCTCGAGTTTGGTGATGAGACGGCTGAAGGTCGATTGGGCACTGAGGGTAGTGGCAAAAAGCCGAAGGATACACGTGTGGTCAAAAATATTGGATACGTACACCACTCGTTGCCAGCCATGAAGCTGTCTCTCACTAAGCCTGAACTTCCTAAGACGAAGTTGCGTGATTTCCATAGACCGCGCGGAAAGTTTAAAATAAACGAGCGGCTAGACTTCTTGCCACCGCCTCCAGGTGCCGCCAAGTTAGCACCACAGGAGGAGAGCGCCATGGTTACACAAATTAAGAAGAGTTCCGACTTGAATCCGACTGCTGGTGGTAAGTTGATTCTCATCGAGTACACAGAGCAGCGCCCGCCTATGTTGTCAAATCCTGGCATGGCGTCGCGCATCCTTCACTATTGGCGACCACCAGGGGATACTTCCGCAAGTTTGGGAATCTTGGGCAAGAAAAAGGCTCGCAAAACACGTCCAAAACCACCAGACATGAAGATGGGCCAGGTTATTACGCTTGGCGATCACGACGAGTCCCCGTTTGTGGGAGATATCCCACCGGGGCGAGTGGTAACGTCACTGAATTCGAAGCTATACAAAGTTCCCATATTCCCTCATAAACCCACTGTTCCATTTGCTACAAATGCGGAAGCACGCGAGCGCAATAATTCGGATTTATTCCTTATGTGTCGATCTGTGACAAAGGGTAAGAAAAATGGTGCAACTGATAAATCGGGTGGATTTGGAGTTCCAAAGACGACTGTATATATCATGGAGTTGCCGGAGGTCTTTGTGGCAGGGCAAATTGAACCTCAAATTGAAGTCCCAGCACCGAACTCTCGCAGTGCAAATGAGTTTATCCGCCCTTATATGTCGTTCCACATTCTCCGTTTGTTCAAGAAAGCGAGCGATGGTGAGCGGTTAAAGATTGAGGATATTGCACGTGCGTTTCCAAATCAATCGGGCACTGCTATCCGTAAGCGGATGAAGGAGGTAGCCACATTTGAGCGTGGTGGCAATGACTCAGGCTGGTGGAAGAAGAAACCAGTTTCGCTATTGCAAAGTGAAGAGGAAATTCGTGCAAGCATTCCGCCCGAAAGTGTCTGTCTTTACGAGAGTATGATGTCTGGTCATCGACGGCTGCTCGATATTGGGTTGACAAAGCTATTTACGCCTTCTGGTGTGAATGGGGCAATCAACCATTTGATTCGACGTCTGGAACTGCGCAAAAATACATTGTCAGCACGTCTTGTGTCAGCTAATTTAGAAAGGCGTGCCAAAGAAAAGGCTCAAGCTGAATTATGGAAGAAAGATCCTGTTGTACGCAAGCTCGAGACTGATATCCAAGTTGCTCGTTACATCAATGAGCAGTTACAGCTCACACCGTGGAACTTGACGAATAATTATGTAGAGTGCCACCTTCAGGGTAAAGGTTCAGGCATGCTGCAGCTTGGTGGAATTGGTGACCCTACCGGTCGTGGTGAAGGTTTTAGCTTTGTCCGTGTGCCGCAGTCCCGCGCAAAGAAAAAAGATGGTGAGGAAGATGCAGTACCTACAGCTGAGAGCAAGATTAGCGCAGAGACTGCAGCTGTACAAAAGGCTGTGGCAGCTGTAACAGGTACGACTGCTGATTTGCGTAAACTAAAAATGAAGGAGGCTGGTGACGTGCTGCGCAATTTGGGCCTGGCTGATGCCGATATCAATAAACTACGACGTTGGGATCGAATTCATATGGTGCGTGAGCTAAGCAGTCGCGCTACAGCCCATGGTGTGGCGGGTAGTTTGAGCAAATTTGCACGTGGTGCGCGCAAGTCGCTTTCTGCGCAACAGCAAGAATACCGCAAAAAGTGTGATGTGATTTATGAACGTCAAATGGATGTGCTTAGCTCGACTAAGACATCGTTTTCGTCGGATGAAGAGTCAGATGGTGATGATGAGCTTGACGAATTGGGTGCTGATGTAGAGGCAGACATATTAGGAGGCACGGACACAAAACGTGGGCCGAAGAATTTGTTTCGTAGTGGCGGTGGAGGTCTGAACCGCTCGAAGGAGGTGCTTGCAGAGCGGGAGGATGCTGTGGAGCTACGCCGCCTTATGGAGGAAATGAATGAAGACCAAGGCTCCAGCACCAGTGCAAAGCCTACGAGCGCTGTACGCCGGCCTGATGTTGACACCAACATACTGCGTAACCAATTGCGCGCAAGCGGGATTAGAGAGGGTGGAACTGGAGCTAGTGGCATTTCGTCGGTGTCAGGTATGGGACAACGCTCAAACATGATGTCTCGCGGCGGATCAGCAGTGTCGTCTGCGCTGGCAACTCCTACTGGCCAGTTGTCGCGAGTATCTTCACCTACGCATGGAAACCGTACGCCTGCTGTATCAGAGCCACCGAGTGCCTCCAAGAAGATATCCGGGCGGAAGGTGCTAAAGCGAGTTGTTCGCACCATCGAGGAGGACGGAAGTGAGATTGTTCGTATTCAGTTCATTGTGGATGATAAGCAGGTGGCCCGCTTCCGTGCGATGCAGCAGCGCAAAGAGCGTCAGCTAAAGACCGATGAACGTAATCAGCTGCGAAAACGTAAGCGCATGCTAGCTTTGGAAGATGATGCTACTAGCCAGAGTTTGCTAGACAAGGCTAAGCGGCGCAAACAGTTGCAAGAAGAATTGAAGCAGTTGCAAAAGACCGAAGCGCACAATAAAGGTTACCAGGAGATGTTGAAGAAGGGTGAAGCAGATGACGGTGATGACAACGCCGATGTTGAAGATGCAAATGGCAAGGGTGTCATACGCTGTACGCAGTGTCTGCAAGTTGGTCACATGCGCACTAATCGCAGCTGCCCATTATATCTGGCTGACAAAGCTCATACAAAAAAGTCGGGTTCTTTGTCGGAAAGGCAAGTGAATGCTGTGCTGGCTGAGCCTCTTAAGCTTAAAGTGAAGAAGACGCCGTCAGTAGTCAGTAGTGGCGATACTAGCACTAAAATCACTGTTAACTTGGCGGAGCTACGCGAGGGAGCGCGCAAGCACCACGCAGAAAAGAAGCGCAAGCGAGAAATGGAGGTGCGCGAGCAAGCAGAGCTATATAAGCGGCCATACGCGACAGGCGCTTTGAAACAAAGTCGCTCGCGTATGCCCGTGGAGCACCTGAATAATACTTTGGAGCTGGTTTTGCAGCGACTCTTTGAAATGCCAGAAAGCGAGCTTTTTCGTGTGCCGGTGGATGCAGCCACTGTTTTCAACTATTACGAGATTGTGAAGCAACCAATGGATTTAAGCGCTGTTCGCCACAAGATTGAAGCCAAGGAATACGACTCCATGCGGGAGTTTGTGAAGGATCTAGAGCTTATCGTGAACAATTCGCGCATTTTCAACGGCGACTCGATGAATTCGGCTATCACCGCTAATGCTCAAAAGGTCCTTCGTCGTGCCCAGGACGAGATGGCAGCACTCAGTGTAGAAGGTAGCATGACTCCTACTACACCAACTGCCGCTACTGTATCCATGCTAAAGTGAAACGAGCTCCCATTGACTCAAGTGGCCGACCATTTATGAAGAAAACTTTTCAACGCTCCGACAGTGAGCACAATCTGCGAAAACTTTTAGCCAACTGATAGTATTGGAGAAAATCAGGACAATTGTGACATGGCGACGAATTGGACGACATTTGTGAATGAAGCATCTCTCGATCACCCCATTTGTTGATAGCAGCGGGGGTTGCAAATGGGAACGTCTGTGCATTAGACTTATTTGTGCTAAATTTTTGTCAAGGTTAAATACCCTGCTAACTTGACGTCTTCTTCATTCTAGGCTTAGTGGTCAGTGCGACGAAACAAGTAAAGGTACCCAGCACCCAGCGGTGGTTCCTCTGATACAGCCACCTTGTCATCGTTGAAGATAACCCACCGGCCGTCCTTCTTCATGTGGCAAACGTAATGCCCAGAGTTAGTGTTCTTGCCAACGTGGCTGATAAATCCTACCAGTGAGTAGTCGCCAACAGTCTCGCTATCCAAACGTTTCACGAATGGTACAGCACCACTTGAGGCTACTACTGGTAGCGTAGACTCGTTATCGCATTGAGCGACAGCACCATTCAAATCGTCCATGCGACTAAACAACCACTCAGCGGCACGGTCGGGGTTGTTGTCTGTTTGCTTGAGCGCACACTTGGCATGAGGCTCTGCAAAGCCCATTGCCATCAGATTGGACACGAGTTCCAAATTGACGGACTCGTCCTTCACTATGGGCGTAGAACTCGCTGGCGTAGGCGGGTCATTAAAATCGGGATCTGCCATATGACTGAAGATCCACTCCATAGCAGCTTCCGCATTGGCGTTGCCAGTCGCAATCGCTGCACGCTTGCAGTCATTTTCGGAAAAACCCATGGAAACCAGCTGAGCCACAAGGACTTCGTCTGCAGCATCTACCTGGGCGCCAGCAGCACTCTCTTTCGTTACGGTAGCTACGGATTTTTCTGGCAGCTCTTCCTCACCATCCACGAGACCCTTGGACACAAACCGGCTAAGTGAAAACTTTTCGGGCACCTTTACCTCAACTTCAAGTTTCTTTGGCGTCCAATCTTCAGCCACGTAAAAACGTCTCATTTGCACAAGCAAATAACGCGGAAATGAGCGAAAGCGGACTGTCTTCTGCGCTTGTCCCTTCTTGCCTGTGGCTGTAGACAAGAAATCTTCAATAATCTCGGGAGCCAACGTCTTTTCAACGCACGCTTCGAATGGAACGTTAGGCACCACACGTTCTTCACTATCCTTATTTTCACTTTTCCCAGACTTTTCATTGTCGCCCAGGCGTTGGCGCTTTTGTTCGAGCACTTGATAAGCAGTCACCTGCGTGGCGTTCGTGGCTGCCTCAAGGGGAATCTGCAATTGCAGAAGCATGTCGTCACGCAGCACGTATTTCACTTTCTGTGAAGTCATACACTGCACGCGGTCTTCTAGCTTAAACTTGAATAAGCTTGCTGTCGGTAGCTCTACACTAGTAGAATTGTCTCCAGAAAGGAGCGGCCTTAATCGGTCCGCACTAACACGCTCAGCTCGAGTCATGAAGTCCATCAGATGCTGCAAATACTCCACAGCATCTTGCTGTTGCCCAGTAGAAAAATCTGGGTGGCCTTTACCCACAAGGCCACGGAACGTAATAGGTCGTAGATCAATATTGTGCATGTCATCCTCCTCAGCTTCCTTGTTGTCGTTATTCGACACTAAAAACTGCTTCTTGTAGCGATCCGTAAGAGCTGCATTCGCGAGCTTGGCAAACTGTGCGGCAAAATCATCCACTGGTAGCGTCGACATCTGGTTTACGGTGGAAAAAATTTTGTTTGTGTCCTTGAAATACCGTTCCTGAACCTCGGGTAACGCCAATAGTAGCTGCAGCACCGAGTTCATGTAGCAACTATTCCCCAAATTCTTAAATCCCATGTACCCTGCTCCGGACACAGGTACAAGTTTCTTGCCAGCCTCCGTCACAGCATCAAACTCATACGACAGATTTAGTCCCACTTGCAGTTCATTCATCGACTTGTCCGTTTTGCACAGATTGTTAACATTGATGCCAAAATGTTGTAAATGTTTGGCCAAGTGCGGGTTCTTGACCATATCATTTTCGTCTTGTGAATAGCTGTATACATCTCCTCCTTCTGCCGTGATTGTGCCTAGCTTGACGGCCAATGGGTACTTCTCCCCCGTCTCAGTAAAGTGCGTCAAGGCAGCTCCACATCCTCCTGATCCATCCCAGTTCTGACGACCACATCCAATATAACCATCTGAAAGATTAAGCCATAGGTTTTCTTGTTTGTCACAATCAGGGGCTTGGCATTTCCACGTTGAAGGGTTTGACGCAATATACGGCGGCGACGGCACCTGTTCTAGCTGTTCCGCGTACTTGGTGAGCTTAAGTTCTTCCTGCCAGGACGCTACCTCCTCTGTAACTGTACTCCCTACATGGTTTAGCACAGCTTCAGCTACTTTTTTAATCTTTACTGGTAGTTCTGGAGCATCTAGAGACACCCGTACAAGTTCCTGTTGCTCTGGATCCAATACGACAATGGAAAACGTCTTTTCAAGCTCGAATTTCTCTTCTACGTTAGCTACAAAGCCACCAGAACCACCAATTGCAAGCTCTGTGGGGTTTTCTTTCGGTTGCAGTGAACGGACTGTCTTGGACTTGCGCTGGTGTTGCTGATGCAGATAAACAACGTGATTAGCCGTTCCATTGCGATCGAAAAAGAGACACGGAGCTCCGAACGATAGAAAGGAGTGCAAGTTCGTGTACAGACCAGAAGGAGATAGAGGAGAATCAAACGAAAAGACACATTCATCACGATAGACGCGGTCAGAAGCGTGAGGTACACGAATGTTACACGCAGCAGACTGAAGAAATTGTGCCATTTTAAGGTATCTAAGCTTTTGAGATGTGAGGTATTTCTGAATAGTGTGGGCACGAAAGGAGAACGGATATCTCTATCTATACAAAAACCAAGTGATAATTGACGCTGTCACTAGTTATGATGGATAGACGAAATGTTGATACTGACGTGATGTAAATATCCCTTTGCCGTAATACAACGACAACAATTTCATTGACATTCTTCACATCTAGTAGAGTGTAATCAGCAACTGGAGTCGTAGATGAAACATAAGGACCTGCTACTCAAAGGACACCTATTGCGCTTGCGTAATTCTTAACGTTGTTGGTACCTCTATGTTGGGGCTTTGGCTGTGAGCTTTCTGAGTTGATTGCCAGATTGACGGTCTGGTCCTTGTTGCGCCATACCGAAGAAAACAAAGATTGAAATTCACAATCAGTCAAAAGTACGCGTGTCTGTGAAGCTGTGAAAGCGCGCTCGTAGTGTGTATGGCCAAGACTGCTGTCACCCACTTCTGTGAACAATACGGTGCCTAGCCTTGGGCGATGACTACGAGCTGTGCCAAGATGAATGACGTCAACAAGGCACGAGCATCCTCTTTTTCTGTCTCGACCAGTGTCTTCCCGGTTTCTTTCCACAATGTAATTCGGGCTTCAAGCGAAGGGATGCTCATGAACACGTCTGCATCTCCTTGGCCTTGTGAAATGTACACCTGTGCTTGTGGATCGTGCTGAAAAGAAATATGGTCAAAGAGCATCATTAAAAAGCATAGGCAAGAGATTACAACAGAAAAAAAATGCCAACGTTAATGTACCGTTTTCACTTGCTTCGTCAGCTTATCTTCATCCACCTGGCCCAAGAGGAAGCTGCTCTTTTGCTCGTAGTTAAAACTCTGGAGCGTACCGCTAGAAATTGAGTCCATATTCGTTGACACCTTGCGCTTTCCCGATCCCTTTGGCTTCGATTCGTTACTCGTCAACGAGGATGGCGGTGTGACAGGAGCCATTGGAAATGGTTCTAACACAAATGCTTTCCGCTTCACATTGAGCACGCCACTTATACATGCCGCCGCTTTTCCGTTCACCTCCGTGATTGGGACCTGTGCAGCAAGCTATGCAAGATCAACGCAGCCAGATTAGACCCAGATTCAATCTACGTTGACAAACTACAAAGAATGCAAAGAAATACCTTTGGATCGAGCCTTCCTTCCAAATACTTTGATGCTTTTTCGATCACAATCGGCTCAAACTGTTTCATGGGATACGTTAGCAGCTCCGTCTTCGACTTTGCTGCAATCAGTTCGTGGAGTGGAAGTACGCGCGTAAAATGTGATGACATTGTGTCTCCTTCTACTGCACTTGCTGGTGATGCAATGGTATACTCGTAAGGAACAATCAAGTTGTGGGGAGAGCAGCGGGCTATGAGCTGATTGGCATCACCACAGCTTAATCGCGGGTCGATTGAGCAAGCAATCTTTTCAATCTTCAAATCTTGAAATGGAGCAAAAGCCTCGGTCGGCTCAACTGATGGATCTGCTTAGAAAATATTGTCAATTGGACCGAACTTTTCTTATAATGAGAGCGCAATGAGCTGACGCGACGTACCGATCAGAAGAATAGCGTTGCGACTGTCGTTTCCTAACATATGGATTAATTCCGGTGCCCGTCCGAACTTCAGAGATGGATGCCCGACAAAAAGAATACTTCCATTCTGCGTACAAGTAATGCGTTAGAGAATTTCTTCCCATTGACATTCCAAATCTACGATAAACGCACCTGCAAAGTAGCAGCTGTGGCTGCTGAAACTTCCGCAACTGCATGAAACAAGTTGCTTCTCAGCAAAGACTCGTGCAAGAATGCGTCTTCACCTGCATATAATTTTTCAATCTTCTTCTCGCAAAGCCATTCGGCTCCAAGTAGCGTAAGCTCCATAACGCGCGACGCATAGTCCGAGATAAAGTACATAGGAGCATTATGTTTGTTGTGTCGATATGCAGCACACACAGCTTCCACAAGGTCAAACATTACACCACAAGGCGATGTTATTACGATACAAACGCCGCTGCGCTCGAGCACGCGAGTTACTCCACTGAGTGCTCGTTCCATCATGCGTTCCGTATTGGCATGCGGATCACGGTCTGGTTTCAAATCTGTCAAAAGTAGAGTCTCGCAATCAATTAGTGGCAGCAGATCCAGTTCTTTTGGGTGACGATTGTAGTCTCCCGAGGATGCTGCTACATACGCCAGTCGATCGTTCGGTCCTTCCACAAGCCAAATACTCGCACCCAAGCTATATCCTGAACTCAATGCTGTAACTTGTACACCATAGGCCATGGTTACAACCTCGCTGTATTCTACACAACAGATTTTCTGGCAACATTTTTCAATCTCTTCCAACGAAAACATTACCATTTCTGTCTCCTCCATCCCGTCCACTACACTCTCAGTAGTAAAAACAGCATTATTCTTGCCTTGATTCAATGACGCCAATTCTTCTAAAACCACTCGACCAAAGTCGATCGTGAGCTTTGTCGCGTAAATTCTTCCTTTAAAGCCCAAAACTTCCGTCAATAATGGTAGAGCCAATAAAGTGAGATGATTGGACAATAGTACAATATCCAAGGCTTCGATGTCCACTGAATGTAATGCTGGAAGCTTCAAATGGTATATAGAGCTACCATACTGTTGTGAATCACATTGAAGTGACTGCATCTTCACACCGCAATCTAACAGCATTTCAAAGCCATTGAAGCTTAGAAAGTGACATAATCCATCGTTTGCACCGCCTAATTGAATCTACAGACATAAAGAGGAAGAAAAGAGTGAGTATAGACGAGGTAAAGCACATGAAGAGAGGAGCGAATGGAGCGAATTCTTTTACCACTTTCATGATTGTTCTGGCTTCATACAAAAAAGAGTAAATTTGAGAAATGTAAATCTAGGGTTTGATCCAATTCTTGTTTAAGTTTACACATCTGACAGAAGTCATGATTTTTATATTTTTTTAATTGCAGTCATGTTGAGCTAATGTAATTCTTACTGTGCATGGTTTCTGCCACAAAACGTCAGCATGTTGCATTCTTTTCCATACATAGACTGACATAGTGTGCATTATACTTTTTTAAGAACTAAATGCTGGTTTGGATTCTTGAAAGCATCGAGTTTAACAACTTTCAAAGACAAAACCAATTCAATATCTCAAGTTTGCACATGGACGCATTGCTACTAGAGTGACAATGATTTAAACCGCTTCAGAAGGCCCACGCTGGTTCTCCAGGACCTGTCGACTCTTTTCGGAAAGTTCCCGATCGCTTGAAGCAGATATAGCTTCATCACCCGACCTACTATCAGTACTAGCAGACACTGGGGCCACACGGTCTGCTTCATTTAGTATCTGTTCCGCACGTGGCGTTAAATAGTACGCAGCACCTGGAGGCAAGCTCGCTATCGAGGCAATGCTGTTGACAGCTGCCTTGCCAAGTGCTTCGCTTGATGCAGCTGTATTCTTTTCACCAGACGCAACAGGCGCGACGGCATGAGCGTGTGCAGCTTCCTCCACAATACGGTCTGATCGTTGACAAATCACGAATGAGCCACAACTTCATAAGCAGCTATCCATTGTACATACCCTGGTGCCACTTAGCTTGCAAATGCGCGACCATCTCCGATACATCCTGTAGCCTCTTATGAATTACACGCGATGGGGTATTCTTTAGCTCATCAAGCAGCGGCTGCATCTCCGAGGCCGCCATATTCATTTTGTGCTCGTTTGCCAGCGCCTCCTTTAGCAGTAAATCAGAGACTGCTACACCAAACAAATTATCATGCGCAAGTTTCAACACTAAATTACAGGACACTCAAACCTTTTATCGACAAACAACCTGTTGATGCTGCGGTGATTACACTCGACTTTATATTCACCTTTGACTCTGGAGAAGATCGCAACGAGAAGCCTATAATTCAACAAAAATCTAGTATCAATGTCTACGCACTCTAATCACACAAGTGACAGCAGTGCGTCCACTCACCTGGATCAACTCCCATCCGGTCCAGCTCGTTTGACAGCGCACGAGTTGACGGTTCATATACTGCATCTAGTCAACGCACACACAGCAACTGTCAGCCAGTCCATCACTAACACGCCAAAATGTTACAGCCACATTGCCTAGAACCTCCATACCTTGCTGCGGCTCCTGCTTGTGGTGCTTCTCAGCATCTGGACCTAGCAATAGCTCGTCTGGCACAGAGCTGTTGTTAGTGTAGCAGTTGTAGATCTCGTCACTAATGCGATGGTTATGCTGCGAAATCTACAGCCACGATTCAACATCAATCACCATCAGTCTTCTTATTCTCTCTTTCTTTCTCTCTTTCTTCTCATACCTGGTTGCGAACACGAACCAGCCAGTGAACTTTGCTAGGGTCTCCCTCTACTATTTCAAACACCACGTCGGCCGTAATTCTTGCAGAGCAGCCTGTATATCGATTGTGCAAGTGCGTCCGGACCCCATTACCCCGTGACGGTTGAATGCACCCATGAGTGCACCAATAGGCCATTGTAGCGTACTTAAAATCCTCAGGTACTGGATACTTCTTATACTTGTGTTTGTTGTTCCAGTACACCGTAGTAGACGAGCTGCGACGCCGATACATGGTCTTTGTGTTCGTCATATAACCATTCCAAGCCTGTATAAAGTCTTCCCACGATTCAAATGTCAATGGTTCAAACGCAGGCACGTGGACCGTCATTGAGCCACGAGATTTCGCCAGATCTTCACGTAACTGGAAGTTCTTGGTGCGACGCTTCTTCACCAGTGGTTCCTCATCTACTGCCTCATCCGATTGGACAGAGCGGGCGTGTGTGGTGAATGCAGGATTCGAACTTGAAACGACAGCTTGAGACCCTTCCACTGAAGTTGAAGCTGTCGAGTCGTCGTCACCTGTGCTCGTCATGGCTTGCGTTGCTTGATTGGTGTGTGTGCTTCAGTTGCGGGAGAAGAGAGAATGTTGTTGGAGGACGACTTAGTAAAAATCTTGATATTTAGAGTTTCAATAGAGAGTCAAATGAAATAGCTGAAAGTTAATACATTGATTTCAAACAACAACTTTAGTCTGCATAATCAATCACAGCTCGCTTATCCAGTGCTTCTTCATACTCTATATGAATGTAAAACAAGGCTAAAACTCCTTTTCACACGACCTTTGCCATGAAATAATAGTGTAGCCCCACCTCCTCGGTCTACCATCCACGATTTCTTTGAAAAAAACTCGTGAAAGAGCGCTCGATATAAGAGGGCTGTGTTGCAAGATTAAGAAAGCAAGTTATAGGGATCACCAGTCCATGTTTTTGTCCATATTACGAGGAGTCGATAACTATACGTAAGATCCAATGTGCGCACGCAACGTGCGATGGCTTTTCTGAAATATTCGGGCAACGTCGTCAGCTTTGAATTCCCGCTTACAACTGCCTATCACGATAAGTATCTTGAAATATGTAGAAAGTTAAGAAAAACACGGTTATCCTCTCAGAGTGAAGCACGTACTAGCTACAACCAACGAAGCCTACCACGAGGTACGTTGTTACACGACTCCATGACGAACATTCGCTCTGCGCTTTGTTTGGACTCGTTTTTTCACCACCGAGTGCAGCTCGAACATGAGAAGGGCGATCTACGAAGATATGTGCTGCATTTTGATCAAATCTAAATGTATTTGAGATAGATAAACCCTTTAAGAGTCGTTTTACTAGCTAAAGACACAATGCTCAGACGTATTGGATCTACTCGATCTTTTACCAATCATTAAACTCGTAGCTAGCCCTGTTTTACGTATTTTGACCATGAAAAGAATGACTCGTGGCCATCAACGACGAACACTTCTACGGCGTTTATCGGTGATACATAGACCGTACAGATATCGTCAAGTACCGGTATTAATCAACTTGAAAGGGTGTCAGCGACAGTACATTATATTTGGAATAAGATTTTCATGATAAGTTTTGTATACTGCCTCGTTTTAAAGACATTAGTCAATAGTGAAAACTAGTTCCCGCATTCGCAGCCGGTTTTTCGGCAGTTGTATTCAGTTCAGTCAGCGGGTCAAATAAGACAAGGTACTTGTCGTGTGAAACATTAACGTGCTTAGCACCAGGCAAAGTCCCTCTCTTCAGTGGCAAATAGAGACGACATCATTTGCATGCTCCTGGAGCGTCATTTTGCACCTCTCGGTGTCGTTACGGCTGCAGCAAGAGCAAGAGGAAGAGGAGTCAGTCTTGATTGACTGTCCTTCCTTTTGATCTCCCCCCTTTTTTTTTGACTACAAGATGGAGCTAGAGGACGAACTAGCAACAGGTGTTGTACTATTATCTACATGTAATATGAGCAAAGATGGAGAGATTGTACGGAGATGGATGGAAATGGTACTGGGCGACAAGTTCTTAAGCGACCTTCCGTCGGCGCTGTACTCGGGTGAATTACTGTGTGATTTGATCAATAAGTTGTATAAGGCGTTGGGTATGAAGAGTCAGATAAGTCCAGTACGCAATGTGGGCAGATGCGAAGTGGACGCATTGAATAATGTGCTCGAGTATCGTCGGTGCGTTATTTGCTTGTGATTTGTGATGAGTGAGCTGATTTCTTGACAAGGATACCAAGTCATTAGCTAGCGATGTAATTCGAGATGATGGACGTGTACGAGTAGTGACGCTTTTGTTATTGTTGTTATCTGTGGCTTTGTTTTCTCGTGTCATTATCGTGTACTGGAAACGAATAGAGCTTGTGAAGTACTTGGAGTCGCGCGTCGAGATCTGTTTCAGCCTGATGATCTGCTTAAACGTAAGAATATGGAGAAAGGTATGTGGCAATGTAAAAATCAGTTGGTGCTGCATTATCAGTTGTGCAATAAGTACTGACATGTTGACATCGTGTATGGCAGTCTATAGCAATATTCTGGCTTTGCAGAAGGTGGCGGTGTCGCTGTCGAACCGCCGCTCAATTGATGAACGGAGTTCAATGATCAACCAAGCGGTAGGTATCCATGAGTTACATTATTTGGTTTTCTCTTGTCATATTTCTGGCACTCACATGTGCTTGTGACGACGCTCGCACCAAATATATTATTTGCAGGACTGGTCTCCAATGTCAGAGCACAGTGTCTTTGTCGACAACAACGGCGACGACGGCTTTGATGTTGACCTGAGGCTGGAGTCTCCTAATGCCGTCCAGATGCTTCAGCAATCGCGGTGGCAGCGATTGCTGTTTGAATATGAGCACCAGCAAGAGCGGAAGGAGGAAAGAGACCGCGTAGGCGACTCTTCCGCATCTGATGGGATGGGCCCACTCGCGCACGGCATTTGGCGAACGGAAGAACGTATTCGGGCAATACTTATGCGTGATGATCATGAATTTGGTACAGTGCCGGACGATTTACATGGTAAGTTGTGGATGCTGGCGTCAGGTGCCCAACTGGAAATGTGCAAGAACAAGGGTCAGTTTGAACGACTACTAGCCCTACAACTGAAGAACACTGAAGCTACGCGGCAGATTGACGTCGATCTTCACCGAACTGTTGCTGATGAGGATAAAGCGTTGTGGAATAAGGAGAAGTCAAGCATGATGCGTCGCGTGTTAGTTGCGTACTCCTTCTACAACCCAAATCTGGGTTATTGCCAGGGCTTGAATTATATTGTCGCACGCATCCTTCACTTTCTTGGCGAAGAAGAAGCTTTTTATTTGCTTGTTGCGATTGTTCGGCTTGTGCCCGACGATTACTACACGACAATGGCAAGTGCTTTAAATTCTTTCGACGAGGTTTGTTTTTCATTTTCTCTTGACTGTTCTGGTGCTTTCTTTTTTCTTGTAGCTGGGTCTGGCGGTGGACCAACACGTATTTGCAGATCTCGTTCGTCTCCAGTATCCAGAGGTTTCTGAGCACCTATCGGAGTTGGGAGGTTCAGGAATGGAATTATCGCTAGCATGCACAGAGTGGTTTTTGACCCTCTTTGCTAGTCCGTGCGACCGAGAAGTTACTTTCCAGATCTGGGATGCTATTTTCCTTCAAGGCGATGAGGTAGACGTGCTATGCGGTTCCTTCTATCAATCGAGTGCTTGACTTCATAGTTTTGTGTATGAGGGTAGGTTCTCTTTAGAGTGGCATTGGCACTACTTCAACAAGCAAAGGCAGAGCTTGTTGCATGCAATACATATGGAGACATGCTGAAGCAGTTGAATGAGGTATGATTTCATGTACATACGGAATCTTTACCTTATGAAATTTAACTCCCAATGACACATGCTTGCAGCTTGGTAGAGGTGACATTGATGCCAAAGAATTGATGAAAATTTCTAGAAAGCAGGATTGCGTGATTCGTGGCCGAGTCGAAGACTTTCGAGCCCATCATCGTCTACAATTGGCATCGGGCATTGTTGCCTCAACAGTTGATGCAGACGATGCGCGGAGCTCTACAACAGGGCGACGAAGCTCGGAGTACAGGTCGGAGCCACGATTGAGAATATTTGGCCGTAAAAAGCAGGGCATTTGCCGACATATTGACAAGATTCCCCCTCGCTTAGCACGGTATGTGTTAACGTAAGCACAACTTGTGTATGCTATGAGATAATGTATGACACTTTCTGTTATTGTTAGAACGTTTGATCGAAATATTACCGACGAGTATGTGGAGTCCATTCGACAAGATCACTTTAACTTTACCGAGTATTATGAAGGAATGCAACTCCAAGTAAGTGCTTCATTGTCTGTATATTGAGCGAAGGAGAAACGATGAAGCTGATTCGATGTACATTGGTCAGATCGTGGAAGATTATTGGGGCTCAGCAGATAATTCTCATGAGTGGGTCGCTCGAAATGCCTGTCGAATGCCAACGGATTGTTTTACTGTTAGCAATGTGCAAGAGAATGATAAAAGCTATCGCATGAACTCAGATATAAACTTGGTAAGTCACCATAAAAGTTTAAACGGGACAGGCGAACGCAGATCCGGACTGACGCGTGATCGTAGAAGCAAAAGTGTGGCATTCCACGCCACGAAAGCTCCAAACAACAATGCAGGTAGCACTCCAAACAACAATTCAAGTAGCACTCCAAACAGCCGGCGGGGAAAAGACAGCGATGGGGATGCTGGGTCTGTTGGTCACTCACCATTGGCATGGATCCATCGCTTTGAGTCATGGAAAAGTCAAAAGGAGAGAAAGAAAGCAGAGAAGAAACGTTTACGGCACAACCAGCGCTCTGAAAGCAATCTTCATGGAGCTATTAATGAGCAAGCAGACACAAGTGTTGAATGGCTGCGCAGTGCCATTGACTCAACGATTCCGCTTTGCTCTCAGCCACAGAAATCCGACATTGAAAGTCTTACGCTGCGCCTTCGAAGGAGATCTAGCGAATGTCAGCGTCCGTCTACCGAAACTATCGCGATACTGGAAGAGCCTTTGCTGTCGCGCTCCTTCTCGGATCCATTTCGATCCCCCGTAGGCATTGCAGGACAGCACCAGCGTCAAATCACAATAGAAAAGGCACGCCGAGATGCTGAGCATGGGTCGAGTCTGTTGCAAACGCTCACAGGTGATGTCAACAAAGTTTCGCCAAAGCCTGATATTGATGAAGTAAGAAAGACTGCTAGGAGTGGAAGTGGACGCCCTTCTCGTGGGTTTAGTGATCAAAGCACGTTGTCGAGGAGCACTAACTCGTACGTGAACACAGCTTCGTTTACTCTGGAACCGCAAGATGAAGGACATGATGAAACGAGTTCAGACCATGCCCTCGATAAGAAGAGCGTGATGCAAGGGCAGGTCATGATGTTGGAACAAGAGCAACAGCCGTCGCCTCATGAGCTTCTCTATTCTCCAATTCACTCCAGATCTAGCTCCATGGACTTTGCGGTGGGCGCAGCGGGTGGATGTGCTCCACCTCGTGTACGGCGGCTTGTGTCTGTTTCTGCTGTAATTGGCGAAAGCAATGCTCAGCAAAAGCGTGTGGGTACTTTCAAGCGCATAGACGACTGTTCTCAAGCAATACGAGATCGTGCAAACGTTCTTCAGTACATGCATCGAAAGGTAAGTGATGCGAGCAGTCTATCTGGCAGTATTCCGCAGAGTCCTGCTCGTATGAGTGAGAGTTCAAGTGATTCATCTCGATTTGGTGACCACACGAGCAATCAAAGCGACAGATCGATGCGTTTTCGAACGAGTTCATTTTCATTTTTTGAAAAGCTTTCAATTGATCTGGAAAATTGTAGCCACGGTTTGGACAATTTAGTTGATGACGGTGAATTCGAGACTGAAGGTATTGATAGAAGGTCGTCAATGTCTTCTTCTCTAGTAATAGGTCGATCAAAGACAGTGGATGAAAAACAAGGGCCTATGGATGGATCTATCTCCATCTCATCATACAATTAAGATGATGATGATTTGATACAGGAATTTTGGCTAGACAAAGATGGATGAAAAATACCAACCTACGATTTGGTTTTGTGAAAATTACAAGTACTTTTAGTGAAGTAACTTGTTTAAGTGAGTGAATGAATATCCATCCATTAATTAGAAAAATCAGTTCGATATGAAGTATTAGACATAGATTTTGGTATTCCGTGATTTTCACCAATTGTTACTTTATATTCGGATTGACGAAGCATATGGGTAAAGCTTACGATGGCAAAAAGCGGTGGAATGAGACCATTTTGGCCACAACAAGACGGGACTTTGGAGCTGGAGGTCGACACAATGCTACAAAGAAGCGCTTATCTGGTATGATACCGTAATCTATTTATCCGCTACAGGCTTTTAGCATAAAGTTAAGAGACTAATAGACGTAACACATCTTGTTATTTTTTTTTCATGGAAAATGTATTGTGACGGCTGAATACAGGGAGAACACATAAGCTGAGCGCTGCAATGAAACGTGTAGACGATATCACACGTAATGAAGTTCGTAATGCTCGATTAGATGCCTTAGAAGAGGATAACTTTGGCGAAGACGCAGACGAAGGCGACGGAACTCAAGACGAAGCGTATGTGGATGTGGAGGAAGATGGTTTAGTTGCATCAGTTTTAGATGAAAGAGAACCAATAAGGAAGAAAAGGAGACTTACTATGCTGGGTAAGAAAAAGTGGAAAGTCAAGAGTTTGGCTCAATTGGTGTTTGAAGAATTGGGCAATGGAGACATTGCCGAAGGACCGAATTACTTGACTGCTGCAGTCGGTCCTCCTACACACCCCGTAAGAAGATTTTGTTGTGTGTGTGGATTTTTTGCAAACTACAATTGTCGGAGATGTGGATCAAGGTATTGTAGTGTCGGGTGTGGAGATCAACATAAAGAGAGTGGCTGCATGAAGTTTGGGCTATAAAAAATGGAATAATTCTGGGACGTACACAAATAGCTTGTTTTTTTATAAGTAATGAGCTCAATAGCAATGGAAAAAGAATCTGTATACTATGTCTCCATTCTTTTGTTTGATGCCACAAATAGCTACACTCTCTTTGTTATCAAGTAAAGCATGGCGTTTTATGACTGAAATCTGGTCTTTTAAGTAGACCAAGCTCAAATGAGACCGCTAAGTGTATTCCACAAGAGAGTTTTGTTACTTCAGCAAGAATGGTTGACCACTTGGTAATAAAAAATCAGCTTTTCCTCCAAAAAGATCCATCATATCTCATCTTAAACATTCATTTGACAAAACTACGCAAACGTGACAAAGGACTTGGAAGAATTTGTTAAGATTTAAAAGCTCATGTCAACTATCTTTATTGATCCAAAGGATCTACCAGATGGTGGTTATGGTCTCATTCAAGTGCTTTTTCTCGGGGCTGTTTATGGCTTTGTGCTTTACAACGCAAGTAATCTTATTTCCGACGGCAGTGAGCTGCTACTGCTTGTGCCTTCCATGGCTGGCATCGTGGGTAGCATCGTGCTACCTGTGCTTGGTGCTGTACCCGATGGTGCCATTGTATTATTTTCTGGCATGGGACCAAACGCCCAAGAGCAGGTATCGGTAGGCGTGGGCGCTCTTGCAGGTTCTACTATCATGCTCCTCACTATTCCGTGGGCTCTTAGCATCTATGCTGGCCGTGTTAACATTGATGAGAATGGACGTGGCAATTACGTACGTCCTAAGGGTGATCAGCACTGGGCAAAACTCATGCCGCCTGGAAACAGAGACCTAACAAAGACGGGCGTCGTGCTATTTGACGAGATTCCATCCACAGCCAAAACCATGATCCTCACGAGCTTGATCTACTTGATTTTACAGGTTCCAGCCTTATTCTATACTGGTACAGCTGAAGAAGATGCAAAGGCTGATAACAACAAGGTTGCCAAGGCCGAGAAACCCTTTGCCATCGTCGCCTTTGTCGTGTCTATGATCGCCTTTGTACTGTACCTGTACTGGAATGTGAAACGCTCCTCAAAAGTTAAAGAAGATGTAATTGATGAAGTTCGTGTCGCTGCTATTCGTGACGGAGAGATCAGTCTGTCCGGTATTCTTGCCAAAGAAGTGGCACATCTTAAGCAAAGATCAACAACAAACACGACTCCTCTCAACGCCACGCGCGAGCAGTTTGACCGTGTTGCTGATATCATCCGCCCGTTCTTCCATGCCTATGACAGGAACCGTGACCGTCGCATGGATACCGATGAACTACAACTCTTTTTTAAAGACTTGGGTGAAAGCCTTACCCGTGAAGAGGTCGCTACATGGATGACGGCCGCTGACAAGGATAAGAGCGGATTTATCGAATTCAATGAGCTTGTCGAGGCTACTCTCCGCTATCTACTCGCCAAATACGAGAATGAAAGCCAAGGTAGATCGTCGGTCTCAATGCACCGCGTCGTGGTGGAGCACACGCATTCCTTGGCCATCCCGGCCGCTGAAATTGACGACGATGAAGAAGAGGAAGTCCCGGAAGACCTTGCTCACCTGTCGATTGCGGAGCAACAAAAGAAAATCAAGATCCGCTCGGCTTACATGATGTTCCTCGGTACGGCACTTGTGCTGCTCTTCTCGGACCCGATGGTCGATGTGCTATCGGAGGTTGGCGCGCGCACCGGTATTCCCGCGTTCTACGTGTCGTTCGTTGTGGCACCGTTGGCTTCAAACGCCAGTGAGCTCATTGCTGCCTGCAACTATGCGCAAAAGAAAACATCCAGGACCATTTCCATCTCAGTATCCACTCTTCTTGGTGCTGCCTGCATGAACAACACATTCTGTCTTGGCATCTTTGCTGCGCTCATGTCGTTTATAAGTGGTGGTCTCGTATGGAAATTTTCGGCCGAAACGTTTTCAATCTTGTTCGTCGAGCTTTCGATTGGTTGTATCGCCATGAAAAAGACCCAGCGTCTAGTCGATGGCCTCATTGTGTTGTGCCTGTACCCGCTCTCCATTTTTCTAGTCTTCCTACTGGAGAATGTACTTGGCTTGGACTAAGCGTAGGAAGCAAGTAGCAAACGAAACATTACGAATGGAGTGGAGGCTTCGTCCAAGTTGACGTCATCATGTTGGTTTCTGTTTCAAAATAAAAAGAAGGTTTAGAACTGCATCATGTGGTACGAAGGTTTCTCGTCGATTCATGGTTTATTTTATAACACACAAAAATATCATTTTTTTGGGGTTATAGTATATTTTCTACATTGTACCAAAGAGAAAAAAGTAAAGTTTGTGTGTATGCCGCAGATTTCTCAAAGCGGATTGTTGGGTTGTTGGGTTGTTGTAGTAACCAACTGACTTTCTATACAAGACCCGACCCTAACGTCAGTCAGTCAGTCAACTCAACAAGTAAAAAGACTTTGGACGAGTAACGTGGTTTAATTTTCTTCTACATAAAGCGATTATGACGGAAGTATTTATGGGCTATAGTGAAGACTTTGAACAGTGTCGTGATGATGCCATGTCCGATATTCGTGCTATTTCCAAAGCGCGTGACGAACGTGAGCGTGATGAACTAGTGGAACGTGCACAGGGTAATATCTCGGAGGCTGAGCGCTATATGCGCATTTTAGAGAGTGAATCTCGTGCTGGTGATTCTCAAGACCGTCGACGAATGCATCAGCAAATGCGCACGTTCAAGTCACAACTTGACAAGCTGAAGGCCAATTTGGAGCGATCGAAGCTCATGGATGGCAGCCAACAACGCCAACAGGCTCGCGCCCCGCAAGACAACGTGGCTCGTTATCAGCAGCGTACAGACCGCATTGAAGACCATTTAACGGATGCCCAGGACATTATTGCGAGGACGGAAGCTACTGCTCAGAATATTAACAATAATTTGGCAGACCAACGCGAACAGCTCATTAATGTTCGCACGAACGTACGTGTTGTCGTCGCTAAAGAGAAGCTAGGAATGATTAGAATGTGTACTAATGTTACTATGACTAAATGATACAGGTAGATGAGACTCGTGAAGATACAGCAGAGGCCGGAATGCATCTCAAGAAGCTCAAGTGCAAGATGGCGTCGCAAATTGCGTTTTTATACGTCGTTATCATGGGACTCGTTGTCGTGATCGGTTGGCAAGCCATTTCCAAGTTTACTTAGATCAGTAAGTCCCGTACAGCATCAGCTCTCGGCTTTTTCTTTCCACATCATGCACTTCAATGATTGTGTGGACATTTTGAAGGCACAACGGCACGATCTGATTGTTTCATGGACACTGATCATCCTGTATGTCACAAGGTATTTTATCGTGTAACTAAAGAACAAGGTGAATGCATGTTAATCTAGAAAATTGTGATTCTGCTACATAGCGAACGTCTGGCGAAAGCAAAGTTGATTTGATGCAAGTAGTGAAGCAGCGGGTTGATGGTGCTAGTTTGAATCGTGTTCTTTTGTACGCATTTGTTGGAGACTAAAGCTTCGTCGACTTATCTGGACTTGGTAGTTTGTATGAGACGAATTACTCAATGGAGTTTAACACTTGGCAGCTTGTCCCGAGGGTCCAATTGTCCGTTCTTACTGTTGTCAGCAATAGATTGATACAGAGCTTGAGGATCTGTTTCCTTGACTGACACGAGTCAGCAAAGAGTACGACCGATAATGAGGCTTTGAATACATAAGGAAGCATTAGGATGGAAGGATTTATAACGCAATGTGCAAAACTGGTTATCGATGCCTTGTTGATATTTACCGCATTAGAAGGCCCTCTTTGTACACTTGTTAGTCTACTTATCAAGATTGATACGCTGACGAGATGTTAGCAAGCAAAGGTAGTATCATTATACAATACAAGTAAGCTAAGGGACACAAGCTTTTTACACTAAATAGAGTGCTACATACATCGAAACTTGCAAAGCCACGAGCTAAGCATGTGGGCTTTGTAAAGAAATTACTGCAATACTTGAATACTCAAAAAGCATTACTCATGTGTAGCAACATGGGGTACAAGACAACTTGAAGAAAAAAGTAAAGTACTTTTGAACAGACATTGTAGCGCTACTTTCGCACATGATCTAGACAAGAAAGAAAGACCACACCCAACTGTGGTGTTGCGTTCATGTATTTGATAGTGCTATTGCTTGGAAGAGGCCGACAACAATGTTGTATCAAACTTTTGCGGCTAAAGCCAAATTTGTAGCGTTGTGCGTGACGACAGAAGCAAACAACATGATCATGTTGCAACTGGGCAGAAACAGTCAAGCGGCCTACGTGATGAGGATTCAATTTATGTACAATCTTTTACTGGATGTGTGACCTACTGATAAGATGTGACCAAAGTATATAGATTTGGTGAAGAACCCAACGGATACTGTGGCACTAAAAATGTGCTGACTCGTATGATGCTGCTCAGCCCCTAGTCGTTTCAGCTGTACGGTCCTGCACCTATTGGTTTTACGGCAAGAAAGCTGAAGCAGACAATAAACCCGGGCTCTAAGATCAGACCAGACCAAAGTAGCACAATGAAGTGTCCAAGAAAGAGTTGATCTCATTAATATAACAAAGCTCTCTCTCTTCGCATGACCAAGAGCAGCGATTTAGAAAACCACGGCATAAATGTGGTTGACTTCATTCTTTCTTCACGTAGACTTGTAGTGAGTCAGTCGATACAGCAATACACGTCCCCTCGCATTACCAACTGCAAAGTAGCCGCTATTCGGACTAAAGTCCATTGCTGTCACGTAGTGCAGCGGCGTGTGTGCCGTCGGCCAGTTGGCAAAAACAGTCAAAGACGGCATGTGCACCAGCTTCAGTGAATTCTTCATGTCCCTTGACGCAATTGCCAAAATTTCTGCATTTGCGTTAAACACGAGATGATTAACTTCAGTAGTAAGGTTCATAAGCGCTTTGCACGGCTTTGGCGTAGCAGTCAGAGCGGCGTTGTCGTAAATATTGACCACACCACTTTTCGAACCGGTGGCGTAATATTTATCGCTAGCAGCCAAGGCAAAGCTGCCTAAACTCCCTTCATCATCGTGGACAAAGACACACCGCCGGGTACGCATATCCCACTTGTAAACCTGTCCGTCTGAGCCTGTACTCAGCAAGTAGCGATCATTCTCGCAGAAGGCCACTGACTTGACACTTCCATTCATCTTGAGTGTACCGATCGACTCGTACGACTTTGCAGACACTACGTCCAAGTATCCATTACTTCCCATGAATACAATCGTCTCACCGTTATTCGAGACCACAAATGTATTACGTTTCTTCTCTTTACGTCCATAGAGACCCGGAATCTTGGTAATCTTGCCTGCTTCAATGTCGTATGAGAAGAAATACTGTCGGGGTCCAGTCAGCACTGCACGCTGTCCAGCCATCGTAAACTTAGCGTCTAACATAGGCAAGTCTTGCACAAAGACGCTCTCAACTTTTGCATTGTTGCTACCATCCACCTGAAAAAGCCGCAGGGTCTTGTCCAACCCCGCAGTCAAAATCAGCTGACCATTCGGATGAAACTGCACAGACTGGACGACTGCATTAGAAGGAGCATGTTGATTAGCGTCTTTCACACGAATAATCTCCAATTCTCCCTGAGGCAGCAATTTTCCAGAGGATTCCAACATTTTGTCGGTACTTCGAAGTAGCTCCGCCTCCCCTTCAATGTCACTATCATATAAGCCTATTTGTCGATCACCCAAAAAATTGCTTGGGTCTGCCCAAGACACAGCACCATGTGCCGACTGATAACTATAAACCAATATGTTCGTCATGATACAAATCAATATGTCAAATGAGTTGAGAACAGATTGAAAAAATGAGAAGGAAGATACAGTAATCAATCAATTCACGTACAAAGTCTTCAGTCGTAGATGCAGTTCCTTGCCACTTACTATTGTATCCTTCTCAGTCCTACGGAGCTTACGCAGCTGTGGTTGTTCCTCCAGACTCACCTCTACTTCTTTATCATCTTCGTCAACCCATGCGGCTTCAAGCTCACGCAAACTTTGGTTCTTCTGAGCGGACGGTTTTTTACGTTTCTTCTTCTTTGCATGTAATTGCGTCTGAAAAACACTCTCGGTCAGTAGCTTCTCAGCCTCTGACACAAGTACAACAGGGACGCGCTTCCCCATATTTACTTACACTATAATGTCGATAATGAAAGGAACACTTCCTAACCAGTCAAAAAATATTACCGGTATGGTCGGTATATTTTGCATGGGTCCAATGGTACCATACAAATGGAGCAATCGAGAGAGGAGGAAATGAGGATGGGCAACATTTTAATCCTATATTTTAACCAAATAAAATAAAGCCTTACATCTGGCTTAGCACTTCTAGCGGCTCTCATAAACGAAATCGGACGAGGAAACGCAAGTTCATTTAGACGTTCAAGTACTTCTAGAGCGGTGTGTAAGTAACATAAATCGACAACACCTTTTGTTCTGATTTGTCAATAAAAAACACAGAAAACATGACGTATTCGACAATAGTTAGCGTAAAGCCCATTGACGCTGAGAAACGTATGGACTCTGCACGCTCTATATGCAACTCTCCATTATCTATTTCCGATGTGGGTTTTAACAGCACCCTAGGACCTTTAGAAAGCAACAAGGTGGGTTGATTGTTTGGGTTTTATGTTTTTTTCGAGTAGGCAGAAAACTAAAAGTTTGGTTTTTTGGGTCTTTGGGTCTTTTGGGTTTTATCTACCAGGTCAATACTGCTAGTACTAACAACAACGCGAAATCAGGTGATAATCTTGAACAACCTAAATCGCAGGACGGTATGCGTGCCCTAGCTTTGGGTTCCGTTGATATTAATGACGCTTTTGCGCATCCTATGAGCAGTTCCCAGTCGCTCAAGCGCAAGGCTGTTGAAGATGCCGAAGAAATGCAGGATCAAAAGATCAAGAAGATCAAGAAGATCAAGACAGAGCAGCTGACGTCTGGTGAAACTGAGAGTGACTATGTGCCAACTGACAATGAGGAGGATGAAGAAGAGCACGTTTACAAGTCTTCTACTTTTCGTGATGGATGTGGAAATGTTGAGTTAAGTTTCGATGCTAATGTTGAATGTAGCAGAGAGTTGCCCCGCCGTTGCAGCCGTCGTACGCTTTACATTGAGTATTGGAGCCGAACCGGTGAGTGTAAGGAGCGCAAGTGGGATCATCTTGATGAGATTGCCAAGACTTATGGGTCAGCTGAGGATCATATTTTTGCTACCACTCTGAAGGGTAGAACTGCGTTTCTAGAACCCAATATGTTTCCCTATGACACTCCTGCAGGCATTGAGCACTGGACGCTGTGGCACGTGAAGGATCTGAATCATGAACAGGTGAAGCAATACGTGGAAAGCTGGATTGATGCCAATGCGTCACATGTCGATCGGTGGAACTATGATGACAACCCGGAACGTTCCATTGACATTTTTCACGTGCACGTGTACTTTCAGGTGGCCGAGGGGCTCACGGTGCTGCATGGCCGCAAGGTGGAGAATTTGGTGCACGAGATAGATTGACTGGTTCCACTTTAATGTGATGTAGAGTGTGGGTCGCGCTTGCGTCGTTACCAAGCATCTACGTGTGTGTAAGGTACCCGTTTGCATGGTGCTCTAGCGCCTGCGTGAGATCGTTATTTATGCTGGGACAGGCAGTCGTCATTTCTCAGCTAAGTTGAGCGTGATACAAGGCAAGTAGGTCATTTTTTACTTGTAGTGTCCGGTCTATCTTTGAACGATAAATTGGCAAATGTAATGCGAATACAGTTGAATTACTTATCTTTTGGTGCTTTTATACGACGACAACTGATCGTCTTTCATCTGTAACAGACTCTTAGGTTACGTGCAGCAACTGTAAGCGTCACAAATGATCATACAGAAGTCTGAAAACGTGCACCGCATTCAGCAGCCGTGTTCTAAGTAGCGGCGTGTAGACCGTGGCTCCTGTGATTACCCAAACGCAACCTTTATTCACCTACTCAAGAAGTTTTCGTTGGATTGATCGAATTGCGCCGTTCGTGGACTCATATGAGGTCATATGCAACAACCATCACACAAGACAAAAAGAGAGACATGCAAAAAAATGTATTATGCCATCCTACGTCGCCAATGGTGTACTTTTAGGCAGATGCAAGTCTGTTTTGTAATCCACATAATCTTTTAATATCTTGGCAAGCGTTTCCTTGTCATTCTCACCAACCAACTTTGGATCGTCCATCAAAGCGTTAATATTAATATCAACATCCTTCCAAGACTCAAATTGTTTCTTTTCCAGATTGCGTAAGAACGTTACTTTATCCATCGAATTGTCGTACAACAAACTAGGATCAATAATACCACCAGCGTGAACTTGCGTTGCGTGAACTTGCTCTAACTTTTGGATCCCATCACGGATACATACTGCAAGCAGACCCTCGGACTTATAGTGTTTTCTTAATATTTTAAGTATAGTAGCATACGCAGGCTTGGCTTTTATAAATATTTCGAGGAATTTGGCCCATGCAAAAAACGTATTTGACTTAAAGATTTCTTTTTCGTTCATTTTGGCGAGTCCCGCTACATTAAAATGTGTCTGCGCTTTCCAGTCAGAGAACAAGCTCAGTTTAGGAATGGGCTTTTTAAGCACTGACACAACCTTTTCCGTCATGCCTAACCTCCCCTCTCATCGGTATCGTTGGTACTACCACTTGTGGTAGTTACATTGGAACAAGTGTCGCCTGGTCGAGGCGACGTCAACCGCATTTTGCGCATTCAACGCACGTAAGGCCGATACTTGGGTCTTTACGCTCGTTGGTGAGAGCGCAAACAGCGTGACAATAACCAGGATCTTCGCGCGGGAAAACAACTTGGCTGGCGCGGACATAGCGATATCGTCGGGCTTAAGACAGTGGACTTGAGGGCAAGATGGAAAATGAAGAGTGAGTGACATTGGTCCGGAACGTAGAACATGAAACTGGTTGTATCCAATGGACAAACCTCGCCTGTTCATTGGCTGCAAGCACATCTCAAGTCAGCATTGTTTAGGCAGTCCAATCTTACTAACATTGTCATTACCGAAAGCCAGCGTGCATCGGTTGAATTTTTCAGACAATAACACCAGATGCATATTCCAGCACCCAAAAATCCTGTCGTTGATGCGTGACATAACATTGACACCATCATTCGGTGTCAATTCAAACTTATCTGTTATCTAAATCGATAATATTCAGCAACATTACCATAAGGAATAATATTCTGAGAATATGACCTTGAATAGGTTATCTTTTCCTGAGGCTGACTACACTTTGCCTATTGGCGAATAGAGACCATTATATCAACCATCGCGCCGCAATCAAGGATGAACGCGCCAGGGAAGTTAGCCATTATACGTATTAATAGTTAGAGTAAGATTAAGACAATTAAGATTGAAAAAGAGTCCTTAGCTATAGTTAGTCTAGTTAAAGACTGAATAAAACAGTTCCCCTTAATACATTTACCAAGTAAGTGATCGTGTTAGTCTAGCTCACTACTGTATAAATATGTACAAGACGGTTTGGGACACCCGCTTGCACTGTGTCAGTGAAAGTCGACTATGCTGTTGTTAGTATAGTCAGAAGGTGCCCCATTACACTGAATTGGTGTGGTTGCTGCCTCTCCTTCGCATACAATCATCCCCTGGTTAGCTTTATTGCTCAGTCAACGTGACGATATTTGCTATTCTGAGTCGCGAGTGTAAGATAAAGGTAAGGCCAGTTAAAAGTTAAAAGTTGAAGATAGATACTGATTCGTCGTGTCACGATAGAACACGTGCGATTGTAACTAGCGCCAGCCGCTAAGCAATTGATTTGAATGGTTGAAGCAGAAAGCATTATGAAACACAGTAGCTAAAAGAGCAACATATGCAAAGAAGTATCTAATGGTCTATTTGTGTGCCACGCTGCTTGCTTGCTCTCACCCTTTGCATGCAGGTTGTAAGCCTAATTGCCAGAACGACTAACACGAAGTCCACATCGGCAACATCAGATCACGCAAGGTCCTCACCATCCCGTAGCGCCTTGCTGGCATGCCGCCTTACCGTCAAACGACTCAGTAGTCGATCAAGACTTGCTAGTGCGTAAAAAGCTCGGCGACTGACAACAAGATCGATACGGCTCTCACAGCTCTACCAAATGCATGGGGAAGATGAAGTCTTTGTCGAGTGAGAGTGAAAAAAACGGTAGAATGCTGAGCGCTGTCGCAAGTGCCATGTTTTCATCAGCGATTGGTGCGAAGATGCTTGCACGCTGATGACCCGATGCGCTCAAGACCCGCCCGAGCAGAGGCCAGGTGCGCAGCTGCCGTCCGCACGTATCTGACATCAGATGATTAATGCTTGCTTTGCTTGTGCCGTCACTCGGACAGACGCCACTAAGTCAGCGCGGACAAGATCGAGCTCTGACTGTCGCTTCGGTACCGCGTCCGGCATCAACAGCAGCACCCGCAGCGCAACCGCCTGCGGCCCGAACACGATCCAGCGCAACCTGTCAATTTGGAAGCTGAACGGGATCAAGATTTATTCGGGACTCGCTCCGCTTGTACGATTGGGGTCGCACATTCTTTCGCGCCGTCAGCCGGGTCGAGTTTTTGTGCGGATCCCCGTGAAGTGTGGACGTCAAAGTTAACCTGCTCGGCCACCACCTCAGCGGCACGGCTAAGCAGTACTATCACAAGCAGGCGAGGCCGACTGATGAAGGACCAGGGTCGACTTCAAGGGAACATGGTCGCACCTTAAAGAATGAGGTCTACCTTAAAGTACCGAGTTCGACTGACGAAGGACCGAGGCCAACTGACAAAGGACTAAGGTCGGCTGACGAAGGACCGAGGCCAACCGACAAAGGACTAAGGTTGACTGACGAAGGACCAGGTTCGAGGGATCACTAGAAAGACTGAGGTCTACGACTGAGGTCTACCGATGATAGACTGAGGTCTACCGATGATAGACTGAGGTCTACCGATGATAGACTGAGGTCTACCGATGATAGACTGAGGTCTACCGATGATAGACTGAGGTCTACCGATGATAGACTGAGGTCTACCGATGATAGACTGAGGTCTACCGATGATAGACTGAGGTCTACCGATGATAGACTGAGGTCTACCGATGATAGACTGAGGTCTACCGATGATAGACTGAGGTCTACCGATGATAGACTGAGGTCTACCGATGATAGACTGAGGTCTACCGATGATAGACTGAGGTCTACCGATGATAGACTGAGGTCTACCGATGATAGACTGAGGTCTACCGATGATAGACTGAGGTCTACCGATCATAGACTGAGGTCTACCGATCATAGACTGAGGTCTACCGATCATAGACTGAGGTCTACCGATCATAGACTGAGGTCTACCGCGAGGGACCCTGGTCTACCGTTAAACGGTCACTTTTACTCTGTGGTCCCCTTTCTCTCCGTCCCACTGGTCCTTGAGCTCTCCACATTTTGAAACCACTTAACCACAACCATGCACCTGAGTGAGTCGGCATCATGTGGCCTATGGTCATGACGCGCGGTGTCGGGGCACCGTGACGGTTATGGACGTGTATCTGCGCCGCACTGGCAAAGAACATTGTCTCTTATGAAAGGTCGAAAAGGTCTTTACTCTCGTATAGGACGGCGAGGAACGCGCGCTTGCTCGGCACAGCGATGGCGCCGTCGCGTTCGACTCGTAATGGCATGTGCACGTGCACGTGCTGTGTAACGGGGTTACACGAAGGTGTGTATGTAAAATATACACATCTGCCACACCAATGTGGTGTGGCTGTACCTTGGGTACAAAAGTAGGTGATGTGAACGTACTTGAAGTACGAAGGGAGAGAGCCACGTGGTCACTATACTTATTTAAAGTATAGTGACTATGCATGTTTGCATAATAATAAAAGGCTAAAGAGCCAGTAATAGTGACTAGCACTAAGTATAGGATAGGTGCTTCTATATTTAGTGTTAGAAGATAGACATAAATATAAATCAGTTTCAAACCTGCTCTGTAAGCCTTACAGCTTAAGCATTCTATTCCTTTTAAGGAATCAGTATCTTGATACTAGTCTCTCTGAGACTCGGTTGTTAATACGGATAGGCACAAGCTTACGAGCTAGCCTAGGAAAGTTAAACACCCTAAGACGTCGAAGCTCTGAGCTTGTCTTCTTCTGCACATAAAAAATGGTGGTATAATTTTTAGGAATTTTAAAGATAATTAAATAAATATGACAAAAATAATAGTGCATACGTAGCTTTGCTACAGTAGTCTGACTACTTCTTCTGCACATAGTGCATCTGCACATAGTGCATAAGTAGCGTAGCTACAGTAGCTCGGCTACACCTGGTATCACTTGTAGTCAATCCCGCACCTGGGTTTGCGACTACTTTTCTTTGTGAGAATGGACATCGATGAGATGTCAGCGGTTGGCCTGTCACAGGCACTACAGGAAGGGTTGCAGAAGCTGCTCCCTATCCTTGGCCCTAAGGGCGTGGAATACCTCATCGCCCAGAGCTAAGAAGAGGTTA